TCCAAAAAGTTTATTGCTTCATACCAATTGTCACCATATACTTTTCTTTGGAATAGCGCACATAGATCCGGACTGCTATGCAAAGTTGCAAGCTTTCAACAATTTGTCTAACAATTCTACTTCTACTTTTTTGTAGTCCTAGACATGTACGTTTTATAACCGTAGAACACTTATTTTAGCTTCAGTGTTTAAGAACTATAAATTAGAAAAATGTTCAGCAATTTTTGGGTTTTAAGGTTAACTCAACTATTATTAAAAATATAAAAGTGTTAATTTGAATGGTAAAAAACAGCTTTTAGCTATCTTAAAGGTAAGGAGGGGGGGAAGGTTCTATAAGCAAGTATAACTATTTAACAAACAAAAAATAATCTGAAGTTTAAGTTTTATTATATCATAAAATAAATTTCAAAATATCTTTAATGACAGATTATTGCTGGTTCCAACTTTGTTGTGATAAAGTTTTGAAAAGTTAGATTTGTTTTCATATTTTTGATGAAAATAAACAATCTTCTCAGTTTTACCCAGCTTGCACCATGTGTCCAGGAGAAGAAGAAGAACCATTTATTAAATCGACAAACTCAGAACCATATTTTATAAAGTTACTTTTTCCTTAAACATGATGAAGACTCAGATCAATGTTTAAAACTGCAGGGTTGACTTTAGAGTGTCGAAACTACTTGGTTTTTGCTTTTAACTCAAATTTACTATTTTATAGCCCTAGACATGTACGTTTAAAAACTAAATAAGTTATTATTAACTTTAGTTTTTATAAAGAAGCAATTGGCAAAATTCTCATCGATCATTGCGTAACAAAGGAAGCCATGCTTTTGTTAATTTGTTTATCGTTATCGATCGATAATTATTTTTTTTAACATTTAATTATTTAATCTTGAACTCTTTAACCCCCTTTTCTAAGTTCAAACTTGAGTAAAACTTCAAAGATGTTTTGCTAAGCCTTTTGAAATAAAAACCTGGAACCTAAACTTTAGAAATAAAACTTTAAACTAAGTAATAAAAACATTCCCGTGGTTCTGCTGAGATCCAAAATCCAAATTTGAGTCAAATCGGTCAATGGGTAGTAAGTTATGATAGGATATATACGAACAAACAAACGGATTACTATTTTATCCATATACAGATGCTGATGGCTTTATGGCTTTTTGTCTGAATTTTTTTTATAAATATTAATTTTACTTTGTCTCCAACCCTCTGTAAACATATTTTCAGAAAATTTGTTAAAGGGACAGTAAAGTAAAAATAAAAGGGGGTATAGGCTGAAAGCTAATCACTTTAGCTCTTGATCGCGACCCATGAAAGTTTTATCTGATGTTCCTATCTCGAGAAATTGATATAAAACTGTGTTATAATTATACGAAAATTCATATATGTAAAATTTTGAAAATCTGAAACTTAAATCACGTGACCAGAACTATCACNTATCAGGAGAATATAAAAACACATATTTAAGGAGAAGATACATAATATAAATCAGGAGAACATACATAATATATATCAGAAGAACATACATAATATATATCAGAAGAACATACGCAATATATATCTGGAAAACATACATAATATATATCAGGAGAACATACACAATGTATACCAGGAGAACATACACAATATATATCAGGAGAACATACAAAATATATATCAGGAGAACATAGATAATATATATCAGGAGAACACACACAACATTTATCAGGAGAACATATACACAATATATATCAGGAGAACATATACAATATATATCAGTAGAATACACAAGATATATATCAGGAGAACATAGATATTATATATCAGGAGAGAAAACATAATATCTATCAGGAGAACATACATATTATAAACTAGGAGAACATATATAATATATATCAGGAGAACATACACAATATATATCAGGAGAACATACACAATATATATCAGGAGAATATACAAAATATATATCAGGAGAACATAGATATTATATATCAGGAAAGAAAACATAATATCTATCAGGAGAACATACATAATATATACCAGGACAACATTTACAAAGTATATCAGGAGAACATACACAATATATATCAGGAGAACATACATAATATATATCAAGAGAATATACAAAATATATATCAGGAAAGAAAACATTATATCTATCAGGAGAACATACATATTATAAACTAGGAGAACATATACAATATATATCAGGAGAACATACATAATATATATCAGGAGAACATATACAATATATATCAGGAGAATATACATAATATATTTCAGGAGAACATGCATATTACATACCAGGACAATATATACATTATACAATATATATCAGGAGAACATACATAATATATATCAGGAAAACATAAACAATATATATCAGAAGAACATACATACATAATATATATCAGGAGAACATACACAATATATACCAGGAGAACATACATAATATATTTCAGGAGAACATGCATATTACATACCAGGACAACATGTACATTATACAATATATATCAGGAGAACATACATAATATATATCAGGAGAACATACACAATATATATCAGAAGAACATACATACATAATATATATCAGGTAACATACACAATATATACCAGGAGAACATACACAATATATATCAGGAGAACATACTACTTTGATTGTAAAAATTAAACAAAAATTGCACCCTAAATACCCAATACCCCAAATGCAAAGTTCTTTGTGTTACCCCCTGTATTATACATCTATGTTTAGATATTGAAATATTCTTTTTAAAAATTCCTTGCGGGGAATATTAAATTTTTACGAGCAATATAAACATGATATGGTAAAAAGTAGGACTGGGCACTGTTTTAATATTTCAAAATTTGTAATTTATTTTCGGCAATTCTGACCAGATCGTTATCAATCGAAGTTTGTTTCTAAACTTCACAATGATTAGATGTACACAATACACATTATCTTCAAGGGACTACAAAATTACCACTCTGGGCCGTAGTAAATTTGAATTCGAACAGGACCTGCCCAGTTTGTACCGGCCTGCCAGGTAACAGTCTGTACTGACCCAATCCTATGGTACAGTACGTCGCCCTAACCAGACTAACATAGGACAGGGGTCAATTTTCTTGGCATAGTCCCGTCGGAGGGCTAACTATGACAACTCCCATGGTGCGTTTAGACTTTTTACAGTACCCGGCCTAATCCTAGCCTATTTGACGGACCCCACTGGCTTAGTCCACTGTGTTACATAATTTCAAGAGATCCTTCATTTAAACTCTGCCAAACCAGTAGGGAAAAGTTGAATTTTAAAAATGTTTTTCCTAAAGTTAACTCATAACAAAAATGTTCTTGTTTTCAAGACATTCTGTTATCATTAAAATTGTTCTGCTTAAAGATGCTAAGCTCTAGTTGAAATTGATGCAAGGTTATACATTTATGAAAGAGTACAATGTAGATAAACCTCTTTGGATTATTCCTTAAATTTAATAGTTTGCAAAAAGAATTTTATAGTTTGATATTTGAATAATAAAACACTTTTTTGCATAAGTTGGGGACTTGATACATGTATAATTTTATGATCCAGAAAAGTGTAGATAACAAAGGACTTTCAATGCATGCACAGTTTATACTAAGAATACTAAAATGTGAAATACCTGTTTAGGAATTGCACATTTTAGCGTGTGCTGTGTTTATACTAGGGCTGGGCGTCGTTCCTGAGGAATGATCGTTCTTTCACAAGAACGAACGGAACAATCAAGATTGATTCCATCGCTCCAGAAAAGAACAAACGCATAGAGCCCATTCTTAAAAATGTTGGAACAATTTGGAAAGGAATGGAACTGAAATTTTTGAAAAGATTTTAAAGTATACTTTTTATTATAAAATCGTAATGTTTTTACTTTTCACCAACTCTTTTCTATAAAACTTATGTCTTGGATGGAATCGTTTTTTTTACTTAGAACGGAACAAGGGATGGACAAATCTTTACTAAGAACAGAACAAGAGGAATGGAACCGTTCTTCGAATAAGAACGCCAAGAACAGTACGGGATGACCGTTATTCTTCTCAAAACGGAACAGAACGGGACAGAACGAAACGAGAACGGAACACTTGAAAAAAAGGAACGAGATCTAGCTAAAGGCCCTCGTTCTAGAACAGAAAGGAACGATTTCCAAAAAGTCGGAACGTGACCAGCCCTAGTTTATACATCCTTTACACATTAAACTAAGCTAGTGGGATAGGTCAAATAGGCCTATGAAAGGCTAGGTACTGTAAAAAGTCTTGCCGCGCAATCAAAATTGAAACCGAGCCAGCATAGTGTAGGGTGGGGCCGTTACTTCTAACGTACTGGCCGGTACAAAGAGTTAGTCTGGTTCACATTCAAATTTACCATAGTTCACCATGCATAAACTGCAGTACAATTTTGTGTAAAAAATTGTCTAAATATTTCTTAGCGCAAACTTCAGAAGGCATCAGCCATAGAAAAATTTCATGGTTTTAGCATTTTAACACATCCAGTAAAAAAGATTAACTTTATACTGATCTGCTGCTGATCTAGATTCTTCTAAAAACAACTCCTGAAAAAATCCTCTACGACCTGAGAAAAAAATTGTTTATATCGTATATGTCTGAAAATTGATATTAAGTCTAAACAAAGTGTGGCACTTTTTGATCTAAATTCTTTTTCCTCAGCCTAACTTTTTAATTCAGTTGCATAATAGCTCGGGAAAACAGACGGATTACACAATAATGAATATGAAAATATGAGTTTAGTTTTAAAAATAAAATGTTTCACGGTGTATAGTTGCTGACTATAAGATTCGCTAGTGCAACTTAGTTCACGAGGCTTGCTCTAAAAAATAGATCCTTTGAAATTATTTAATATCTTAATAAACAGGAAAAAAATTATTCTCTAGACTAATTTGTTGTTTATAATTTCTCAAAAAAAAATATCTCTGAAATCAATGGTGGGTTCTTTTATTTCTTTATCATCATTATCTTATTTTCACTTATTATTTTTTAGTTGTTGGGTTACTGGATGTTTGGCAGCGTATGGTGTGACATGCATGCAGCACTGGACGTACTGCTTAGTACATCTTCAATCATGAATCTCTGCCTGATCAGTCTGGACAGGTAGGGTTACACAATGCATGGGCGTACACATGTACAGTCTGGAAAAGATTAGATTATACCAATGTGGAAAGTGTACTAATTTACTGTTTAAATAGGAGTTAATTCTTTATAATACAAAAAGTAAAACATTGAATTAGGATTTTTTCTAAAAGGGATTTTTCATATGTTTGCCCATTTAAGACATTTTCTGTTTCATTTCTAATCTTTTTCAAATATCTGACATAGTATGTTTATTCTTTTTCAAATATCTGATATTGTTGTTTATTCTTTTTCATATTTTCTTAAGTCTTCTTCTTTTTCCTGGTCCATTATTATATATATTGTTTATTTTTTTTGTATTCCACCACTCACATATTCGTTTTCTTATTTTTTGGTTATTATTTTTTACTTTTATTTGTTTACTCTCTTGTTTAGATACTACTATTTCAGTTTTTTGTTTATTCTTTGTAATATTTCAATAATTTACCATCATTTGACTGATTTATACATCATTAGGATTAATTAGGCCGATTAACTATATTGTTGACCATACTCACTCATAAATATTTTTCATCAATTTCCGTTTTTTTACTTCATTATTATTATCAGTTTTCAAGAAAAAATATTTGTTAAGCTTAAAACAAGCTTGTAATGATATTTTTTGTATTTTTAAAAATTTTTTGATTTAATATTTATTATTATTTTTTTGGCTTGCTCATTAATAGACTCTTAATAAAAACAAACAATCCTCTATCTGATCTTTCTTTAGTCAGAAAAATACAGGAAATAGTACATAGCTCTCAATATACTTTTTATTTGATTTAAAGAATTCTTAAATTGTACAATAATAAAATGATATTTTTTTTATAAATAGGTAAAAAATTTGTATCTTGTTTCTTTCTCTACATCATAAATAGAAAAACAAATAACTGCGTTCTTATAAAGAAGTAGAAGTACATCATTTTGGACAAGTTTTGGTCATTTTTTGATCTGTTATTCAAAATTCGTCAATAACAGGGTAAACGAATTTCTATACTTTGATTTTTAAAAGATATATAAATAAAAATAGCAAATAAAAAAATGTCCGGTGTACAACTAAAAATTAAGAATTGTTTAAAACGTTTCAGCTGATCGCCTCTATAAAGGTTGTTTAATCCTTTGTATTTTAACCTGTGCCATTCAATGCCTCTCAATTCGAAACTAACTTACTGCTAAGCATTTGCTTCGTTGGATACTTTTTTCATTTCCATATTTATAATTTTAAAAAAACTGATTATTTTTAATTGTCCATTTCTGCCAATGGAAAACCATGCAGGAACCAATAGTGGGCCATCATAACAGATTTTATTTACTGTATAAAAAAGAATTCTGGAATACACAATAACTCGGGTTTTGTAGCGAAAAACTGGTTTAGCAGCAAAACAGGATTGTCAAACAAAATCTCGCCTGCGCCAAGTCTTTTGCTTCCTAAATCTGGATTTTTGGTTCCGAAATAAATCTAGGCCAGGCGAAATAGGTAGTTAGAGAAGGGGGGGGGGCGGACTCTATTCTTTTTAAAGCAGATCTATTTACATATATTTCCCTTTTCTGTCTGTTAGGGTGTCCGTGTATTCCCTATCTTGAAATACTGGGTTCAATTTCATGTTTTTGTTTTTGTTTAAAAACAACCAATATACTATTGTTCGGCCACCGAAAATGAGTTCACTGTGTATTACGGAATTTGGTGTATTCTAAGTACAAAATTCTTACTAATAATTTAACACTTATATATATCCTAACATAGAAAAATGTCATTATTGATTAGAATAAACTTTGCATATATGGGTATTCCGCTTTGCATGGATGGTAATTTTAAATTATACGCTGATATAGTCCATTTCAAATATTGTTACAATTACTTCAAACTTACAATATTTGCGAGCTGAAGGTGTAAATTTGTTTGAAATATCCAAGAATGTAAGGCAAGGAAAGTCAATTGCGATCGTGTATACTCTGTGTACATATTGAAACCAGTTCTCTTTGGGCGGAATTTGTAAACAATAATAGATCCATCAGTGTTCGTTTAGTATCCGAGGAGGTTAAAAGCATTAAATTTTGATAATTTTGATAATTCACATGATAATTTCCTATGACCAGAATATTTCATTGATTTTTTATATGAATGATGGATCCCATGTCAGGCTTCGACATCCGTCTTGTGTTTACATTAGCGCCCAGAGACAGTACACTGCAGTACTAAAGATGTGTACACTTCTGAAATGACTTTCCTTGCCTTACATCCTTGGAAATATCCAATGTCTACAAGATTGGGGTGCAAAGGTATAGGGATTAGAAAATCAGAGTTTGCAGAAAAGACTCAATTTATTGGTGATAAAATTTCCACAATAAAAGTATATAGAAGGTTAAGATAGGTGAAGTAAACCATGAGTAATGCTGCATATCCTCATTTAGTAATCTAATATCGGAAACCAGGCTAGAATATCTTAGGAGCATCAGCTGCGGGATTCTATAGTTTCTATTTATATGAATAATCATTACATTAGTGTTCCTCTATTACCCAAACATTTTTTTTTCGGTAATTTCAAAATGTAAAGATTATAGTTTCTGCAAAAAAAAACTATGATTGATTTAAAAAATGTTGTTTTTCCCTAGAAAACTCGGTCACAGACCAGTGTGATACTTGTGCAACATCCCCCCCCCCTTTGAGACCACTGGATGATTTCGGAAAGAAAAGATAAAATATATCTTGGCTTATCTTGTAGGCTTTGCCGCAATCCAACATTTATATACCAGACAGTTTAACTCAGGGTATACAAGGCATTGAAACAAATATTTATATACCAGACAGTTTAACTCAGGGAATACAAGGCATTGAAACAAACATTTATACACCAGACAGTTTAACTCAGGGAATACAAGGCATTGAACCAAACATTCATATACCAGACAGTTTAACTCAGGGAATACAAGCATTAAAACAAACATTTATATACCAGACAGTTAAACTCAGGGAATACAAGCATTAAAACAAACATTTACATACCAGACATTTTAACTCAGGGAATACAAGACATTGAAACAAACATTTATATACCAGACAGTTTAACTCAGGGAATACAAGGCATTGAAACAAACATTTATATACCAGACAGTTTAACTCAGGGAATACAAGGCATTAAAACAAACATTTATATACCAGACAGTTTAACTCAGGGAATACAAAAACAAACATTTATATACCAGACAGTTTAACTCAGGGAATACAAGGCATTGAAACAAACATTTATATACCAGACAGTTTAACTCAGGGAATAAAAGGCATTGAAACAAACATTTATATACCAGACAGTTTAACTCAAGGAATACAAGGCATTGAAACAAACATTCATTTAACTTCAAATTCATTAAAGAGACTGTAAGCGTGATTTCAAATGGATCGATTACTAACCTTTGTCTGATTTCACATAGTTCCAGACGGCAGTAAAAAGTTGCATAAATTTTCAATACTGAATTGACTTTATTTGGTTGCGACGCCTTAGCCATTAATCTTACATCAATTACTAACTATGCTTTTTGATAGACCTAGATATGTGCATTTTAGAACTATAAAGCACTTGCTTATAGCTTTAGTTTTTGAAAAGTAATTGGCAAAATTCTTTTTTGTGCCCTAGATAATTTTGTTATATGTTTAGGTACTGGAGTATAACGCAGGCCCTGGATAATTTTGTTATATGTTTAGGTACTGGAGTATAACGCGGGCCCTGGATTATCTGAACAACAGAACACAACCCAGGAAATTCTCAGTTAACATTTTTTTCTACATTTTTTGCCAGGGCATTGAGTTAAGAAAAATATTTCAATTAAAATCCCAAAATTTTATGAATATTAAGTCACCACTCACCGTATACCAGTAATTAAGAACGTTATTTTTCTGATACAAGTGTTTAAGTAGAGAGTTCAATATGTAAAGCGTTATTGCTTAGGACCAAAACTACCAAAAAGTAGAGAGATAACAAGATTAAACTGTAGAATAATGATACACAATAAAAGCAATGCTGAAGTTCATTTGATGTTGCAACAAAGCAAATAGCTTCATTAGTAAGTTATTCAATTACTTATTTAGTGAAATAGGTCCGTTCACACTGCACAATTGCTTCGCCTATTGTATCATGTTTAATTATTTAAAGTCATAACTTAAGTTTAAAACTTGAATCTATTCCAGAGTTTTCTGTAAAATACCATTTTATTTGGCAGACTCTGAACTCCAACCTTCGAGTGTGCGAGGTGGGGAAGACTTCACTGCAGATTTCCTTTTGTACATGACCACTTTTTCAACAATTTTCAATTAAATTTGTATTTATTTAGAGTTAGGTTAGGGCTAAGACACTTTCTGGGCCGACGGCTGCGGCTAGGACAAGCTAGGGTGCCGAGCGCTGCGGCCACAGGTTAGGTTAAGTTATGACACTTTCTGGGCTGAGCGCTGAGGCTAGGATTCAATCTCGATCTACAAATGTCATCCCAACCTTAATCATGCTTTTAATTAAGCGCGGCAGTGAACTCTTCCCCACCTCGCACAATCGAAGGTTGGAGTTCAGCGTCTGCCATTTTATTTGACTCACCTGTAACTGTAAGGCTGTAAGTTTCAAAATTGTTTTTTTATTTAAAGGATTTTCTGGCTCTGCTGTAATTCCCTAATTTTCAACAGGAAGAGATGGAAGCGGCAATTTAAATCGATTTTTTTTTTTTAGTAGATTAAATTAATTGATCAGTAATCTTTTCTCGTTTAAATCGTTAAAAAGGAGATTAACTCACTCGAAAAGATTAAAATCGTTTCAAGATTAGCTAATCTCGTATTGGTCCACTCAGTTTTGACTAAAAGGTTCTCGCAAAAAAAGGGTTTAGCGACTATTCCTGATCTAATCATTTTACAAATATGATTTATTTGTAAAATAATAATAAAATCCAAAAAGATTCTAGTACAATAGATGGCAACGTAGAATCTCAGTGCAGTTATTACACTTTTTATTTAATCTTAGAAAACATGTCAATTCCTTTGTGAAAAATTTCTTCTGCTTTGTTATATTTGACACTTGTGACGTCGTGTATAATTGATCCATTTCTCTGTTGCCACCTATTATACTTGATATCTATTTGATAAAGTCTGTTGATGGCCGTCATGCCAAAACATCAATTCTTAACTTATTTTCGTATTTCTAACTTTAAACGTAAGCACATCTGTTCTGAACATTTCCTATCTAATGGAACCAAAACATGTTTTATCAAAGTTCAAATTTCCAAATTATCAGAGTGAAAAAAACTGTACCATTAGATCGAAAATAGGTACAAAACATGTAGGGTTTACCACGATAACATGACAGTTGGTGAATGGTTTAAAATGTCTTCTTCCATAATTTGTTAAGTTGTTTGATACCAAAGAGAGTAATAAAAAATGTTGTATGGGAGTCATCTTAAAGTAAAATTAATTTCAACGTAAAATATATTTGAAAAAAGATTTTTAATAAAATAAACTACAAAAAGTCTTTATTATCTAATACAGTATATGGAAGAAGACATTCAAAATTATTCACAAACTGTCATGTTTCTTGGGACACCCTGTCATTAAACTACAATTTTTATAGACATTATCTACATTTACATAACCCCCCCCCCTCTCCACCCTTTCTACTTCAACTTCTTCTGACGATTCTTCGTCATACTTGTGAAATGATTGAGATCCCCTGGTATTTTTAATAAAAATATTTGCAACGAAGAATATTTCCACTCATCGCTATTTCCAAGATCTTGAAAATAGAGAAAATAAAAAAAGGTATTTTCGCGTTAAAGGGACTGTAAATGTAATTTAAAGTGACCCTTAACTTCACATTTTTATTAAAAAAAGAATTATACTAAACATAATGTTTCACGTCTATCATGACGATCCTCAGTAGCTACAATTCTTTGAACAACTCTATATATATATATATTCATGATCTCAATTCCTGACCGATTGATCTCGATATCCAGCATCTACTCCTGAGCTGAATACTTTTCTATTGGATACTCATAAACCCGATCATTTGATCTCGATATCCGCTGTTGGAACTTTAAATCTAAAGACCAATGATCAATCTCTTCATTTCAGTTTTTCGTGCCCTGATCATTAAGCTCCTTTCAACCTCTGACTGGGTAGGATTACCATGCGGAATATCGAAGAATGATTTAATTAATTTGCAGAATAACAAAAGATCAAGATCAAGCTAATTGATCTCTATATATTCACAATTCAATAGTTCTTGCCTCAGATCATAATACAAAACCTTTAGTTACATTTCGTACAAAATATTTCCAGTGTTTGATGGTGTATTTAACTCTAATATCTTAGATAATTCTTGGGAAAATTCTCATAATGTGTCAAAAATTCACATTTAGCTAAATGCAGTTTGAGTAATTTACATGCGAGGTCCAGAATCCTGATATGTTTACATAAAAAGTAAACTGCAGTTCCCATGTGAAAGCTGAGCCTAAAACTTAAGACAGGGTATCGATATAAAAACCAGTTTTAGAACTCGGTTTTCACGAATGGGGTTAGGCAGTTTTGTGGATATTAATATTTTTGTTATGAAATATTGTTTTATTTAGGTTCTTCATATTTTCCATTTTTTCCAAATCTCTTAAATCAAAATCTACACAAATGTTAACACCCCAAAAAGGAAACCCAGTAGTTTTGTTCACAGATATATATACTTTCAAAATGTCTGGCTCTGTCATAAACAAAGCCAGACCTTGTTTACATTGATAACACCTTCATAACACACTTTATAGGGACGATTTGTCCCATATAAAAGAAATTGTGTCTCATAATTTTCTAAAATCTAGTTACCAATAATATAGCAAGGGTTGATTCCCTTCCCAAACCAAATATATAAATTATAATAGCCATTTTTGGGAGTTTCAAAAACATTATTTTAAGCGAGGATATTTGTCATTTTTAGTCAAAGTAGAAGGGTTTTTTGAGTACTCAAAAATTCACTAAGAATGTCTCAATGTCTCAATGTCAATAAATAAACTCTTTTAAACAAAATATTAGAAATCTTATTTTTTATTCATCTTCATAATATCATGATGAGGCCGAGGGAACAAGAAGCCTTGATTTTAAATAGTGAATTTTTTCCTTAAGTACCATTCATTTTTTTTATGTATTTTGTATATGTAAACTGAAAAGTTTCAGACACTAAAATGTAACCCTTAAAAGCTTAAATACACTTGTTAAAAAGGTCAGTCTTTATAGCATACATGGACAATGTAATAAAGAAAACCATATACCACCGTAAAAATAAACCAAGCATTGCTTTAAAAAAAAAAAAAAAAATTTCGCCGGCGGCGCGCTTTTTTGCACCCCCCATGGAAAAATCCTGGTTACGGGCCTGATCAAAAGCATTTGGAACTTACGAATATAATGTTCTAAATTATGAATAAAATGTTAGAAATGTCTGTTGTTCACCCTAAAAGCCTAGTAATAATAATAACTGTAATGAATATAGAGTTCTTGTAATGATAATAACAGTTTGGCTTCTCAGTGCGTTCATATCTATTCCACCACTGCTTGGATGGAAACAGGTAATATTAAAGAGACAGTTTAGGATATCTTATAAAATATTTATATACCAGATAGACAAATTATATATCTGATAAGCAATGTACATATCTGATAAACAATGAATATGTCAGATAAACAATGAATATGTCATATAAACAATGAACATGTCAGATAAACAAGAATATATCAGATAAACAATGAATATGTCATATAAACAATGAACATGTCAGATAAACAAGAATATATCAGATAAACAATGAATATTTTAGATAAACAATGTACATGTCAGATAAACAATGAGCATATCTAATAAACAAAAAATATGTCAGATAATCTATGAGCAAGTCAGATAAACAATAATTATGTCAGATAAACAATGAATATGCCAGATAAACAATGAACATGTCTGATAAACTATGAATATGTCAGATAAGCAATGGTATGTCAGATAAACAATGAACATATCTGATAAACAATGAATATGTCAGATAAACAATGAACATGTCTGATAAACAATGAACATGTCAGATAAACAATGAACATGTCAGATAAACAATGAATATGTCAGATAAACAATAAATATGTCAGATAAACAATGAACAAGTCAAATAAACAATGAATATGTCAGATATATATTGAATATGTCAGATAAGCAATGAATATGTCAGATAAACAATGAATATGTCAGATATATATAAAATCTACTGTACTCCCCTGATATTTATAAAATCTACTGTAGGCCCCTAATATTTTTAAGAACTACTTAGGCCCCCTAATATTAATAAAATCTACTGTACTCTCCTGATATTTTGAAATTCTACTGTTGTTCCATTGTAATTATAAAATGTACTGCAGTCCCCTGATATTTATAATATCTACTGTAGTCCCCTGATATTTATAATATCTACTGTACTCCCCTGACATTTATAAAATCTACTGTAGTCCCCTGATATTTATATTATCTACTGTAGTCCCCTGATATTCATATTATCTACTGTAGTCCCCTGATATTTATATTATCTACTGTAGTCCCCTGATATTTATATAATCTACTGTAGTCCCCTAATATTTATATAATCTACTGTAGTCCCCTGATATTAATAATATCTACTGCAGTCCCCTAGTATTTATATTATCTACTGTAGTCCCCTGATATTTATATTATCTACTGTAGTCCCCTGATATTTATAAAATCTACTGTACCCCCCTGATATTTATAATATCTACTGTAGTCCCCTGATATTTATAAAATATACTGTAGGCCCCTGATATTTATATATTTATAATATCTACTGTAGGTCCCTTATATTTATAAAAATCTTCTGTAGGCCCCTGATATTTATAATATATTCTGTAGGCCCTTGATATTTATAAAATCTACTGTAGGCCCCTGTTATTTATAAATTCTCCTGTAGGCCCCTGATATCTCCTGGTTTGATGAATTATATCAAAAGAAAGAAGACCTGAACCTAACATCTCAACAGTTTGGAGAACTTCTAGTCAGGTAGCTGGATAAATACCATTCATTTTTTGCCACAAACTCAAATTTTCTAATTCCTGATGTTCGGTACTTTCCCAAAGGCAACTTCCCAAGTGACAATTTCCCAAGTGGAAACTTCCCAAGTGAAAATTTCCTAAGTGGCAACCTTCCAAGTGACAATTTCCTGAGTTTCAACTTCCCAAGTGACCATTTCCTAAGTGGAAACTCCACAAGTGACAATTTCGTAAGTGGCAACATCCCAAGTGACAATTTCCATAAGTTGCAACTCCACAATTGACAATTTCCTAAGTGGCAACTTAGCAAGTAACAATTCCCTAAGTTGCAACCTTCCAAGTGCCAATTTCCTAAGTTGCAATTTCCCAAATGTACATTTAAGGCTAGGTTCGGTCATAATGGGGGGAGGGGCAAACGCTGCGGCTAGAACAGCCTGGGAAAGATGCCGCCGGAAAAAGTTGCATTTGGGAAGATATCATTGGAAAGTAGCTGCCTAAGAAAATGCCTTTGGGAAAGTGGAAAGTACCTACCATCATATGAATATTGGCTGTTTGGCTTTCTGATAAAATGTAACGTTTCTCTCTTTTTTTCTGATAAATTGTAACGTTTTTCTCTTTTTTCTGATAAAATGTAACGTTTCTCTCTGTTTTTCTGATATAAAAATACATTTGTCACGTTTTCGTTTTACAATAAATTGCAATTAAGGTGGTCTCTTTAATTACATCTTTTTAGAGAGATGAGTTATGATGAATTTACTAACTTTACAAAAACGCTGGAAGATGTCGTTTTCCCTAAATGTCAGGTAATTGAAAATGAAATTCTCACAGGGACTGTAAACGTAATTATAAGTTGTCCTCCATTGCTAAAGTGGCATGTGTCCTTTCACATCGGGCACCCCGCATTTCATGCTACAGAAACAATTGAGAAGTTATCAAAACTGTTAATCGGGCATGCCCCTCCTAAGATTTAGGGCAAAAAAAATTCCGGCAACAGTCCCTTTAATTGACATTTTTTAGATTAAATGTAAAATTTTGGGATATCTTTATTTGAATTAAAAGTGTTCAGAAAATATTTGAATTCCTAAATGTTAAAATTATCAAATAACCTCCTCGGTTTATATTTTGCAGGAATTTAGAAGATCCATGATATGATCAAATTATTCATTTTGTGCCAGCAACAAATGCAATTTCTGGAGTATCGTTAATCTTAAACGGTTGATTTCGACATCCAAAGTGGGCATTTTTAAGTTTGAGAATCAATGCTTGATTCCTATATCTAAGTTCTCTCTTCAGGGTATAGCCACCCGAGATATTGAAGAGGAATTAAAATAATCCTTCTGTAGAAGATGCTTGATAAATGCTTGATCCCAAGATTCACAACAAAAAGTTAAGGCTTATGTATCTTAAACATCCGGAACAGTCCCTTTGGGTAATAAGATTTCTGGTTCTGCGGAGAAGAGAAGTATTGAGCACATAAACTTCTCTTTTTATCTGTCCTGTCATCCCAGGTTTTAGCTTTGCAACCAAGATACTGACCTTCAAGGTTTAGTTTTGCTCCAGTAGCCAACAACTACTATGTTTACATTAGGACTGTAGGGAAAGGCATCATTGTGATACCCATTAGGACTGTAGGGATAGGCATCATTGTGATACCCATTAGGACTATAGGGATAGGCATCATTGTGAGACATATTAGGACTGTAGGGATAGGCATCATTGTGAGACATATTAGGACTGTAGGGATAGGTATCATTGTGAGACATATTAGGACTGCAGGGATAGGTATCATCGTGAGACATATTAGGACTGTAGGGATAGGCATCATTGTGAGACATGTTTTCAAACATTTAAGCTTATTCTAACATTTAACAGGTTCTGCAAGAATCTGAGATGGGTAACTAATTTTCAAAAATATTTGTAAATGTTTGAAAATATTTGTTTTAAATGGTTTTGGTCAAAGAATAAATTTTGCGAGATGGAAGAAAAGAAAACTTGTGGAAAGCCCCTTAAAAAAAAATAATTAAAATCGGTGCCCACAAGCAGATTAAGGGATTGTTAGGAAATGGCAAGAGATTTTTCTGCTGAAAAATCAAAGAATTAATTTTTTCGATATTTCTTTTTGGGCAAAATTAAAAATTATTTCGCAAACAAAGATTGAGAAATGGAAGTGTTCGCGAAAAATGAAAGGGGGTATAGGCTTACGGCAAACAATTATCGATGGTGATCGCTACTAATCTTACTTCCATCTGTTGCGTCTATAAGGAGAAAATTGTTAAATACAACTCATACCGAAAAATGTAGCGTCCATACAAACTCAGAAAGTTGCAACATTTGACTTGATCATAAAAATCAATTTAATTTTAAAAAAATCATTCAGATATTTCAACCTATAATCATCGATAATTTTTCGACGCATTCGTATGTAATTAATGCACTCAAAACGCCGATTTGTTGGCCGCCAGGTGTCTCTGCTTTCGATTCTGAATGATTCCACGTGGCAGGGACATTTAGCGGAAAAAATCGTCGTTTTAAGTGCATCGATCATATTCCACCGTAAGCCTATACCCCTTTCATTTTTCGCGAACACTCCCTTTAAGAATAGCTTAAATTATCTAATTTCTTCAATAGTGCAACATTAAAAAAAAATTCCTTTTAAAACTGCAAAACAGTTCCTTTAACCTTGATGGACAGTTGGGCCAAGTATTAGATTTATCCAAATGTCAAAGTTCTTAGAACTGAAAAATATTTTCTTCCCAGATGGTTCAGGTTTTGGTTCTAGGATAAAAACAGAATTTCTTTGGATAGTTCATCTGAGTCACTCACATGATTTATATGCTTAGTTTTAGCAATCAGTGGACCCTTATTTTTGCCAGATATTTTTGATAAGTGTTATGCTACTTTTGTTGTGCAATTCTACCGTACGTAATTTATGTACGCTTCGAATATTGAGATTGGTGGATTTATATGTATACTTTTGTACAACCCGAGCTGAAAACTTTAGAATGAAATATCCAGAGAAGCTCATAATTTCTTGATATCCAGATTAAATATTGCTTGTTCTCCACATGAATTTAAACTCCAGATTAATTATTCGACGGGATATCTGGATATTTCATTCTAAAGTTTTCAGCTCCGGACATAATAATTAATAAGCTCTATTTAGTTTACCGTGGATTTTTTAAGATTAGTTTAAGATTTAAGCGTAATTTCAAGTGTACCTTCATGCAAAGATGGCAATGCCAAATTTACAACAATACCCTTGAAAAGCTTAACCTTAAAACATGTGGATTGTGAAAAGTGTTTATTTCTGTGAGTTTATCAGTTGTTTCTTATAAACAAGAAATGCGCAAGTCACTTTCGTAGAGAAACCGCAAATAAAAATTATAAATGTTTAAATAAACAAAACATGCATATCTAATTCAGACTTGATCAGACAACGCTTTTAAGGGTACCGGTATAAATCGGGCATTGCCATCTTTGCATTGGGAGTCACTTGAAATTACGGTTACAGTCCCTTTAAGAAGGGTTTATATACTCTGACGTGTAGATGTAATGTTCTTATCTACAAACTCTTAACTCTACATTTAGAAAACTTTCTCTCAAGATCTTAAAAGCATCGAGAAAATAGTCTTGAGAGATAATGGGTTAAGAAATAAAAATACAAGATTGCAATGTTTCAAGAATAATCTTACTTTTATTGAAGAGTTATATTGAAAAATTTGAGCCGCGGCTTAAATATGGTTGGGTCCACTTAAAATCGTATTCATTGCTTCAAGATTTAAGCCGGCGCTCAATTGAAACCGGTTTTTGGCGGATTTAAGACGCGGCTCAAATTCATTAAATTCGGACACGGATGAACTTGTTACTCTCATACGTGTGCGTAAAATCAAAAGAAGAGGAGCTACAAGGTATTGATATCGTATAAAATATCCTCCCCTTCTCTTTTGTTTGCAGTGATAAGTGTACGAAGATGAATTAAAACCAATGTTGTGTGGATCTGATGTTGATGTTTAACGACTAGATTGAAAATTATCTTGTTACGTGAAATGTGTCTATGAACACCTGAGATGGAATTTAAAGAATTTGAGCCGCGGTTTAAATCCGTCAAAACCCGGTTTAAATTAACCGCCGGCTTAAATCTTGAAACATTTGATACAATTTTAAGTGGAACCAACCATATTTAAACCGCGGCTTAAATTTAAACCGCCGCTCAAATTCTTTAAATTCGGCCACTGTTCATATTCCAGTTTGTATTGATTTTACTGTAGAAATATACAATTTTTTAAATAAATGACGAGATATATTCAGGTTATTTGTATTCTAAGGGACTGTAGACTACAATTCAAGGAACATGTTGAACTTTTAATCTCGAAATCCAATCTGAGCTGGGAACTTTTGAATGGTGGATATCGGGATTAATGCTTGATTCACTCTTTTTCTTAATCTCGAGATTAAATTATGCTAGTTTTCCTCTTGTTATTAATCTCAGGATTAATTGACTGATCGGGATTAAGGATATCCCATTCTAAAGTTTTCAGCTCTGGACACTTCTAAATTTAAGAATCAATCATTGTTCCCTCAATCAAAGTTGTCCCTGCAGGGTATAAGCAGCACGGGATATCGAAGCGATATATGGTTTATCCGCAGATCTGCATAGTATGGAGATCAATGCTAAATTCACAAAACGAAATTCCGCCTTAAGACCAGATTTATCTAGTTTGGACTGATCAAAAGCATTTGACACGTAACCTTCTTACATAAATAAATACATTAAACAAATGAGAATGACACACTGCAATTGTACGGAGTATCTAAAAATCTAGAAATCAAGTTACTAGTAAAACAATTTTCTCTATAAAAACATCAAATACAAAATACCATTTCTTTTGCCTTTGAAGTTGAAAGAAAAGTTTTGTGGGTTAAACCAAACACGTGTTCAGAAATATTGGAAATGCTATTTGCTTTTAGTTCTAAATCATTCCATCATTAAAATATAAAATTCTTTAAAAACCAGCTCAGCGCTAACCATGGCAAACAAAGATTTCTTTCTGGATCTAAGAAATAATATTGTATCGGAGAAATGATAATATTTCCTTATATTTTTAAATAAATCATGGAGGGTATGTTTTACTGAGAAGAATCTAATAGATTTCTTGAATTTTTAATGGGAGCTTGAGGAGGGGGGGGGGGTCCATTGAATTTCAAAAACTTTTATTTACTCTAGAATTATTATTTTCAGAAAAGCTTTTGTACTATAACAATTGGGACAAGACTAAAGAAAAGTAATAATTTTGTTTCAAGAGAGCCCTGATTAGAATAGTTTGATTCACATCAGAGTCATAACCAAACTACATAGATAGAAGAAAAGGGTTAACTTTGGGGCAACTTTAAGACCTTGTAGCTCCTCGAGTTTTAAATTTATGCACACGTACATGGTTTAATATGATAAATTCAAAAAATTTCTTAATTTGCAACAGCTAGTCAATAAATTGAGTAATGGTCGGTAATACGTATGATTTCAATATAACGTTTAACTTACTTCAGTTTAACGTGTTTCTTAGCAATCATGATCTTTGAATTTTTGTGCTTCTCTTTTTTAGAACTATCAACGAAATATCAAATATATCCTTAAATATAGACGCCTCTGCAATTATTTGTTAGATGAAGGTTAAAGCCAAGTGAGCTAAAGCTCTTTAAGATTGTGGATGTTGAGATCAATGCTTGATCTACTCTTGTATTATTCTCAAGGCTAGGCTAATATTTAGTTTGTATTAAGAAAATTGTGTAAATTCAACCAATAGAGTACCATATGCAAAATCCGGAAAAGCCAATCACAATCTCATTGATCAAAATATTGTAGGGATAAAGAAGAGAGTTCAGCAGGAAATCAAAGTGTCCAGAGCTGAAAACTGTAGAATGGTGGATATTAAGATTTATGCTTGATCCTCTCTTTTTCTTAATATCGAGAATGACTTAATCTTATACTTGTATCCTGAAAAGTGCATAAAATTCAACCAATCAGAGCGCATACATGAAGCCGATAACTTTGAAATGTTGCGCGCCATTTAAGATTATATACAGATACGGAAGAGACTCTCTAAATTAAAAAAAAACCTGTTTTTGATTTTTCTCTACTATATCCTAGAAAGAACGGTTTAAGAAGTAAATCAAAAGTGTGTCCATTGGATACTCAGATTAAGTAATCGGGATTAAGGATATCTCATTCTAAAGTTTTCAGCTCAGATTGGATCAATGGGTTGTAATCCAATTCCAAAGTTCCCAGCTCTGAAGTCAGAACTTTAACAGCTCCGTCAGTACTCAGACTTCAGATTAATTTGATTCGAACGCATAAAGAATTAATCTGGAAATTTAAAAGGGCCCATATTGGATATTAGGATCAAGGGGTCAAGATTAATGATATTCCACACAAGTGCTCAAACCTTTTCTATTACTCTTTGGTTGTAAGGTTACTGAGAATTATGTTGCGAATTCCATAGATGTTTAAAAACCCTTCTGCAAAATACTTCCAACAATTTGGCGGATTTTTACTAATTAAAAACTTACCAAAGAATACCCAGGGGAGGTTTTTTATCTAAACTTATACCATTTCATAGAACAGGGCTGGTATACAAAATAATTTTCAACAAGATTATATATTCGTTAGTACAGTTTTAGAGTTTATTAATACGAACCGAAAAGTTGTGGCGGACCTTAACAGAAATGACAGGAAAAATTTCGACTTATTTTGATATATATTTATAAACTTGATAGTATTTCAATAAATATTAATAATACTTTAGATTACTTTGATAGAAAATCATGAAATTTGATGGAATTCCAAATAAATTTTATCAAATTTCATAAAATTTGTAAAGAAGTTTAAAAAAAAATTCATAAAATATATGTCTGTAAAACTTCATTAAACTATAATCGCATGTCAAAAAATTGGATAGAATTTTATAAAACTTTGATAGCGTATAATAAAATTGGATAGAATTTTATGTAACTTTGATAGAATTTCATAAAACTTTGATTAACATAAAAAGTTCACATTTATGAAAGAATATCTACTATTTTGAGAAGTAAGTAATTATTTACCAAAGAATCAGTTTTGTCAATTAATTTTGATTAGTTCAAACCAAAAAGATTATCAAGTACAATAGGTGGCAACAGAGAATTTAACCAATTATACACGACGTCACAATTGTCAAATTTAACAAGGAAAACGAAATTTTCTTACATTAGTTGACATGTTTTCCAAGATTAAATCAAAAAGTGCAAAAACACAAAATAAAGAAGAAATATAATTGCCCTTATTTTACTGTAAGATACACATTTAATTCTAGAATTATCACTATTATTAATAATTTTGTCGGACACAAAAACTGAGTTGACACTTATGACGTCAGAATACAGCTGTTCTGAGAGTGTACAAATTTTACGTTGCCATCTATTGCACTAGAATCTATTTGGTTCAAACATTTACTTTAGTGGATTCAGTTTTTTCAACAATATTTTATCTACTTTAAACCCTAACTTTGTCGCTAAAGAAAAACACATATTGTTGAGAGAAGGGGTGGGGGTATACACAAATATGTACAATTAGCTCTCGAGGTTTGCCTGGATTTTCCCTAAAAAGTCAATTCACTCAACTTAGAATTTTTAAACCAGACTAAAAGCATTCCTTTGGTTGTCCTACTTCCCAAGTCAAAATTTGAGGCAAATCGGTCCCGGGGTTCATTAGTTATGCTTGGACATACATACAAACAGACAGACACCCAAACAGAGATTACTACTTAATATTTATAGATGAATATTCATTATTAATTCCTTCATTTTTGAAAGTACGAATGCTATGAATTATTTGTAAAATTTTAAGAAACGTCAAAACTTGGCATACTCTTTTACACACATTCATCCATTTATCAAGGATTATTCAAATAATTCAAAATTTTAATATTTAAACTTAAACTTGATATTTAACTATTTAGTAGTTTAACAGCCTCTCCATTCACTCAAAATATAAAAGTCAAACTTTAATGTTAAAAGGTCATCCCTAAAAGTAGGAAATATTAAGATTTATTTTCAGTTATATTGTGCAGCAATGTTGAATTTTAAAAACTCATTTTATTTTATTTATCTACAATATATCAAATATACATATATATATATATATATGAATCTATATAAATATCACACTCCACTAGACATAAGCAGGAGGTCATTTGAGACATTACTAATATAAATTTGTGACCTTGTAGCTCCTCGAGAAAAGAAATTTTTTTTGTTAAAATTAAAATTTTGTTGTTCTTTTTATTTCTTTTATAAGAAGAGTAGTCATGGTTGAAAGCAAGGATTTAATTTATTATTAATTTATTCCAAGAGGAAGTGGGGTTCATACAGTACGCAATACGCATACTGCAGGATCTGCTGGGGCAGGGTTATAATGCAAGGAAAGTTATTTCAGAGGTGTACGCATCTTTTGTACTGCAGTGTACTGTCACTGGGCGGTAATGTAAACACGAGACGGATGTCGAAGCCTGACATGGGATCCATCTTTCACGTAAATAATCAATGAAATATGCTGGTCATAGGAAACTATTATGTGAATGTTCAAAATTATCAAAATTAAATGCTTTTAACCTCCTCGGATACTAAACAAACACTGATGCATCTCTTGATTACAAATTCCGCCCAGAGAGAACTGGTTTCGATATGTACGCAACTAAAATTAAAATTCCTTGCATTACATCCTTGGTTGAAAGCATTTAGATTTCAATCTAGCGTAAAATTACGTCATATATAACAACAATTTTGACTGTTTGTTTGTTAACTTGTATATCCTAAAATCACTTATTCACACCTTGATGGAATTGCCTCAAAAAAATGGAGTCTTTAACACAAACTCAAATTTTCTAGTCCCTTTATCTAAGAAACCAGATGGTGTAAACCTTTTATATTTAAAACTTAAATTTTCTGATCTGACATAATTCACAGCTTGAAATATCCAAGGTCTACGCCATTGGGTTGTAAAAATACAGGAATTAGAAAAAAACAGTTTATGACCAGGACATAATTCCTTTTGATTGGAATTTCTTTCTGAGATAGAGCCTTTTAATGGCACAAATTAAATGACTTGGCATAGGAAAAATCTAGTTTATAGCTACAATCTAAAAAAAAATGCAAAATAAAATCCTTAAAGTCGCCTCTGAAGTCTCATCCTTTGTGAGCAACCGGCCCTGTATATGGAAATCATGTTCTAGAATTTAAAAAAAAACAGTAAATTTTTACATAAAACATTTTAAAATATATTTGATATTCTTTTAAAGCGTTTTTCTTACACCAAACCGATGTAATACCTTGTCACCGTGAATTTAAGTTCAATAAACAGGATTTAAAGGTTTATCCTTTGTACCTTATATATAGCAAGCCTGGATACAAAGCTTTAAAAGGTTTAGATCTAAATAAACTAAAGATTTATAAGGATTTATTTTCTATTCTCCTCATGCATACTTTATTCTTAGATTCTAGAAACAAACAAATATAAAATCCATCAAAAATATAAAGACACGGTTGTTTAAGCCTATTTTGGTAAACAATAACAACAAACAACAAACAATAATAATGTCAAAAGGAAATTGAGTCTTTGCAACAAACTCTGATTTTCTGATCTTTGTATCTTTGCAACCAGTTGTCGTAGACCTTAGATATTTCAATATATTAATTCTGAAAAGGTTTACATCATCCATATTGAGAAAGAAACCCTAATTTTGAGTTTCTTTATTAAAAAGTAACTTTCCCGATTCCCAATTATACCTGGTTTACAAATTCATATTTTTTACACAGACGTACAAAGAGTTAGAGGGTACTGTTGTGAATCAAGCAGTTATTATTTATGCGGAGGGTTATACATCGACAATCCATCACTGTTAACTAGGGTCAATTTGAATGTTGGCCCGGTTTTACAGTTTCCCGGCCTTTCATATGCATTTTTGGCCTACCCCAAAAGCTTAGTTTAATATGCTTTTTACGATCTGTATCCAATTCTAATTCTGAAAAAAAACTTTAATATTATTGCTGTAGGTTAGTGACGAGGTAGGGTACGTGATTTACTCAGCTCTGGGTTCCTTCTACATCCCCTCCTGTATCATGGTATTTGTGTACATCAAGATCTACTACGCAGCCAGGTACATAAACATCCACTCCTGTATCATGGTATTTGTGTACATCAAGATCTACTACGCAGCCAGGTACATATAAACATACGATGTTAGGTACTTTCCCAAAGGCCTTTTCCCAAGGCTATTTCCCAAGTGCAACTTGCCCATGAAGGAAAATTAAGCGGCAACTTTCCAAATGCACATTTTCCCAAGTAACAATTTCCTTAAATAAGATATTATATGTTCTTTTATAGACAATTAATAACTGCAGCGCTCGGCCCCCATTGTAGCATTCAGAGCCTTGGACGCCTAACGTAACCTTAAATATTGTACTATATTTTCTTTAAAGTAATAGCTGCAGCGCTCGGCCCCCTATAGCCCATCCTAGCATCGGAATGCTTACCCTATCTGTAAATAATAATAAGGAACGTCTAATACATTTATACCCTTTATAAAAAAGGGTGTAGGCGCCGACATGTTCTTTTGCCTTAACTGAGCTGGGAACTTTTGAATGGTGATATCGGGATTAAGGCTTAATCCACTCTTTTTCTTAATTTCGAGATTAAATAATGCTTGTTCTCCTCTTGTTATTAATCTCCAGATTAATTAACCGATCGGGATTAAGAATGTCCCATTCTAAAGTTTTCAGCTCAGAATAAATTTATTTTTAAGTTGCGTATTTTCTAAAAAAAAGTTGAGAAATTCTTTAAGAAACGTAAAACTTAAATGTTCATTTAATACTTCCTTCAGGGGGTAAATGCCGTTTTTCCTTCATGGGGTAAATGCCGTTTTTCCTTCATGGGGAAGTTCCCACTTGGGAAATTGTCATTTGGGAAAATGAACATTTGGGAAGTTGCCGCTTGGGAAATTGCACATTTGGGAAGTTGTCACTTGGGAAATTGTCACTTGGGAAGTTGCCCTTGGGAAAATGCCTTTGTAAAAGTACCTAACACCAAACCTTCCAGCTCTATTATTTTATATTCGGTTTCTAGTTTGAAAAACATTAGAGAATTTATCAGAATTGAACATATCTTCCAAATTATTGGTCGGCTTAATGTTTCAAGGGTACCAGTGGCAGTGTGAAGCGGGAAAGGCCAGCTTAAAATGAAAAGTTATCCCTTTATAAATAATACATAAACTTTTGGCATTTTTCGAATAAAAAAAAATTATTTCAAATTTTCAAATTTTTTTTAATTAGAGGTGACACAAATTTGGATTAAAATCCCCCCCCCAGCATATCCTGGTTTTCAAGTACCCCAGCAGAGATAGGGTTAAGGAATTTGAACCGGGTTCAAACAAACCTGAGGCGCGGTTCAAGCAGTGTTTGTCCAGCAGAAAATTTGAATAAGTTGTTCGAGATTTGAGCTCAATTGGAACCGGTTATTGGCGGTTCAGTGAAGCGGTTCAAATTCTTTAAGTTCGGCCTCTGGAACCTTATGCTTTAGTTTGAAAGTGTAAATACTTGAATGTTTGAATACTTGAATGCTTGAATGCTTGAATAAGCTAGACTTTTATTACCTTTTTGCATTTTAAAAATGGTTGTTTTCCCATATCTGAATATTAATGGTACTTTTAACTGAAGAAAATGTCATATAATTTGCACTTAAAACTTGAATTTGAACAGAAATTGTGAAAAAAATCTTTCGAATTACGTTTTTATAAGTTAACGATTCCTTCTAAGTGTATGCAAGAAATAACCCTAATAATGGATGAAGGAGGGAAGGCACACCACATCTATTTTTACCCGACCACTAATGACGTCACAATCCACCATTATATTGTCCAACCACACCTTTTTTCGTCCGGCATTGTTTACTTTCTTTTTCAACGTCATCTTTTTTAAAAATCATTTAGTAAATTTTTTTTATCAAAGTTCACAAACCCAAAAAGTAGTTTAATAAGTGTAGAATCAAGTGGAGGCTTAAAGTGACTGCAGAGATAATTTTAATTCTGATTCACAACAATACCCTTCAAAGCTTTGTCTGATCAAGTATTGCATTAAATAACCATGTTTCCAACTTTGAAAACTGATTATTTTAATTTGTGGGTTATTGACAAAAGTGACTCATGCATTTCTTGCTTCAGAAACGATGGGGAAATGAAGGTTTCAACGGTTCATCGGACATGCCACTCTATAAATAGAGGGTCATTTGAAATTACACATGTATTCCATTTAAGTATAATTACATCATTTAAAAAAGATACTTTTAAATCTTACTTTTGCCCTTAACCTAAAAAGTTTCATTTAAAAGCTTTAATCACAAATGCCTTCAGTGTAAATATATATTTAATATCATTATTTATGTAATAAATCCTATGAAATTAAAGTTATTTTTAAAAAACGTTTCCATCTCTATTTTTCACTCCTTGAAGCTTAGAGGGATCGTCTGAGGAGTCCACTAAAGAGAATTACATAAATAATTTATAAACACTTGCTTGTAATATGGAAATTATAAGATCAAATAGCTTTCCTTGACATAGTTGAAAAAATCTAAAATCACATTGAACAACATAACGTTGCCTAAATTTGTAAACACAGAAGTAACGCCGAGACGAAAAAATGGTGTGGGATATGCCTTCCCTCGCTCACTGGAGGGGGGTGAAAAGCCTGCTCTAAAATTTTCGAACTGTTAATCAAAATTGTCTATTTATCAACCGAACTGATTGGTATGGTAATAAGAGATCCGTCATTTTATTTATATCAGCTGTTGAGCTCAAACAATTTAATATTTCATTTAAAACATTAAATTTGTTAAATTGCTAAAATTTAACTCTTAAATTCTAAAATGAGCATATAAATCACAAATATATACTATATGTACAATATATATATATTTTCGCTTAAGCATAAATCAAGAAAATGAAATATCAGAGGAAAATTTTATCTTCAAGCTTTATGGCTATTTTGAATTTAGAATTTAAATTCCAATATATCGAGGCTAAAGCCAACACGTTGTACAATAGAATTCAAATATTCAATCACAATTTAAACAATACACAATTCATATCTCTTTACTATTTTAGATGAAAATATGGATATTTCTTTTTACATATGTTTATTGCTTTTTGTGAATTTGTGGAGATATGTATATTTACATGTTAAGTGATCAATTTGTGGTATCATGATTTTTTTAAATAAAAAATATAAATACTTTTATCCAGAAGTCGCAGAAAATACAATTTTGATTAATTTTCTAACCCCGTAAGACAAAGAATATATTGGGATTTTTGAGAAATATACATGAAGTCAGATGCTTTGAGTTCACACTGTACACTAGTGCGCACACTCCATTTTTGTCAATTTAAACAACATTTTATGAGGGGGGGGGAAGGCAACCCGCACCCATTTTACCTCCGACCCGCATATGAAGTTACAAAACAGGATTTGCGGCATGCACTTCTCCCATGCCGTCCTACCCTTACCCGATTTGCCTTCCGGTAAAATTTCTTTATTTTGTTTTTGCTAATTATAGACGAATGCAGCATTAATTTAAATTTATAAAGACGTCATTGCATCTATTATATAATAAACTTATTCATCATATTTGTGTTTGTAACAGCGTTTTATTTAGTGTAGATTGTATTTGCGGCATCGCGCTATTTATGTCACTTACCTATATTCTTCTGACCCACATTTGATAGATGCAGATTTCGCAATTTACTTTTTATCAAAATATACGGGCTGACGATAATCTACTCGGCAAAAGTTTTGGAACACTAAGCTATGAAAAAATCATTTCTTAATTAAAATCTTGCATTTTATAAATTCAATTAAAATTTATAATTGGAAATAATAAAATTTTAGTTAAAGCCAATTGTGCCTGCCTGACGCTGCCTAAAAGAAATAAAAACCAATTTTTAAGCTTATATTGCCTATACAAATTAAGACATTTTTCCGGAAGGCAAAACAGGCGAGGGTCAGACACATAGGGGAAAGCGCATGCCGCAAGTTCCATGTTGTGACGTCCTCTGCTGGTCGGAGGTAAAACGGTTGAGGGTTGCCCCCCCCCCTTCTCATTGTATAGCTATAAACACACAGACCAATGACCAGTCAAATGTGTAGAGGGTACCAATGGAATTCATGCATTATACCCTTTGCATGGAATGATGAGGGTAACTTAAAGTTACGCTTACGATAAGTAAACTCCATATTTCATGCCAGGATATAAAAATCGTTCTGAAAGCTTTAGATATTAACTCAACGCTGACTTATTTTTTCTTTCTTCAGCGCTCGGCCTTTTAACAAAATCTAGCACATGTGCGCTTGATCCTTTGTAGCCTGGTGCGCCTCAAAACACCCTAGCCTATCCTAACTAAAAGATTTTAAGAGTAGAAATGATTTTGCGCGTTTTCTAAAATTCGTTGGAGCATTTTTACATTTTGAACTTTTTTTGAATAGAATAAAAGATGATTCCAAGTCAACGGACAGCATTAACCGAAAAATTTAATAAATAGTTTTAAAATAATTTCTGGGACGCAGTTTTAGTTAATTTATGTAAAAATTGCCTCAAAGAAACATCATCGTAACTGAATGTATATTTTAGAGCAAGAGCCAGAAGACATATCAAACCTAAGCCTAGCCCAACAAAAATGAGTAATCTAAAGGTAACATTTTTATCAGATTTTTCATAAATTATAACATTTTACCGATTTTTTTTATCAGGAACAGAAATAAAAATTATGTTTGACAGACTCGGAGAACAGAGTCAAAACGGGGGGGGGGGGACACGCACCTCTGCCCCTCTAGTAAAAGTAAATTGAACCTATATGAAGTATAAAGTCTGACCGCATCAACCTTGTTGCACTGGCTAGTCCTGTCCATAGAGCTAGGTACAGTACAGTACAGTAAGGTTGACCGGCTCGGAAATTCAAATGTACTTTGTCTGCCCGTTGGGGGGAGGCAATATCTGAAGGGGTGAGGGGGGAGGCAGGTAGCCATAGAGATGGAGGAGGGGACGGGTAATATATATGAAGGCGTGAGGGTGGGTGAGTTGGGTGAGAGGGGGGGAGGGGGGCAGAGAAATAAAAAGCTGAAAGTGGCAAGAAGAATCATGCAGAGGGGGGGGGGGTATCCTAAAAGGTGGAGTATGGTTGGCGGGGGAGGTTTTCGAAAAGAAGAGAGGGGGGGGTAAGTTGAGGTTAGTCTGTAATAAATATTGGGTAAACATGATTTTCTGTAAACCTGAAGTTCGTTGTACATTATTAACTCTCTATGTATTTAGACTTTTACGTAAACCCATTATTCAATAAAACTGCGTTTCAAATGAATACGTAGCATGGTTAGCTTAAATCATGTAATATATCTAATGACGTACAACTTAATTGCACTTATTTCAACTGTGCTATAATGCATAACATGATTGTCTTAACCATGTGATAAAGATAACAACGTAGAAATTGTAATTACATCTATTAACTTTAATTTGTAACATTTAAATCTCAAATACATTAGTTGATACAGAAACTCCGCTCTGATAACAGTCTTGAGGGTAATTTGGTTTCGTTAAAACATACGAATCGTTGTCTTGAGTTTTAGCTTAGTCTACTGAATGCTATTGTCTGAAAGCTAACGAGATTACTCTCAGGGGTAGTGGTATTGATAGTTCACGGGATTGTAGAGGTGTGGATTGTGTCTTGTTTGAGATATTGATCAATTGATTGCTATTGTCCAGTTGACATAGCTAACGAGATCGTGCCCAGTGGAAGTTTCGTTGATAGTTCAGGGGATTGTAGCCGTGTGTTGACATTGATAGTCAAGAGAATCTGAGTTGTACCTTGATAGATACTTGTTCGAGAAATTGTTATGGAGTAGGCGTTTACTACAAGTCTCTAGTGAACCAGAGATAAGCTTTATGAATAGGTAGGTAGATGGGAGGGGTTAAGGGTGGATGGTGGAAGCAGAATCAAATATACCTCCTCCTTCTCCTCCTTCTCTTCCTTCTCCTCCTTCTCCTCCTTCTCCTCCTGCTCTTCCTCCTCCTCCTCCTCCTCCTCCTCTTCCTTTTCCTCCTCCTATTCATCCTCCTTCTCATCCTCCTTCTCCTCCTCCTTCAGCGGATTGGATGGATAAAGGTTCGAGGTTTACAAACTCCGGGTTTAGAATTTCAATTTCCCAGATTTCGCAGAGTTTAATGTTTAATGTTAAATGTTTAATATTTATTACAAGTTTTATGAAAAATATTTTACAATTTGTACTTACTCTAATATTTCATAGATTATGTTTCTGCCTTAAATGGAGTGACCGGCTATGTAAGGTAGTTGAACTGAGTACGCAGTGTTGTTGAAAGCTTATTTCAGATTCATTTGAGACATATTAAACTTCTGTATACCCTGAGTTTGTGCGCAAATTCGACGTTCAAAACTCCTAAATTTGAGGATCACAGCCTAATCAGCCTTAATCAAGGTTATCCTAGCAGGATATGACCATCACAGGATATCAAATTAATGCGTAGATCTGCATAAAATTTAGGTCTAAACATATGCAATAGATTCAAAGATTCACAACTCAAACCATGCGGAGAATCAAAAGGATTCATTTACATGTTTCTATAAACCTTTTGGTTAATATCTTAATCTTTTGAATTAAAATATTCACAATGTTAGAGAATCAATTTTATAGAAAATTCAAATTTGACATATGGTAAGCATCGCAAATTTGTGTGGCGCGTAGTTGAAGTATAATACAAACCTTGAATGATTAAAATTAAAGAATTATAATGTGAAGAGAGTTATTTCAGAGGTGTACGCATTTTGTGTACTGCAGTGTACTGTCTCTGGGCTGTAAAGTAAACGCAAGACGCATTATACCTGGTTTAAACAATACCATGCACGCTGATGCATTGGAAGTGCTGGGCTGACTTTTAGGCAGCTAGATTATATAACAGAGACTATATATCAACAGCAAAACAGGACGGTACACCAATTGAGTGAGATTAATGTGCTCTTAATTTAGGAGTACAGTATGCAGTTGAGACAGGGAGATCTCAATCCTTGGAAACATAAGCGTCTCGCACAGGTAAAGTTCATTTGCAGTACATTTACAGTACATTTGCAGAGCATTTGAAGTACATTTGCATTATATTTGCAGTACATTTGCATTATATTTGCAGTACACTTGCAGAACATCTTTAATCTTCTTGCAGTACACTTGCAGTACACTCGCAATACACTTGAAGTACACGTACATTATACTTGCAGTATATTTGCAGTACACTTACACTACACTTGCAGTACGCTTGCAGTACACTTCAGTATTTTTTTCTGTGATCAATTCCTCTCTCAGGTGTGAATAATTAGGTTTTTCCCACAGGCCTTAATTACCCCCGGAGAACTTTATTTTAAAATTCTATTTTCCATCATGATAATTTTCTCAGATGTTGGTTGCAATTGTATAGAATTATGTCAGTGCAACCCTGGGAGTAAAGCTAGTATAGAAAGATTAAATTCAGAAACAGCACGGGAACCCAGCTTTACCTTAACTCATTTTAAAGAGCTAACCTATACAACAACGAACTTTTTAACCTAGCTAAGAACGTTCCAATGGACATACAGAGTTTAACAATCACAAGTTGGGGCAAATTTGTTAAGGGGTTTATGAGTTATGATCGGACATCCAAACAAACAAACAAAAAGAGATTACTATTTATATACATATAGATACGCAAAGATAGATAGACAGATAGAAAATAATGATAATAACCCTAATTCCAGCCCTTCCGTTTACAGACATCGTTAACTGTTATTGTATCATTAATTATGAATATATTCTAATAAGATTACCTAGATTTTCCATCTTCAACCATAATCAATATTTATCTTTCAACCAAACTCTTAAGCAGCTTATACACCACTATTCTTAGACCCCTAGAGAATAGAGCTATCTAAACAGCTGGGGAAATTATGCATCAACTTTCAGACGGGTCTAACTTTGCCCTTACCTTTTCACATGTACTTTGTGTAGCCCTGGACACGAATATTTTGCCAGATCCGCATCAGAATGTTAAAATTCTAGTTTTCATTAATGTAATTTTCTTCAGGATCGGATTTTCTTTAGCATTCAAATTCGGTTGTGTCACTCAGTATTCACTTTTCAGTTTAAAGTTTGCAAAATTGTGTCATTTAGTCATGTGGTTTAATACATTTTCTGAAGTCCTAAAATTTTGCTAAATTTCTAAACTTTTAAGAGAAAAAAATTGGGAAAAACGAACCCAAAAACGATAGTTTTTAACCAATCTCTGATTATTTTTTTTGCGAATATTTTCTCTAAAATTTGACAAAGAGTGTAAGGAAATCAAACAATTTTGAAATTAGTGAAACTTCTCAAATTTATGCATTTTTTAATCTAAAATCCAAAAACCCTGAAAGTTTAATAATATAACCAATGTTTTGCCCATCACCAATGATGAGGGGGGAGGGGGGTTAAGTATAAGAATTTAAATATTCGTTCTTGAAAGGAACTTGAATTTCTAAATTTAAATTTTAATTTGGTCTGAATATTGAAAATGAAAGGAATCTAACCCTTGATTAAATTCATTGGTGGAATCTAGTTATTTAAATTTTCCTTAAGATATATATATATATTGAATTCAGTCCAACTGGTTAAAACTGAATAAATAAAGCAAGAGATATCATAAATTAAAGGAGAGTAAAAAAACACTAACTCTCTGTGATATACAGACTTACCCACAAAGACGACTTAAATATCATCCAGCAAACAGTGGCCGAGTTAAAATCGAAAAAAACCTGTTTGCACGTCTTGAACACTCTGATTCTATTCATGGAACACACCAGTGACGACACTTATATAATTACACTTCCTATAATTACATTTGATATAAGCACTTCCTATAAATACATTTCTTATTGACTTACATTTCATGTAAGGTTATATTTCAAATTAAGTTACACTTCCTATAAATACACTTCTTATTGAGTTACATTTCCTGTAAGGTTATACTTCAAATAATGTTACACTTCCTATAATTACATATTACACATTATGATGTGAGAAAAAAAATTCTGAGAGTCGTCTTTGAAGACCAATGCTTTGACAATAACCCTGTTAGTTTGATAATTAGGATAAAAATACTTTTCTTTGAATTAAATGAAATAAAATATTTTGTATTTTAGGCCAAATCCTACCCGGGCACGGTACCACCAACTGACCCGGCTCTCATCAACGGGAAACCAAAAAAGGTATCTAACATTAAAAGTGCCTATATTGGATATCAAAATCAAGCGCTTAAAATTTTCTACCTCTGAATAGTTAGCCTTTCATGATTTAATGAAAAGTTTAATATTGATAATATAATGAATATAATGAATATAATGAATATAATGAACGACATTTTCTGAACAAGCTAATTCTTTCCTGAACAATGATTCGTTCAGAAAAATTAACGTAGAATGAATGAACGAAGGGATCGTTCAGAAAAATTAACGTAGAATGAATGAACAAAGGGATCGTTCAGAAAAATTAACGTAGGATGAATGAGCGAAGGGATCGTTCAGAAAAATTAACGCTGAATGAATGAACGAAGGGCTCGTTCAGAGAAATGGGAATGATAATGTTTTCCTAAAGAACCAAATTAAGAAAATGAACAGTTTAAAATCGCTTGATAATAAACATGATTGAGCATGAACTTGAGATTATTAAAATAAAACATGCACGATTTTATAACGATTAAATCAGAAGCACGATAAAGAAGAGAAGGGATATTTGGGGCTCAACCCCCCCCCCCCTAAGTAAAATCTATAGCCCCCCCCCATCGGGAAAACCAGTTTTACTGAAAAAATGGGATTTAATTTAATGAACGATTTTATTGCACGAACAAACAAATTAAAATTTCTACGAAAGAATTGAAAAAAACGAAAGAGGCCGTCTCTAACTGTAGCTGCACCTTTTTTTGAACATTTCAAAGAACATTTATTTCAATACAACGATATTAAAGTCATAAATACAAATGTTTAAGCTTAATGTTTCCTTAGATCATAAATCGTTGAGAATTAATTCAAAATGTCAAAATGAAATAATAACTCTTAAAATATTTCCAATTGTTTAGGTTTTGTTGGGATTAAGCGAAGAAGAAAAGGAATTATGCAAAAAGAGCATCTGCGAGGTTTGTATAAAAACACACAAAACAAAGGCATTCATGGGAAACTAATGCATCTTAATCCATGCCTTGAAAATTGGAATTTAAAAATTTGCTGTAGTTTAGTATCTTTATATATATTTAAAGAAAGTAATCTTTGGTTGTAATTTTTGATGTTCGTTTGTTTGTTTGTCAAAAAAGAACTTAGAACAGGGTTACCCACAACGGACAAGACTTGTTGCTAGAACCAAGAATAAAAACTTAGAACAGGGTTACCCACAACGGACAAGACTTGTAGCTAGAACCAAGAATAAAAACTTAGAACAGGGTTACCCACAACGGACAAGACTTGTAGCTAGAACCAAGAATAAAAACTTAGAACAGGGTTACCCACAACGGACAAGACTTGTAGCTAGAACCAAGAATAAAAACTTAGAACAGGGTTACCCACAACGGACAAGACTTGTAGCTAGNATATATATATAGATATATATATATATATATATATATTTATACATTTATAAGACTAGGCTTCCAGTGCGTTTTGCACCTATCTTCGGTTTAAACTTTTAATTATTGCTCTATCTCCGCGGCATTCAGATTATTAAACAATAACAAACAAAAAATTCGCAGATTTATCGATTTTTTGATGAATTTGAAAAATCGATTATATTGAATTCTGACCATCCATAAACCTTTCCTAGGGTAATGTGAGGTCCCACACAAATTTAGGCCGGATCGATTCACACGTCAAATCGGCTCAACCGATCGGGCCCAAATGTATTGTACCAACTCCATGACCCCAGAGCTCAAAACTTAAGACAGGGTATCGTTATGAAAACCAGTTTTGGAACCCGGTTTTCACAAATGGGTTAGGTAATTTTGTGGATAACAATATTTTTATGATGAATTATTATTTATTTTATATCTTCATATTCTCCATTTTTTTGAATCTCTTAAATCAAAATCTACACAAATGTTAAGACCCCAAAAAGAAAAACTCTGGAGTTTCGTGTTCAACGATACTCTTTTAAATTTCGGGCTCTGGGAAGGTCTTTGGATGATCAAAGATGAATCTGTGAAATGCATTACCCCAGAGAGGGTTTATGGATATTAAAACTGTGAAAGGCATGACCCCAGAAAAGGTTTATGGATGGTAAAAGATGAAAACTGTCGCCAAAAAAAATTATCGGAATTTATTATTTTTTATAATGCGAAAATTGAAGCAAAAAAATCGATGAAATAAAATCTACAAAGAAAACTGCAGCTCACGAAGAGCCACATTCAGTAGTTAAAAACATTGCAAGAGCTGGGGCGCGGAGCGCCCTGATACAGGTTCATCCAGTAAGGATGAGTCTTGAATGACGGCCTAGAATTCCTTCGTTAATAAAATCGTCTCTGATGTTTCATCCTTTGAAGTAACTTTGCAAAAAGATATCATATTCTAGATCTCACGATTGAATTTATGAATCGCAATATATTAATCTCCTACATTATTTCTAGATTCAAATCTTCTTCTGAGATTTAATCTTGTTCTGTTAGGAAATAAACAAGAGAAATAAAGTCGGGTCCAGGAAACACAAACTCTTTTATTTTTTCATTTTCTTTTTATTTATTCAAACTGTTTTTACTTTTGAATCAAAACACTGAAAAACCTTTTCACCCAGAAAACATAAATGAGAAGATACTTTTTATATAATTTTCTGAAAATAAAATATTTTTAATTCATTTTGCACGTACGTTTTCCATCTTTGAACTTTCACAGCAACTCTTTAACTTTTCAATGGAACTTTAAATTAAGTTTAAAGAACCCTCCTTGTCTGATTCACAAAGCTGTACAACGAAAATATGGTCGTCGACAGTGGAAAAGTCCGTGTACGTCAACGCAGATCTACAAATATATAGATCACTGGAAATTATAAGTTTACAAGCGTAAATTCTAGTAACCCTCCATTTAAAGATTATTATTATCATAAAGATTTATTCACACACAAAGATATAAATAATGGTGTAGTTTAAATTTGTTCAAATAAATTTTTGAATATTTACAAAAGAAAAAGGAAAAAATGCACAAATAGGCGACATTGATCATTACTCATTTCATAACATATTTATCATTTCGAATCCTTCAACATAATATACAACGGTACCCTAAAATGTTTTGTCTGATTACGTATTAATTAGATATCCATGTTGGTTGTTTATTTAAACTGTTTATTTTCATATGTGGTTTCGCTGCTAAAGCGACTTGCGCATTTATAGCTTATAAGAAACAATGGAGAAATTATCAGAGTTTGACACTTTTTGAGTCAGAAAATGACGATATCTTCCATATTTTTGATCAGATTAAGGTTTCAAGAGTACCATTGTAAATCGGGCATTGTTTTCTGTGCATGGAGGGTCCCTTGAATTACGCTTACACTCCCTTTACCTTAACTATGAGGCCTATTAAGGGACTACCATTGTAATTTTAGGGACTTACCATATATAGCCAGCTAGGTTTGTAATGTTTCCCTTTAACCCTTTACCATATATAGCCAGCTAGGTTTGTAATGTTTCCCTTTAACCCTTTACCATATATAGCCAGCTAGTTTTATATTGTTTCCCTTTAACCCTTTACCATATATAGCCAGCTAGTTTTATATTGTTTCCCTTTAACCCTTTACGATATATAGCCAGCTAGGTTTATATTGTTTCCCTTTAACCCTTTATCTCATCAAACATGTTGAAGGCATTACCGTTTTTCTAGCTTAAAAAGTGTCGAATTTTGACAATTTCCTCCATTTTTTATGATGCAGAAAGAAAGCAATGATTAGAAAAAATCAAGCTAAATTATTGTTTCTAATCAGATAAAGCTTTTATTGAAAATCAGATTATATGCCACTCCATTAATGAAAAGTCACATAAAATGGCGTTACAGTCCCTTTAAAAAGATTATCATTTAATTGTTGCTCTATCTGTGTGGCACTTAGATTATTAAACAATAACAAACAAAAAATTCGCGGATTTATCGATTTTTTGATGAATTTGAAAATTTTTTTGAATTCTGATCATCCATAAACCTTCCCTACAGTAATGTGAGGTCCCACAAAAATTTGGGCCGGATCGATTCAGCCGTTTTGACGACACGTGTATTGGATGCAAAGGGATGTAAGCTGCCGCGCCAGACAGACAAGCAAAGTATATAGATGACTTGAAAGAATCCTGATTTATACTTTAAGACAGGTTTTTGCCGAAGTTTTCAATAACATTGGGTTTTTGTCATCATAATAAATGATATTTTTAAATCTATCTCTAGACGATGGAAAAATATATATTTTACAAGAAATTCTTTTTTTATACTTTCCGATTGATGTTAAAAATAATGATTTGGTAATATTATTCATTTTTCTATATCAATTACGAGACAATCCAAAAACTATTTTTTTTATTAATTCTATGAAGATCATTCCATAGGCCCATTCGGGTGTAAAAGAGAATTTTGTTAGGAGTGAAATTTAAAGTATTTTAAAAGTTTTTTTTCGTCCAATGAAATTCTATCATTTTAATCTTTCTTATTCGTTCTGTTTGATATCCATTCATTTTTCTCTAAATAGTTCGTTCCTTTTACCACGATATACGTTACCCTCAAGATGAACTTTAGAAATATTGTTAAAGGTGCAGTGGTTAGTGCAGCCGCCCAGGATGGATTTTAAAAAATGCATTTCCTGCTTTAACCATTAGAAAATTTTAGATAAGAATTCAATTTGGCACAAAATGTAGATATATTCTTCCAGCGTATCTTTTTCAATATCTAAGTCCAATATTTTCTAGTCGATGCCTCTGAATGGAGATACGGATATAAATGGAGTTCATAAGGAGGGGGTGGAGGGGAATGGACTTGGAGCAACCCCTGAAGAAGGAGCTCAGTGTGTAGGGGGAGTAATGGTGGCAGGAGCAGAAGGAGGAGCGGAAGGAGTAAAGGGGGAAAGGAGAACTAGGTTTGAAGAAGATGAAAATCAGGAACGATCCTCTTCAGATTCCAGTTTTGACAGGTAAAAACTTTTGAATAGCTGACATTTATTGAGTTAAGCGGATTCACTTCATTCTCTCGTAAGCTTTACCTCAAAAAGACCAGTTGAAATAATGGTTTGATAAGATGTATTAAGAAAAATTGGATTTTGAAACCTCAAATATTTTGGAAAACATATCATTTAAATATTTTTTTATGGACATTTTAAAAATCTAAACGTTACAATTATAGGTTAAAGATTTACTCATAGCAGAAATGTCCTTATTGTAAAATTACGAATTAACTAATGTTCTAATTCTAGATGTCCTATTTATAGATTTTCTTTTTATAGATGCATAATAGATATACTAATTCTAGATGTACTAATTCTAGATGTACTAATTCTAAATGTACTATTTCTAGATATACTAATTCTAGATATACTAAATCTAGATGTACTATTTCTAGATATACTAAATCTAGATGTACTAATTCTAGATGTACTATCTCTAGATGTACTAATTCTAGATGTACTAAATCTAGATGTACTAATTCTAGATGTACTAATTCTAGATGTACTATTTCTAGATACACTAATTCTAGATGTTCTATTTCTAGATGTACTAATTTTAGATGTACTAATTCTAGATGTACTAATTCTAGATGTGGTCCAATGAGGCCCGGCAGTATATTTCACAAGCTGAGGCTAGGACGAAGGTAAAATTTTACTTTTCAAATTTTCAAAGAAAATCTTGGAAAAATCTAAACATTTTGAAATGAAAAAAGACCCAAATTATAAAAAAAAACACAAAAAAATGGTTGCGTTAAACAAATCAAAAATATTAGGAAAATATTAGAGTATTTTTAATGCTTCCTTTACAATGAATATCAAATACAATACTGGAACTGAATAATGTATTCATGTAGAAAATATGCAATTAGCCAAATTAAATGTACACTGAACAAAGTTTAACATGACATCATTAATTAAAAAAATGATATTGCAAGATTGTAATTTGAAGAAATCAACCAATTAATTTTGCAAATGTTTTCCCAAAATTCATTGAATTTTAATATTTTTTGCGATAATTAATTATTTCAAAAATAGCTTTTTTATTGAAAAGCATACAATAACTATTTAGATGTCTTTTGGTATTACATATTAAGTATTTCAATATTTTGCCGCGTTTTATTTTAAAGTTATATACATTAATAAGCGCTATTTATTCTGATATATATTCTTATTGTTAATCATTCTCTTAAATTCTAATATATATTTTAGTATTTTCTGTATTCTCAGATCTTATATCACGTGGATTTAACGGTTCTGTCGATATTCCAGAAAACTGTGACTTTCGATCACAATTTGTCCTAATAAACATCATTTTTTTTTGCCTTTTTTTCTTGCATACTTTTTTGTCGGCATACACATTTTGAATTAAAAGTTTAAAACAAACAAATCCGTAAGTTTAAAGGTTGTTTAATTATAGACCAAAACGCGCATAATTTCAAATAGAAGAAACCGAATGCCTCTAACTCTGGTTAGTCCGGTGTGATATATATATTCTGAAATATTCTAATCATTGCTGATATATTCTGATATATTCAATTTATTAATATGTGTATTCAGATATATTCTGTATATTCTGATATGTTTAATATATTCTAATTATACATTTCAAAAATGTTCTAAAATTTAGGAAGAAGATTTGTGAATTATAATTTTCACGTTTCCAGTTTCATATTTCAACAAGTTTTCCAGTCTGAAACAGTCTTAATTTTTCTATAAAAATGATTAAAATTTTATTGAATTAAACTCTTTCTCTAATGAAATTCCCCTATACTTTGATTTGAAAGATACAAACTGAGAATTTCAATGAAGGATAAAATGAGGATTGTAACTGCTGAAGGGAGAGGGGAAGGGAAAGGAGGAGGGGACAGGGGAAGGGAAAAGATGAGAGGACAGGGGATGGAAGGGGAAGATGGGTGGGGGGAGGCGGTTATGATTTGAGGTCTACAGTATCTGCAATGCATTTTCATCCTTGCACAATAATATCTATGACAAGTTTTCTAAATTGGTTGATATTAGAAAGGAAATAATCCTCCTTACAATTTGGTCCCAAAAATTGATTATTTTCAGTTGTGGTTTGTCTATAATTGTTACTTGCTTGACTCAATGGAGTTTTACAGGGTTCCATTGTTTATCATGCACACCATGCACTCTTCAAATTGAGTAAAACTTAAAATTACGTCTTTGCATTCCTTCTAGGAATCTCCTTAAAACATATGACGTTATAGTTGCGTTAGATATTGATTTCTTTATAACAATCTAAGTAAAAAATATAAAATTTCATCCCAATAAAGATGATTATTAAAGAGCGAGATCGAAGAAAATTGGCGAGAAAGAAGGAGCGACGTGCAACTCTGATTTTAGGTAAGATTCATTTTCATATGCAGCATTAGCAGGTTTTGTATAATCCCATGCAGCCATAGGCTGTTTCCATACAGACCTGGTACACACCTGATATGTGGTACTTGCACGGCCATATTAGTAGTTTCTGTACAGACATGGTACTGTCACGACCATGTTGGCAGATATGTGGTACTTGTTCAGCTATATTATCAGTTCCTGTATAGACACGGTACCAGCACGACCATATTAGCAGTCCTGTACAGACTTGGTACACACCTGATATGTGGTACCTGCACGACCATACTATTAGTTCCTGTATAGACACTGTACCAGCACGACCATATTAGCAGTCCTGTACAGACTTGGTACACACCTGATATGTGGTACCTGCACGACCATACTATTAGTTCCTGTATAGACACTGTAGCAGCACGACCATATTAGCAGTCCTGTACAGACGCTGTACTCACCTGATATGTGGTACTTGTTCAGCTATATTATCAGTTCCTGTATAGACACGGTACCAGCACGACCATATTAGCAGTCCTGTACAGACTTGGTACACACCTGATATGTGGTACTTGCACAACCATACTATCAGTTCATATATAGACATGGTACCAGCACAGCCATTTTAGCAGCCCTATACAGACTTGGAACACACCTGATGTGTCAATTATCAGTTCCTGTATTAGGGTACCCGCACGGCCATATTAGAAGTCCTGTACAGACACAGTACACACCTTATATTTGGTACTGGCTTGGCTATATTAGTATTCCTGTACAGACACAGTATACACCTTATATTTGGTACTGGCACGGCCATATTAGGAGTTCTATACATACAGAGTACACACCTTTTATTTGGTAATGACACGGCCATATTAGCAGTGCTATACATACAGAGTACACACCTTATATTTGGTACCGGTACAACCATATTTACAGTCCTGTGCAGTTACAGTACCCACCTTATATTTGGTACTGGCTCGGCTATATTAGTATTCCTGTACAGACACTTTACACACTTTATATTTGGTGCTGGCACGGCCATATTATCAGTCCTCTACAGACACAGTACACACCTCATATTTGGTACCAGCACGACAATATTTACAGTTAACAGTATTGCGTTAGATACGTAAACATATCGTGATGTACACAACTGACCACTTTATTAATTAATTAATAGAGAGGTCGGTTGTGTACATCTGAGGTAAGCTTTACCTCTTCGTTTTATTACTCTATGGGACCTATTATTATCTATTATTCCAGCTTGGCAAGGATTATATGGTTGTACACCATATAATCCTTCGCTTTTCAGTAGATTTGAAAAGATTAAAAGTAGATTTGATAAAAACAAGTTTAATTTTATTTAATAAGAAAGAAAATTAGTATGGAGGGCTTTGTATGCATCGGTAGTTGGGTTGCATATCAACCTTCAGAATTCGGTTGAAATTAATTTCCCAGGAAGAGGACGTTTTTATCACATTTTTATGCAGATTTTCCCATTGCAGGAGGATGCAAAGCATTTAAATATTCATTCCTAGTTTATAGAAAAATTTTATTTTATCTTTTTAAATTCTTTTTAAATCCTGTTCCGTCTTGTTTAATTTTATTAAAATTAAACAAAATTTCTTGTACATTTCTTTTGTGAACTTTTTATTTAAATAAAACGGAAATAATTGAAATTCTTAATTTTTATGAAGAGAAAAAAAGCTTAGCAAGTCCTTGAAAGAAATTTCATCAAAATGTGATTATATAATTATTTTTCTATAAATCAGCAACAGAAAAAGCAAAACAAAAATTAAAATTAAAAAGAAGTTTAAAAGAAGCTTAAATTTTTTCATTTTTTTAAAAACCAAATTATCATTTCAAATAGGTGAGCAATCTCTCATAGAACTTTTAAGTATGTTACTTTCATCCCTTCTATTTCGAATCTCAGACCATTTTTCATCTAAGTTTTAATATTACAAAGCACACTGTTTGGAAATATTTTTTGTAAAAAAAGTAATATCGTTTACACATAAGAGAGACACAGCGCTGCGGACCCCTTTAACTTTGAAATGTTGATTTTTTAGTCGCCATTTCCCAGTTATTTTTGTTTAGATTGGTGAATTTCCAAAAAATTTTAAAATTCACAATGTTTCTAAGATTTTCTCACTTTCGGATGGCCATAAACCTTCCCGGGAGTCATGTGACTGCGAATAACTGCAAATGCAAGCCAGACATAGAAGATTTATAGAAAAATTAGAAATATTATTTTTGGCAACATTTCAAATTCTCTTTTAAGTTTAATTTTGAATTATTGTCTCTCTAAATATGTATGTATTTATTAAATGTATACATTTCAGGGCTTTTATATATTTAATTTAAATATTGAATAGGATTTGAAATCTAAAGAATATATTGAATGGATACCTTTATATTCCCTTTATCCTTCAATATACGATAAATACATATAAAGTGGAATCTTCAGGGGGTAATAAGGCAAGGTAAAGGATGATATATAAAAAAAATGTTAAACGCAGAACAACAAAAAAGTTATCATTTTTCAAAATAAACAACTAAACATTTGTCAACAGGTTGTGAAATACTGACTTTATCCAAGTCAATATTCTTATTATTTCTTTTGTAAACATATTTTTTTTAAATGTACACTTTGCTCATTTTCTTTTGTAAAAAGTTCCCCGTTGAATATATTTTTTTTCATAAAAGTCGACGTTTTAGATACGATTCTAAATTTTGAACAGCCTGGAGTTGTATGAATTTGCCCATCTTCTATTTCAATTAAACATTTTTTTTTGTATACGATTAAAAACAAAAACAAAGCAAAACGTTCCCAGGTTTTAAAAAAAAGTCATGAATTTTTAAAACTAGATGAAAATTGAATTTTGCTAATATTTGAAATTTTAAACCTCAATAAACCTTCCCTGGGGTCATCCAACACAAAATTTGGGCTGACCAGTCCATCAGTGTTGACATTTCATCGGTGTAAACATTAAAAACAATTAATCAGACAAGCTCAAAATATAAATACTAGGCTTTCTTCTATTTCAATTGTGAACATTTTCTCTTTGTATACATTCTAAAACAAAAACAAAAAAAAGTTTGTGGATTTTATAAAAAAAATTGTTGATTTTTTAAATTAAGTGAAAATCGAATTTTGTTGTAGGTAAACCTTCTATAAACCTTCCCTTGGGTTATATGAGGTCCCACACAAAATTTGGACCAGATCGGTTTAGACGTTTTGACATTTATTGGATACAGACGGACAGACACCCAAACAGACAAGCGAAGTATATAAATAGATATATATCATTATTTATTCAATAAATTAACTGTTTAGTTGCACATCTCATATCTTACAGGGAATGTACATAAATAAAACAAGACTTCATCTTCAGCCTGGTTAACTGAAAGAAGGAGTATAATCCCTAAAGGGTATACAAGTCGTGCACAACTTTACTCAACCAGATATGAGGACTGGACCTGTGGAAGATTCCTCTCAATGGGGCTCTAGGGCTTAAAACTCTCCTTTTTGCATTAAGGGTGCAGTTATGGGCTTTCCTTAAAATTCCCCTAACTCGGAAAGAGTATAACAGAAGGAACACAGGGAGCAATCCCCTATACCCTTCCTCCTACAAACCGCATAATCTCTCTCCTTCCTGCTCCACAACAGGATGTCACAATAACTATTTAGAGAGGCCTCAAAGTGTAAAAACATTAAATAAGAACAAAAAAGTAAATCAAACAGGAAAAGGAAAAAAATGGAAGGGAATCTCTAATGCCAAGCTGTACACTGTCATATTTTCCGACAGCAATGTTGCAGAAAAATAATACCCTGTCTGCAGTAGCAGGAAATTTAAAGTGATTCTGTATATGTGGATTAAAATGAAACAAGAATAACTGAACAATAATTTATTACTTTAAATACAAATATATGAGTTTCACTCTTGAAAATAGAGAGCTCTGTGGCACTGATAGATTCGCAAGACTCTTCCGAACTAAACAAAAGTTAGGTTAAATAAGCATTTAAAAGTTTACAGCCATAAGGGTCCCATAAAAGGTCCAATAGTTACAGCTGTAAAGAAGCTAAAGTTAAGCTTATAATTCATAAGTTTAAAGCTTAAACCATGGTATTAACCAAACTCAACTCTGTTTACTTTAATCAGAATGCAATAATGGTGCTAATCAATAAATTATTATGGCTATTTAACCATTTTATTAGCATTAACTAATGCACTGGTGACTCGGTAATTATGAGGACCACTGTACTTTTAAAAGTAATACTTTTGAGAAAAAACTCGGTAATTATGAAGACCACTGTATCTCTCAAATTAAAACCATGTAATAAATTGCATGGTAAAACTTTTGCATAATAAATGCAATGAATAAAATTGGAGAACTTAAAGCATTTTGCCAATAATTGCAAGTAAGAAAGTTGCAATAAATAAGAAAGGTTGCAATAACATTGCAAAAATTAAAGATATCACTGCAAAAGTTGCAATAACGTTGCAAAATATGGCAAAACGTTGCGAAATGGAATGAATTGCTGAAACTTCCAAGAAGGCAAATTTTATTAGTTGCAAAAGAATTGAGTTGCAGAAACTTCCGAAAAGGCAAATTTCATGGGTTGCGGAAACTTCCAAAAAAAAGGCAAATTTCAAGTAAACTTAAATAAAGGTTTACGCTTACTTTTCCGGGCAGAACCACAGATGAAGAGATGAACTTGCAATAAAGATGCAATTAAAGGGCAGGCTCCAAATTAGAATGTCCCGTCCTTCAGCTCAAGTTTTGTTTCGTTTCGTTTGTTGCTAAATATAAAAATCATTAGCTTTAAGTAAAACACGTAATTCTTAAAACTATATCTAGCTCAAACAAATTATTAATAATGTTAAATTTAAGAAACTCAAGAAATAAGGATTCTAAGGATTCTATTTAAGAGAATCAAATGTTTTAAACCTCAATTATCTTCGGCAATCCACAAAGATAGAAATAAAGATTCTAATCAGAGATAACATTTTACGACTTTTCACATGAAACATTAAAGTTTTGGCTCATTAAAGTTTAAGGCTCATTTTCACACCAAGAATAAAGAAGTAAACATGTTTATACCGACCTCTAAGCTCCGGATTCACAACACAACTGGCGTGTTTGTTTACATTTCCATTCATCAAAAATTAATATTTGTAAACAAACATAAATAAGGAATACATAAAAAATATTCTGTTGACAATTATTAACCAGACAAAATTTTCATACAACAAGCAAATGAAGAGAGCATTAGGGAATGGAAGGAAACATCCCCACCCCTTTTCTAATTATTCCACCCTACATAAAAATCCTAGAATAGTATGTTTAACTGTTGCTGAGATTGCACCACATGTGCAAACATTCCAGAGTTCAACCCAGTGTTAAGAAAACAGTCAGATGCAACTCAAGAGTAAATATAGAGTTCTGAAAAAAAAAGCTAGATCCTCAATTAGTTCAATTAAATACAGGGTTCAGAAAAAAAACAAGATCCTTTACAAATTATTCTTTCTTGTAAAGTGGCAAACTACAAGGACATCCAAAAAATCTTTTCATTTTGTTTTCAAAATTAGCTGAAATATGATTTAAAGATGTCCGAACAAGAGGAAAATAAAGAACAAGAATTATAAAAATCTCAATATATTTCCATTTGATAACTTATAAATATTCAAAAATATTGAAAAATTAGATTAAAATAAATAATTTATAGTTAAAAATTCAATAAATTAAAAAAAACCTAATTTCTCACTCAATGTCATGACTTGAAACTTCTATGTGTGGAGATTTTAACGGTACTGTTGTGAATCGGTCATGTCATAGAGGGTTACTTAAAATTATGTCTACACTCCCTTTAAAAGCCTTTTGAGATCCTTCATTTTAGAATAAATTCATTTCCTTCATGAAATATTCTTTTTTCTCACTCATAAGCTTTGTGTTTGTATAATGTACATAATTTAGAAAGGATGTAATTAAATACCTGCGTCTGAAACAGAATAATTTAAATTCAGAAAACTTTTGTTTGTAATTTTAAGCCTTTCGTTTTGAGAGATGAGTATCTAATGTGAGATTCTTTTAAATTTATTGAATAAACTGAGTTGAAAATGGTTTTCCTCTTTGTGGAGTTTAAAACTTTTAATATCATAAAAAAAATAAGTTTCTTTAATATTTTTTTTTAAATTTTAAGGAATAGTAATTAACAGCATTTTTGTAAAAAAAACTTTTGAATGCACAGTGTAGGGTACAAGGTGGTAAAAAGTCCTGTCCTTGCTTTTTTTTAAACCTTCCTAAAACCCAAACTATGAAAGTCAGTGGTTTAATTTTTTTTCTCTAGGTGAGTCCACAGTTTCAGTTAACTTTCAGAAGCTTTGTAGCTTAACTCAATCTCATAATTAGTCAATTTTCTTGTTAAACTCAGTTCTAATTAGGGTCCGCATCGAACGAAACGTTTCGTGAAAAAATGCAAAAATTTTCGTCGAGTATTTTGCGAAGTTTCGCATTTTTCGCGAAAATGAATGAAGCGAAAATGCGAAAACGAAGCGAAATTTCGCGAAAAAAAATCAGTATTTTTTTGATGAATTTTCGCAAAAGCAGAACAAAGTGGGAAAAAATGCGAAAATTTTCCCGAATACTTTTTTTTGCGGAACGTTTTTCCTATTCACTGCAAACCCTGTTTTAATCAAATATAACAATATTTATAAATTTCATCCCGATATCCACAGTAGAAATTCGTAATTTGAGGATAAATGCTTAATACATTCATTTAAGTTATGGCTACAGGGTACAATTATACTGTGGGATAACAAATAAACATATTAAATTAATCTGCAGATTATCAAAAGATTTAGACAAGCATCGATCACGATATCTACAATACAAGAGTTTTCAGCTCAGAATTATTTTAATTAATGTTTTTAATTTAAGGATTGATCATGGGAGCGTTCATTGCTTGCTGGCTTCCCTTCTTTATCCTCTACCTGATTGGTCCAGTTTGCCCAGTCTGCCAACCTGGATTAGAATCAAGGTATGAATCCACTTTTCAAACCTAGAAATAGGATTCCAGTCTACTTGTCATAACTAGAAGTAGAAGATAACTTTTCAGATCTAGGACTAGGAGTACAGTACAGTACAGTACAGTACAATACAGTACAATACAGGAGTACAGTCCACTTTTCAACCCTAGAAATAGGATTCCAGTGTACTTGTCATAACTAGAAATAGAAGATAACTTTTCAGATCTAGACACAAAGTAGGAGTCCAGTCCACTTTTCAGGACTAGAAACAAGGTAGGATTCCAGTCCTCTTGTATTGACTGGAAAGTGGGTAGGAGTACAGTCCAATTATCTTTCAAAAACAAGGTACAGAGCGTCCCATATCATATTAGATTATCTCCAATCTTCAACACCTGATCACCCTGTGCCGTAGATGATGCAATGTGGCCCACCCTGTGCCGTAGATGATGCAATGTGGCCCACCCTGTCCCGTAGATGATGCAATGTGGCCCACCCTGTCCCGTAGATGATGCAATGTGGATCACCCTGTCCCGTAGATGATGCAATGTGGCTCACCCAGTCCCGTAGATGATGCAATGTGGCCCACCCTGTGCCGTAGATGATGCAATGTGGCCCACCCTGTCCCGTAGATGATGCAATGTGGCCCACCCTGTCCCGTAGATGATGCAATGTGGCCCACCCTGTCCCGTAGATGATGCAATGTGGCCCACCCTGTCCCGTAGATTACATGTAGATTGTTTCCAAATTTAATTGAGTAACAAACTTTAAAGATAATCCTGGCAGTGCATGATATTCCAATTTAATTAGATTTAATTTAAAATAAGAGAATTCAGAATAAATTCAGCATTGTTGCAGCTTTAAGCTCCAGGCATATGTAATCTTGTAAAAGTGAATTTTGCATAACATGTAATCGTATAAAACTGTAAATTCAGGGCTACAGGGTGTTTCACAAAACATGGTACGAAACATTTACAGTGAGTAAGACACCCTAGTTTCTGTTTTCATGGAATTAAAAATCATCAACAATAAAATTAAGCACATCTGTTAGGCTATTTCAGGCCCACACAAACCCTGGCGTTTGACCTAGGACCACTCCTAAAGCAAATTTGAAAAACTATTAACCCTATCCCAGCTGGGAAACTTGAAAACCAGGATACGCTGTGGTGGTGGGGGGAGGGGGGGTCAATTTTATACACTACATATTACATATTACATTGTCAAGTTCTTGTTAAAAGTGAAAACAAATTTACTATTAAACTGGATTTGGGTCAGGGGGGAGGGGTAAATTTATGTCTTGGGTTTTATGTCTTATATTAATCAAATTTAGCTTATTTTATGGATTCAAATATTTGTTTTGAAAATAATATTTGTCCAATTCAAAATCCTTCCTTATATTTTCTGAGATATGTTCTTCTGTTAAACTTTGACAGATGCCATTATTGTGAGGTTTAGGATTTTCAACAATCCTTTTATATTTAAACTTTTTATTTGTCTTTTTCCGTAGGGGAACTGCAAAAGTGCATCCTGGACTCGTAAAATATCAATGAGATTGAATATTTTTTGCAACATAAAAGGTCATTTTGCCCCGCCCCATAAAAAAAAATATATTTGATTAAATATTATTTGAAATGTAAACAATATCGCACAAAGATCCAGACTGCAATTAAAAGTTGCATTTTCAAGACCAGGTCGACTTTGAAGCTTCGTAACACCTGGCCATAGATTATAACTCAATAATTCACTTGAACTTTTTTGTAACTCTGTAGACATTTGCATTTTAGACAGCTTGTAATCTTCGGGTTACTGTCCATCAGATTTATATTAGAAAGAAATAATCTCTTTCGCGAACGAAAAGTTTCGTTCACTTTCGCGAAAATGTTTGTTTAGTAGCTGCGTAGAAACATTTATATAATTGTTTAGTCATGTATATGTTTGTTTAGTTGATTAGTAGAGTCATGTATATATTTGTTTAGTTTCTCGCATGTATATATTTGATTAGTTGCTGAGTAGAGTCATGTATATGTTTGTTTAGTTGCTGAGTAGAGTCATGTATATATTTTTTTAGTTGCTGAGTAGAGTGATGTATATATTTGTTTAGTAGCGGAGTAGAGTCATGTATATATTTGTTTAGTTGCTGAGTAGAGTGATGTATATATTTGTTTAGTAGCTGAGTAGAGTCATGTATATATTTGATTAGTTGCTGAGTAGAGTCATGTATATATTTGTTTAGTAGCTGAGTAGAGTCATGTATATATTTGTTTAGTTGCTGAGTAGAGTGATGTATATATTTGTTTAGTAGCTGAGTAGAGTGATGTATATATTTTATTAGTTGCTGAGTAGAGTCATGTATATATTTGTTTAGTAGCTGAGTAGAGTCATGTATATATTTGTTTAGTAGCTGAGTAGAGTCATGTATATATTTGTTTAGTTGCTGCGTAGAGTCATGGTCCTTCTCATTTGCATTCTGGTTGGGTTACAGCAACAGCGCACTTAATCCAGTAAGTTTTTTTGTTAAATATTTCTATCAGTCTATTTTATACTTATGTTAATCTTTAGACATTTTGATTTTATATTTTGATAACATTTTGATCAAGTTTTATAATGCTTCAATCAGTTTTTAAAGTAATTCCGAATTTTTGGTTACTCCTTTAAGCTATTTTAAATCTTTCCGTTTTAAAAAAAAAAATACATTTATTAATTTTTAAAATACTTTTCCATTTTAACTATTTTTACCAACATTCCATAAACTACTGAGATGGAATTTAAAGAATTTGAGCCGCGATTTAAATCCGCCAAAACCCGGTTTAAATTAAGCGCCGGCTTAAATCTTGAAACATTTGACACAATTTTAAGTGGAACCAACCATATTTAAACCGCGGCTTAAATTTAAACCGCCGCTCAAATTCTTTAAATTCGGCCACTGGAAAACTGTGGAATGATTTTTGTACACAGATATTGATTTTCACAGGGTAAACATAAACCCACAGACAACCATTCTTATCTGGAAGTAGAGATTAGTAATACTTTGCTTGCTTGTGATTATGTAAAACAATCACAAATACAAATCACATCAGTATTACGATACACAGATATACAGATTAACACCTGATAGGAGCACAGTGATGACGTCATTTGGTATCCAGCATTTCATTCGTAGGTTTCACCACTAACGCTTTTGTGGTATTTTGTCATAGATCTTGAAGGATTCTGTTATAAAATGTTATTTGGTTTTATAAAAATTCCATTCACATTCCTCTCTCGCGGGGTATTTATTTTAACCACGTTGACCAAAATGTTTATATCAATAAAATGAAGACGACTTTTTATCAAAAATACTGTGATCCCTGAGTATCGTTTTTAAACTTGCAAGGTTACTGATAAACAAAGAGAAGCTGTTAATTTACACATTCTCTTTGTTTACATGTTTATGTGCCTCCGCTGTTTGAAAGCTTGGTGGAAATCAAAATGTAAATAGAAAGTTGTCTTTATTGGTTTGAATACGACAACGACTGTAGATGAGAATAAGATGAGAAAATGTTACATTTCTTAGATCATTGGAGAAATTGGCAATAGAGGAAAAACTGGGATCCAAGACAGGGATTACAATACTTAATGTTAAAGGTAACTTATTAGCATTATTATCAATATTATTTTTATCAATATTATCAATCATCATTAATAATATCATTTTATTAAAATTATCATTAATATTGATCTTTTTCTTATTATCATCATGTCTATCTGCTATCAGTGGTACCCTGACCTTTTATGTATGGGCCTTTCGGTGAATAATCAAAAATTTTCCACAGCTTTTTTATACAATATTATAACAAGAATTTACATACTTTTTAATCAATATCGTAATCATCATCAGCAGTATAATAATTATGCTATAAATTTGAATTATTTTATTTAGGAAGTAACAAGAACTTAAGAAACAAGGATAATGATTCAAACACAGATTATAGAAATCAAAATATTAGGGATACGGAAATCTTTTTCCGACTTTTTAGATTGACACAGATGATTTGATAATTTAAAAATAAAATATTAAGTAAAACTACTGAATTCAGAAAAATTTCATAAAGTTCTTTCATGTCGGAATACTATTTTTAGTTGTTATCAAAAATCTTAATTTTAAAAGGATTTTTTTCTTTCTATTCTTAGATCGGCAAAATCTGAAATTACGTTTGATAAAATTTCCGTGATTTAGTATTCGCGAAGTTGGAACTGAGTCCTTAGTGAGTATATCAGGAGTAGGACAAAATCGGGACCAGGAGAAAAATCAAGAAGGTCGTGAACGAGATCAGGAGAGAGGACAAAGACGAGAGAGAGAAGAAGGACGAGAACACGGATCAGTGTCAAGTATCCCGACCTACCCTGAGCCAGGTTCAAGTTACATTTCTCTAACTCAGGGAATCCCAGGAACTACTCCGTACTCTGGGGCTCCAGCAACCACCAACTACAGGGAGAGTACTGGAGTCCGCCCCGAGAGAATATCCAGGACGGATCCTGCTCCGACTAGAACGGAGTTAGGCTCCGGAGTGCGAGTTGAGCTCACTTCCGTGATCAAGCATGACAGAGATATCTCCAGTTACCAGGATACAGGATACCAGGACAGACAAGTGAATAGAGCCAAGTTTACTGAAAGCAGATCTACTGGTCGTCTTCCAACACACAGATCTTTAACTAGGCTCAATATACAGAATTCAGCTAATAGGTTAGAGAACAGGATAATTCATAAATCCATGACAAGGTTAGATAACAGATATTTATCTAACCAAGGGGTTTCTACCTACACTAACACGCATAAAGGTCATTATACCCAAGTAAATGTACCCGGTGCTGTCTCGCCAACGAAGAGTATGTCCAGCGGAAGTGTAACAGGACTAGAGAGAGATATGGCGGGAAGAGAGATATTAACCGTTAATATAAACCAGATAACAACAGATTTAGGTAAATATGCCGGGTCATACCAGAAATGGCGGGATTAGAATTTTCAATCAGACAGATTTAGGAAAATTTGAAGTGAAAACAGATAGCGAGGGGTGTATTATAACTGACTGGACTAATATCGCGAGTTTTGATAATCAAGCAAATATGGTGAAATTCAGGGGCTTAAATAGAAATTGCGGGTTTCGAATCTCGTTGGGTTTGGGATTAAGGAGATGGGGGGGTACGGAAAGCATCAATTTGAGCAATAATGTTTCAGCCCGTCAATCCCACCAGCTGTCCTCAGTATTCTCTCGTCCTCTCCCAACCGACTACCCTAAACAACCTCCAGACTATGCAAAACTAGCCTCGGACTACTCCAAGTTACCCCCGGACTACACCCAGGTGACGAGTGACTACTCTAAGCTGCCGCCTGACTATGCCCGGATAACGAACGACTACTTGAGGGATTCATCTCACCCGCCTGTTCCTATAAATACTGGTTCTCAGGGAGAAAACTTTATCAATATTTTATTTTGAGTTTTTTTTAAACCATGTCAATTGTTCTTCTGTACTGGGGGTTAAACGTTAAACAGGGGGTGGGGCTTTGGGGGTTAAGCCCCTCCCTCTGGATCAATGAAATCTGGTTTCCAAGGGGTTTTCGTCTTAAAATTAAAGCTGAGTTAGTACCTCCCTCCCCCCGCTCCCCCTGGATACTAGATCCTGTACATTGTACATTATACATTACCCCTGACTGTAAGTGTACTGTACTCTTTTCCTTTAATAGTTTATTAATAATTAAAGTAGAAGGGGGGGGAGGTGAGTTTTTTTTGGGGCATTCTAAATATTTTGGTCTAGTTAATACGTAGCTCTACCCGTAATTAATTTGGCAGATCAGAGCTTGGAACTTTTCATTGGTGGATATCGGGATTATTGCTTGATCAACTCTTTTTCTTAATCTCGAGATTAAATAATGTTTGTTTTCTTGTTATTATTCTTCAGATTAATTAACCGATCGGGATTAAGGATACCCCATTTTAAAGTTTTCAGCTCAGTTCTTTTTTCAAAATGGTAGATTTTTTATTAAAATAGTAGACGATTTTTCTACAAATTGGCAGATTTTTTCAATTTCAATTTGCATGTTTAATTTTTATGGAATGAACCAAAAACTCATGCATTTAATTAAAAACAAAGGCAATGATTGATTTTCAACTAAAATTTTGATTTTTTCTCGTTTAAAGAATTATTCTATTGCACCCTACTCCCTGCCACCAAATAAACGACATACACACAGCTCGGGACCCATCTACCAACCATCTAGGTAAACTTTAATAAGAAAAATTTTGCTTGGGTAAAAATGGGTCGTTTTCATAATTAAAGATAAGGTTTTATTAAGGAAGGGGCTGCTTTCATAATTAAGGAACGGAATTGTGGCATTTGACCTTGTTCTACTACGGAAGACATAGCATAGTCAAGAAAGATGTTTATCCGTCAATAATCATTTTATAAGAAATATAAGTCAAAAATCGATCTATTTTTGGAATTAAGAACCGAAACAGATCGTCAATTAAAGATGTTTTTAGGAATGATCTCTCAAAGGGCAATCTAGTTTTTCGTTAATTTTTCTGGAGTTAAAAAAATTCTTGAGGGAATAAGCTGGTTCCCGATTGATTTTTTATTTATTTATGATCCAGGTTTCGGGTTCACAACGGTACACTTATACATGACTCTCCATTGTTTCAGCAGTTGCATAATTCCGCAAATCACTTAAAAAATGGATCTTATTCATTCTTGACGGAAAATGCTTTAAAGTGCACCGGTGTGAATAAGACAGGCAACTAGAAAGATCACTTGAAATTACCTCTACAGACCTTAAAGTTCTAATTTATAATAAATCTATCTGAAATAATATTTGTTTAGAATCTATAGTTCTGGTCCTCTACCGACCCCACAGCCTCCCAGCTTGGGTTCCCAGGCCCCCGGCCTCACTGGGTCGGCCTCTCAGCCTATAGATAACTAAAAACAATTTTTCCGCAAAAATTATACCAGAACTGAAAATTGCGAATTTGCTAATTACAATTTTGCAAATTTTCTAAGAATCTGTGATTCAATCTTTTTAAAATTTTAGATTTCGATAGAAACAAATCATTTACATATTTTTGTTTTTCTGAACTTTTCATTTTAAAAGAAAAAAAAGTTTCGCGGATTTTTTTTTGAGCCATTGAAGTAACAAAAAAAATTATGAATTTTTAAAAAATATTGAAAAAACACCTTACAGGAGAGTTGCACAAAAAAGGTACAATATTTCACCAGGCGCCGCAAATCACACTTTTTTTTGACTCACCCTGTATAATTATATATATAGTTAATATACATCATACATATAACTAAAACTATAGCAATAATGAGAGCAGCTTCACAGTTTTCATATTTATTAAAGCAAGCAAATTGTTATAAATTGCTCCTCTTCAGTTAATAAACATGGATAAACTGACGTTTTACAACAATAACTATGAATTTATATGCAAAGTATATATAATGTAAACATCTCTGTTTGTTAGTTTGAATATCCGATCATAACTCAGGAATCCTTAACCGATTTGCCTCAAATTTTGATAGGAGAATTATGTAGAACCACGGAAATTTTCTTAGCTAGGATTAAAATTTTCCGCGATAAACAAACATTCCTAAGATAGTTGTAATAAATTATACTGAAGTACTTAAGTAAATATTACCCCGGATATGATACGGATCCAAGGGGCAAGAGAGATGACCTAGATCCGGACTCATTTTTTTGCAGAGCGGATAGCACTGATTTTTATTATAATTATTATTAGAATCATCGTTATTATTATCTAAAGCTTTTAGTCTAGCAATAGACATTAAACTTTCTCGTTTAGGCCGTCCTTTTCCAACACACTGCCCAGCCTGCGACGAAGATCCCATCAAGTGACCTCAACCCAAGATATGCAGGTAATTCTGGGGAGTGGGAAAGAGTGGGGGGGGGGGTAGTTCTTCAACGACTTTTGATACTTTTTACCCAAAAATTCGCCAGATGACGTGTTCCTGCACAGTCTTCCGGCAAGCGCACTGATTGGCACTTTATGTTATAACGTATCAAAGCCCTAGCACAATGGCCCATAAAGTTTGCTTGTGATTAAAAAAGTTGTTTTTGATAAAAAAAAAATTGTCAAATTTAAATAAGTATTCATCCGGATCCGGTTTTTACAGGAGCCAAAAATAATTTTTTGGTATTAAAACTCAAATCCCATTTTAATTAGTTTTAATCCTCGGCACTAAGAAGTAGAATGTAACTGATTCAGGGGTGTACATTTTTTCCCTTGAAGGGGGGTGATTTTTATTGATTTGAGGAATGGGGTGGGGGGAAAGAAAAAGTTCTGACAACAAAATGCAACTTTTTTCATTCTTTATATTTTTTTCTCAATTCCACGTTACCATATATAACTTCTGGAGGAAAAAATTATTTTCAAANGATTTGGTTTGGTTTGGTTTGGTTTGGTTTGGTTTGGTTCGATTCGGTTCGGTTTGGTTTGGTTTGGTTTGGTTCGGTTCGGTTTGGTTTGGTTTGATTTGATTTATTTTGGTTTGATTTGGTTTGGTTTGGTTTAGTTTTGTTTGGTGTGGTGTGGTGTGGTGTGGTTTGGTTTGATTTGGTTTGATATTCTGAAAAATTCAATTTAAAAGCCAGACTTTTTTTCATGACGGGGGAAGGATTTTTTATTTATTTTTATGTGGAATTGTTTTGGAAACAAAACTTATTGTAATGACTAATGACTTGTAGTTTAGATAAGATAAAATCGTACATGGAGAGTGTAAGCGTTAAAATCCCTCTACCAGTAAAGTGCACTATAGAAGAACGGAAAGGGAAGAAGCATGCTAAGCTTCACTTTGCTTGTCAGGGCAGGGGGGAACACTGCCTTTACAAGGTATACTAAGCTTGACTGCGTCCCTTTATCTGAATCCATATTTTTAATTTGAGACAAAAGTTATTCAAAGAGAAAAATATTACTTGATTTAGGACTAAGGTAGAAAAGATTTTACAGAAAAAAGTTATTAAATTGTGGTCCGAAAAAATCTCTTCAAAGCAAAATACCGGAACTTGGAATCTCAAAAATCCTCCGCTGCAGAAAATGAACTTCTGCCTCAAAACGATTAGTCTATATGCCATCTCTCTCTTTTGTTACCAAGAGAGGCAAATTCATTTTTATATCAAAGCGATTGTAAGCGTAATTTTAAGTGGGAATGCCAAATTTACAATGGTACCCTAAAAGTTTTGTATGATTAAGCATGAATTAGACATCCATATTTTTTTTGAACTGTCAAAATTCATTTGTGGTTCATTTGCAAAATGATTTGCGCATTTCTTGCTAATAAGAACAATGGAGAAATTATCAGAAATAAACACTTTCGAGTCAGAACAACGATTTCATCTTCCACATTTTTATCAGGGGGACCGTTGTAAATCGGGCATTGTGATAATTACATGAAAGGTCACTTGACATTACACTTACAGTGTTACGGTTTAATCGGGTTTAGATGATAGTAATAACTAACTGAAGGGCCCGGCGTTGCCCGTGGAAAAAAAAATGAAAAAAAATGTTGAAATTTGTTTAGCCTATAACACCTCCCGGCAACCCATGAGTGTCCACAAAAAATTTCAACACGATCAGTCAAGCCGTTTGGCCGGCTATATGCAATGTATATATAAACGAATGTCTTGTTTTATGATTTAGAAGATTGGTAACATACATAAAGAAACAATTTCGACGCTTAGCTTTGTATTATTGTATAGAGTTTTTGTGGCAGGTGTAAGACGACACTTTATGGCATATTTAAAGGACTAACATATTTGTGGCAGATTTAAATGTTAAGTGGCAATTTTTGGTGTAACGGGTTTAACTGTACAATGTTCAGTCAGATTAAACCTAGATAAACCTTTGATATAAGATATTGTTTAGGTGACGTTCTATACGATGAAGTCCAGGCACCCCCGGGCCTGGATACACTTGATGTTCCTGGCTCTTCAGGCCAGGTCACAGAACGCACTCTCCACCAGGTACAAGTCAGAACTTAAAGGGACTGTAAGCCTATTTTCAAATGACTTTCGATGCTAATTGTGCATTGCCCGATTCACAACGGTACCCTTAAAACCTTTGTGTGCTCGTTGAGTACAGAGAAATGTGTGTGCAAACTTATCAAACCCCGCTAGTATTAAGCTGCAATTTCCAGTGTGCGCTGTGTTGAGGTCGTGGTGTACTGTACACGACACCACCAACTCAACACAGCGCACTCTTGAATACAAACACGGGTTCCGAAAAGTTTACAAACACACACATTTGTACTAGACAAACACATAAAGGTTTTAGGGCTTGCCTTTTAAAATCGGGCAATGCCTCTTTACATGATGGGTCACTTGAAATTATGCATACAGTCCCTTTAAAGAGATTGGTAACTATATTAAATTTGACTCTATATTAAAAGGAGTGGCCGACCAAGCTTAAAGGGTTGTTGGGGTAAAAGCACAGTTTTATTGGATAAGAGAGATCCTTATTGATTATTCTTTAGCACTTAAACAACCCTACCGCGTCAGCAGAATTCTAAATTGTTGAATATTATTTGCTCTTTTGTGTTTTTAAAATAAATAATGAAAACTAAGAATACTGCGATCAACCTTTTTATAAAATAAATTTTAAAGACAAATACAGTTGTGAAATTACAAATGGAAAATAATAAGTTACGTTGACATCGCCTTTAATTGAAATGTTCATCCAAAAACTTTATTTCTCTAAACAATTCAAAATTAAAATAAAAGATATTTTATTTCTCAAAAATGCAAAAATATTAATTATTATTTTCATTTTAATTGATTAAAAATCAAGTTTTATTGTTTTTTTGTGATGTTATGGTTCTTCTTTAATTATCTTCTCGTCTGTTCCTAGGGATACAGGAGTCTCAAGTTTAAAGAACTGCTGGGAAATAATAAAATGTGAAGAAATATCGTTTTCAACTCTGGTAACTGGGGCTTTTCCACCAGCCAAAGACCAGGACTCAATCATACATGAGCTCAGAGCACACAGGTACGCTACAATCCAACCTAGAGGAAACTGATCTAGGTGTTTTCTTACCTAGAAATATATATTGAAACTGTAGGTAGGCTAGTTTTGTAAATTTCATTTAGGTGGAGTTAGATGTGTTTATAAGGCCGTTTTAAAACTAGTGTGGTTCCCATAATATTATGGATTGAATGTGCTCTTCTTTTATTCCACAGTTTTATGGGTCCTACTGTGCTTGGCCCTTTTATATTAACCTTAAAGGGACTTCACGCGTAATTTTAGTGACCCTCCATGCAAAGAAAACAATGCCTGATTTACATCACGTCCCTTGAATCCTAAATCTGATAAAAATGTGGAAGAACCCGTAGTTTCATGCTTGATCAGACAATCAAAGAGAATAGAATATATATTAGAGAGGAATTTAGACAATCAAAGAGAATAGAATATATATTAGAGAGGAATTTAGACAATCAAAGAGAATAGAATATATATTAGAGAGGAATTTAGACAATCTCTCGGTTTGAATTTTGTCAGACCCTTTCAGCCTGAAAGGGAGTTCAAAGTGTACAAACCATGTAAATGTTCACAATTATATGCAGTAGATTACATTAATACAGTATATACAGATTACATTTGATTTATATTTATAACGGAAAATCATCGTTTGTAAAGTGAAAGACATAGAGTTTATGTGAAATGATCATTGGTCAATTATGAAACCAGTCAATTTCATAATTTGGTTTTCTTTCAATATTAATTTAAGATTTTCTATAAAATGATGTTCCAGGGCCCAACAGGTTATATAGTACAAATATGTGCAGTATGGAAACAGTACAACAAAATGGCCGTTTTACACTTTTTTCTAGTAAATTCCACTCTAATATATTATTCAATTGGCAGACAATGCTTTCCCGGGTACCATTGTAAATCAGGCATTGCTATCTTTGCATGGAGATTCACTTGAAGTTACACTTACAGTCCCTTTAACATTTATTCGTTCGGGTTCCTCTTGGTTATTTTCCATAAGAGAGCAGATTAGTTTAGAATTATTAAAGTTTATAATATATTATTCTAATTTCGTAGCTATGATATTTATATTGGAGGCTGGTTTAGATAATTTGTTATGGTTATAATTTCAAGCCATAGTATTGTAATTTTATTTATCTAAATCATACGGGGGGTATCAATACCTAAGCAATGATAGGTTCCGTCTTAATTAGTTTTAAATTAACCCTCAACCTTTTCACAGAATGAAAATATCTCAAATCATTTTATGATTGTTTAGATTCTTATTTCCTTTTCTTTTCATCTAAAATAGTTAATAGTTAAAGGGACAGACCGGCTATGTAAGGTAGTTTAACTGAGTATGCACTATGCAGTGTTGTGGACAATTTCTTACGGATTCATTTGAGACATATAAAATTTAAAGATCTGTAAATCCTGAGTTGAGTGCATAGTCAACGTTCAAAATCATGAATTTGGGTGGGTACGTTTTCAGAATCGGTTTTTTAAAAATTATTAAATATCGACGACGAAAAATAAAGTAAAAGTTATACAGTAAAAAATAATTAGATGGTTAGGGACAAATTTCTCAAAAGAACTTTGCTAATAAATCAATGCTAGAATCAATTATTTCATTTTCATCATTATATTGAATTTCATATTTTCTTTGAATTTATTCGCAGATTTCTACAAATTCTTCAAATGTCGTCTTTTCAATAACAATTCCAGAAAATCTGCAGAAAATCTTTGTGAATAATGAGAAACTAGACTAATGAGAAAAAAGAAACTAAAAATTTAACAAAATTACTTTTTTTCGATGATAAGATTAATTTTTATTTTCTCAGCTTGTATCTAAAATCAACAGCATCGAACTTTTAACTAAACAGGCTATAAACTTATATAGAAACGGGTTATAAACTTATAGCTAAACGGGTTATAAACTTATATCTAAACAGGCTATAAACTTATATGTAAAATCAACAGCATCGAACTTATATCTAAACAGGCTATAAACTTATAATTAAACAGGCTATAAGCTTATATCTAAACAGGCTATAAACTTATATCTAAAACGGCTATAAACTCATATATAAACAGGCTATAAACTTATAACAAAACAGGCTATAAACTTATAAATAGTTAGTCTATAAACTTATAACTAAACAGGCTATAAACTTATATCTAAACAGGCTATAAACTTATATCTAAACAGGCTATAAACTTATAACCTAACAGGCTATAAACTTATTACTAATTAGGCTATAAACTTATAACTAAACAGGCTATAAACTTATGTCTAAACAGGCTATCAACTTATATCTAAACAGGCTATAAACTTATATCTAAAATCAACGACAGACAAAGCGTGACAGTTGAGAGACGACTTGAAGGTCGTCTACAAACTTTGCTGCATTTACTATCATAAAAAAAATCTCATTTTTAATAATTTAATTTTTTCCAGATTTTTCGATGTGTTTGAGTACAATGGACCTCTACTGCAGTGGGGATGCTTCCTCTGTAATCATCCTGAGAGAGCAACAACATTTTTAACAGGTTCAGACAATATAACAACATTTTTATCAGGTTCGGACAATATAACAACATTTTTAACAGGTTCGGACAATATAACAACATTTTTAACAGGTTCGGACAATATAACAACATTTTCAACAGGTTCGGGCAATATAACAACATTTTTAACAGGTTCGGACATTATAACAACATTTTTAACAGGTTCGGACAATACAACAACATTTTTAACGGGTTCGGATAATATAACAACATTTTTAACAGAATTGGACAATATAACAACATTGTTAATAGGTTCGGACAATATAACAACATTTTTAACAGGTTTGGACAATATAACAACACTTTTAACGGGTTCGGACAATATAACAACATTTTTAACAGAATTGGACAATATAACAACATTGTTAAAAAGTTCGGACAATATAACAGCATTTCTAACAGGTTCGGACAATAAAACAACATTTTCAACTTGTTTGAACCTAATAACAACATTTTTAACAGGTTCAGACATAATAACAACATTTTCAACTTGTTTAACATAATACCAACATTTTTAACAGGTTCAGACAAAAAAGTAAAATTTGCTACAGGTTCGGACAATATAACCAACATTTTTAACATATTCGGGATAAACGGGACGGTAGGCCAAATGAATGAGATTCCTTCTATTGATATGTATGTGACTGACAAATTGTTTTAAGAAAATGGGGAATGAACTTTGTTTCCATTTGGTTAATTTATTGGGTTTTTTTAGAAGAGGTCCCTGTAATAGAAGGACAGCTGAAGGAGAAGAGTGGAGGAAAATGGAGAATATTCAGAAAATGGAAATCCAGATATTTTACTCTCTCTGGTAAATATACATTTAAGTCAAGATTTTATTGTTTAAAGGAAAACAAAAAATAAATAAAATCTTCTTAACTATTTTTTTGAAAATATATATTTCAAATTGCAAAAATTAGGTTCTAGGGTTTTTTGAACGCCCGATGGATTAATAAGGACTTGACCAATATGATTACAATGAAGAATTGTAGATAATGTTCTGGTTCCCTACATGGAATAAGATTTCTGAGACGACTTTCAGAGTCCCTTGTATTACTTTCAGGGTTTCTTGCATGCCAAAATAGGATTATTTCTGTGCTCAACCGTTTAGGAAATCATTAAAAATTTTATTGAAAGCGAAATCCATAAATCAAGCTTAAAAACGTCATATTTCTGGAGAGTTGTGTCATCTTAACAGTCTCGTCTGTGGGTAATTTTTATATTTGTTTTCAGGCGCTCGATTAGTCTATAAAGAAAATAAAGGAGAACTCGGAATAACTCAAGCTCTAGATGTTGGATCTATTCGTAGTGTTAAGGTTAGACAATGTTGGACTTTTCCTTGATACAATGGTTGGTCGCAATAATTAAATCAAGTAGGAAGAGAAATTTTAATTTTTGTATCCTAGGTTTAAAAAGAAAAAGTATATTTTTTACCATTTTGCTTGAACTAAATGTTTTCATTGTATTATAAAAAAACCTTCAGGTCATGGCACCTTATCAATTAGGTTAATAATTATTTGTTATGCCATCTAATAGAAGTTTTAAGATCAACATTTTGACTTATCAGATCCGGATCCGGATTCAAAATGCCAAAAAAATGGATTAAAAGTATGAGAAAAAAATACTATATTTTGAAAAATACAACTGAGCTGTATCCAGAATTTAAAGAATTTGATCCGCGGTTTAAATTCGGACACTGGATTCAGAATTGTTCTACACGACTAAACCAGGATCGGATCCGCATCTAAACCTAATCAGTAATCACTGTTCTTAATTCCTGTTTTACGTTTCTAAGTGGAACACGGTTAACTTTAATTGTAAAGAAAGTAACTTTTGTTTATTGTTCAGGTTTCCAAAGGAGGAAGAAATATTCCAAAAGCATTTGAAATATTTACCGCTGACAAGACGTTTGTGCTGAAAGCTAAGGATTCCTCTAATGCTCAAGAATGGGTTCAATGCCTCACAGTTGCCGTAGCTCACTCCCAGGTACAGGACAGGACAGGACAAGAATTTCAATTGAAATCAATCTTTTTTTACTCTTTTTGAACTGAAAAAAAAATAATAATAGTAATAATGACGTCTTAACAATCTTAAAAAATACTTTTTTTCATTGTTTCCTGCTTGTACTACGTTTATCAATATTTAATCAACTACATAACTCTTTGTTTTTTTTGTAGGCAAAAGATACGACGCTTCGGCGGTTAGCCTATGGAGGCTCTCTAGGTCGGTTAACTCACGGTGCGGGTCGGGTGCATCCTGGTCCTTATAATCATATAACTTTGAGAACAAATGTTTGATCAAATCAGTTGAAGAAGATAGTTAGACTCAAGTTGTGTGTCTGAATAGTCCATTGACCATGAGACACATCAATTGTGTATTGTAAACAGACCCGTTAAACTTTGAGCTGATTTTCATGCACTGGTAAAACGATTTGCTTTATAGCACTTTAGATTATTTCGTCTTCCTATTTCCAAGTTTTATGATTCCGACTGTACCAAGGGGCTTTTCTAGTGTGTTTATTTACGATCGATTTGTATGTTTCCAAACGTAAATTCTGTCTATGGATTTGAAAACTGGTATGGAAAACCACTCTCTATTTTCATTTTTATAGATTTTCCTTTTTGGGATATTTATAGTGACTTTTCTGTATTAAGTTTTCTTTTTTAAATTTGCATGTATACTTGTATGTATAGCTACATAATAACGTGTGCTTATTTCTATTATTATTATTGTTAAGAATAATGTAAGAGAAGGGGGGGGGAGTCAACCAAATAGGAAGATATTAATAATGTAAGAGAAGGGGGGGGGAGTCAATCAAATAGAAAGATATTAATAATGTAAGAGAAGGGGGGGGGGGGGTCAACCCAATAGAAAGATATTAATAATGTAAGAGAAGGGGGGGGGGAGTCAATCAAATAGAAAGATATTAATAATGTAAGAGAAGGGGGGGGGGGAGTCAACCAAATAGAAAGATATTAATAATGTAAGAGAGGGGGGGGGGAGTCAAATAGGAAGATATTAAGCCTTTTATCTTAGAAACGAACGTGCATTCCAAATATATTATCTGAGACTGCAAATTAAAGTATTTTCAGTGGAACATTAACTATACATTCAAGATTAAAATCTACCCATGTCCAAAGTTAAAATATTTTTTTATGATTATTTAGTTTTATAAACCAACCTTTTTTTGGTACTTCAATGATTTTCGAGAAACATACTTGACCTCAATTATCAGGTCAGATCAGGAACCTATTTCTTTTCTTTCTTGGGACTTACTGAAAGTGTTATAGGATATAATGTATGTATAATAATTAGAATCAAATGTATAGAAAGTAAGTTCAATTATTATTTTTCAATTATTTTTTATAAATTTTATATATTAGTATATTGGATTCTGACCTGTGATAAATCTGTTCTTTGAGAAACCTTGCAGATTTTAATGAAAAACTTAACAATGATTGTTTTCTACTATTTTTAGATATTTTTCTATTTGTCAATAATGTCAACAATGTTACTTTCAATATTTCGTTTTCTAAAAAGGTATTATTGATCAGAATATACATGATACACATTAGATAGTTAATAATAGTAATCTACAAATCTAATACTTATCAAAATTTAATATTTTTAAATACCAAAAATGAAACAAGGTCTAGATGTTGGATCTATTCGTAGTGTTAAGGTTAGACAATGTTGGACTTTTCCTTGATACAATGGTTGGTCGCAATAATTAAATAAAGTAGGAAGAGAAATTTTAATTTTTGTATCCTAGGTTTAAAAAGAAAAAGTATATTTTTTACCATTTTGCTTGAACTAAATGTTTTTGTATTTCTAAATTTGTTACCGCCCTACATTAGATCAAATACAATTATTGCTCAATTTACTAGTTTCTGTCAATCTTTATATTTAGATTTAGATCGTCATTTATTTTTACAATACAGCTGTATTCATAAATCATAAATTTTCAGAAGATAAATCTTAAATATGGTTTTTATCTGAAACTAGACAAATTCGATAGTCTAATGTGGAGACAGAAACAAAGGTGAGGATTGTTTTTTCTAAAAAAAAAGTGTTGGCTGTGTTTGTTGTGTGCTTGGAAATAGTGTTGATTTATGTTGATCTGGATTGAGCTTAGACTATTTCTTAAAAAAAGGAAATAGCTCACTTCCCACTAGATGTTTTAATCGATTTAACACAATTTTCGACCAAAATAAACCAATATTACACATTTAAAATTTTTAGTTGTCTTAAATTAATGCGCATTTAGTTCTAAATGTATTATCACAGTTGCCCCCTGTTTAAGATTTGGCTTAAAAACAGCAATTCTTTCTGAATGTCTTAGTTTTAAGATTTGGCTTAAAAACAGCAATTCTTTCTGAATGTCTTAGTTTTAAGGGGAAAAGTTCTTAAACTTTTTAAATGTTCTTAATTTTTTTCACCTACAATTTTTTTGTTTAACATTTTCAACAAAATTTTGTAATAACTTCAAAAAAAAGAAGAAAAAAGTTATCATATTAAGATTTTTATGAGTAATTGCCCCCCAGGCTCTCACGACAAATGGCCAAAAAAAGAGAAAATCAAGAAATCAAGAAATCTCAGAAATTCTTTTTTTATCGCATTAAGCCTATACCCTCTTTCATTTTTCGCGAACACTCCCTTTAAAGAACAAAGAAAGACTGAATGAATTCAGTGCAATCGTTGAAGTCTCATTCTTTGTGGTTAATCCTGTTTGATCTCACCGATAGGTCTTAATTAGTTTTGTGCTAATTAAGTAGAAATATATATTTTTTGATTGGTTCCCATTAGAACACTTTTTAACAACCGAACTACGTCATGTTTGGGAATCTAATTGAATTGAACGAAATTTAGGAGATTATTTCACTTGAAACTTAAATCTATGTTTATTAGGTTTTGGCCGAAAATGAATCTTATATCTGGGCTTCTTTTCTCCACCTTTCTTTTCGGAGGTAAACTTGTTCATACAATTAGGGGATAAGCATTGTTTTTAAAAATTATTGAAAAAACTAACATTTTTCATTTTGTTTTTAAAGTTTGTATCAATTAACGAACAATACGTCAAATTAATAGTTTTGAGTCAACACGATGTTTAAAATTTAATTGAAGTAAAATTGGTTACAAAATTTATTCTGAAGCAAGCTTCATTAAAGTTTAACAGGGGGGGATTGGCTTTTGTCACAATACTTAAAATGTATTCGTCTTGTGATTTATGATGAGAATGGACAAAATGAATATATTCTGATAATCTTTTCATTTCATGTAGCTTGCATTGATTTTTAATGATACTTTACTGCGTTTTTTACTCAACATTACAACAGATTCAGGAATTTAAATATAGAAATAGATTCTAACAACAATTATTAAAAGATTTTGGGGCGTCGCAAGCAGGCTCAAGTATTTGTATCATCTCTGATTCGTGTCTCCAATACCCATTTTAAGAGTTTTCACGGAAATTACCAGTTTTCCATTGGGTTTTAGAACTTCAAACTCGACATTATTACGACTTAGAAACTTCTCCTAAAAAATTGCTTAAGTGACCGAGCCTTAATAGACTTAAATAAAAAATTAATGGTGTAAACTCAATATTGTTGACCCCCCCTCCCCCTGATACCCCATAGTGCTCCCTCCTCCTTCAAGTTCTGTATTTTCAGGTATTTCAATCAACAAATATGTTCTCTCAGTTCTGGGCTTCAAATATCCAACAATATTTCAGGTTAAATCATATTTAAACATTTTAGTAGTTCATGGAGCTCGTGTTTTACAATACACACTGTACGTTTATATTATTATTTATTAAATATGTACATACATTTTGCATTGTACAGGAATGGAACACTCTGGTGGGGTTGAATGTGTACACTATACTTCAATATTAACTTTATTAAACTTTGTACAATTGTACAGGGATGGAACACTTTAGTGGGGTTGGTTGTGTACACTGTAATCTAATATTAACTATATTAAACTATGTAGAATTGTAAAGGGATGAAACACGCTGGTGAGGTTGGTTATATACAGTGTACTTCAATATTAACTTCATTAAATTTTGTACAATTGTACAGGTATGGAACACTCTGGTGGGGTTGGTTGTGTACACTATATTCCAATATTAACTTTATTAAACTTTGTACAATTGTACAGGGATGGAACACTCTGGTGGGGTTGGTTGTATACACTGTACTTCAATATTAACTTTATTAAACTTTGTACAATTGTACAGGGATGGAACACTCTGGTGGGGTTGGTTGTGTACACTGTACTCCAATATTAACTTTATTAAACTTTGTACAATTTTATAGGAATGGAACACTCTAGTGGGGTTGGTTGTGTACACTGTACTCTAATATTAATTGTATTAAACTATGTACAATTATACAGGGATGGAACACTCTAGTGGGGTTGGTTGTGTACACTGTACTCCAATATTAACTTTATTAAACTTTGTACAATTGTACAGGGATGGAAAACTCTAGTGGGGTTGGTTGTGTACACTGTACTCTAATATTAATTGTATTAAACTATGTACAATTACACAGGGATGGAACACACTGGTGGGGTTGGTTGTGTACAAGATGTTAAATATATTCAAAAAGTCTGAATATCCTCTAACACCAGTTGACAGGTAACAAAAAATAGTTGAACCATGTATCTACGGATAGTTAAACTACTTTTTAAGTGTTATTGAGAACTATTCATAACTATTTTTACTTATTATCACACTTCTTTGAGTCAGTCTCGCTGAAAGAGCAGCATGCTTGTTTTACAACCTTTATCTAATTAATTTATCTAATAAAGATCACGTCGTTTTTCTAGCTTCAGGTAATTTTTATAGTAAACAAATGGTTCTTTATTATTCAAAGCTTTTAAAGGTACCATTATGAATCAGACAGGCCATTCTATAATTAGAGGATTTCGTCTGCAGTCCTTTTCAGTACTGTTTTGTTGTATTCCTGCTTCTAGTTAGTTGTTTAAGAACTAGTTTTGTATTTCTGCTTATTGTTAGATGTTTAAGAACTAGTTTTGTATTCCTGCTTATTGTTAGATGTTTAAGAACTAGTTTTGTATTCCTGCTTATTGTTAGATGTTTAAGAACTAGTTTTGTATTCCTTTATTTTTAGATGTTTAAGAACTAGTTTTGTATGCCTGCTCATTGTTAGATGTTTAAGAACTAATTTTGTATTCCTGCTCATTGTTAGTTGTTTAAGAACTATTTTTGTATTCCTGCTTAATATTGTTAGTTATTTAAGAACTAGTTTTTTATTCCTGCTTAATATTGTTAGTTATTTAAGAACTAGTTTTGTATTACTGCTTAATATTGTTTGTTGTTTAAGAACTAATTTTGTATTACTGCTTAATATTGTTTGTTTTTTAAGAACTAATTTTGTATTACTGCTTAATATTGTTTGTTTTTTAAGAACTTGTTTTGTATTACTGCTTAATATTGTTTGTTTTTTAAGAACCGGTTTTTTATCTCTTCTACCTGGACTACTTTTTCATACAACAGCACTGATCGCTAATTCAAAGGAAATTCAATACAATTTTTATTTTTCCTCTTAAAAACAGTTTTTTAACCATTTGTTTTTTCTTCTTACCTTGATCAAAAAAAGAATATTTTTTAATTTTTAAATATTGTATTTGATTGAAAGGCGTTAGCTGATTTACCTATTAGTGTGTATATAGCTGTACAGAACACACTTCCTGCAGGTTATTCAATACAAATTTATATTAAGTTTTCTTTAAAATTTAATATTATGTTTGAAAATAAATGTTATGTTGGAAATTAACTTTTATGTTGGAAACTGAATGTTATGTCTTAAATTAAATGTTTTCAATGATCTTTTCATGATCTCTTAAATATTCAACTTTTGCTGTTAAACAACCGATTTTTTATTTCGAAATTTAGAGTGTACAACTCTAAATTTCGAAATAAAAAAATCGGTTGTTTAACAGCAAAAGTTGAATATCTTCCAAATAAGTGACAAAAATCGCTCATATTTAACAAAAAATCGATTTTTTGTTTCGAAATTTAGAGTGTAGAGATTTAGTAAAATTCTTCCGCGTATATATTTTTAAAATCTATTGACATTTTTTCTTTTCCAGACATTGTATCTGTGGAAGTTTGTTTTTCAGGAATCTTTTCTTTCTTTAAATTTTGAAAAAAATGTTTTTAAACAAAATAAAAATTGTTGAAAATTGTGATATTTGTCAAATACTTTCTTGAAGTTAACTCAAGGTGTTTTTTTTTACTTTTAGGAATTTATTTGTTGGATAGAGTTTTCCCTGGTCGACCCCCCACCTCCCCACTTCAGGGGATCTGTTCTATCTTAACCCTTTTTACAGGTGACCCCCCACACAGTGGGGTATAAGGAGGGGGGGGGGGGGTCAGCCAAAATGAATGTATTCTTTAAATCTCTTATTTATGTCAAATAAGGTTTGGCCGCTTAAGAATTTTTTTTTGAGATAAGTCTTAAATTGTTTAAATGTTACGCGTATTAGATAAGGATTTCACCGAAACCCCGGTATTTCATTGAAAACTCTTAAAATAGAATTTTTCAACACCTAGAATTTTGGGTGCTTCCGGAGCCCCAAAATATTTTCTATATGGCTATTAGAATCTGTTTGTATATATAGATTTTCCCAAAGCATTGTGCTTTCTTGTGCTTTTGCTATAAAATATATGTTTTTCTTCCGAAATACTCTAAACATCTAAATATATTGCAGGTTTACATAGTTCCATTTAAAGAAAAATATATGAACGGGAAAAGTAATTATAAATTGAAATCATTATACATCAATTCATACAATATTGTAAATGAAAAGATTATCGAACTATATTCATTTTGTCCATTCTCAACATGAAACACAAGACTAATGCATTTTAAGAGGAGTATTGTGACAATACTCCACCAATGACCCCCTAAAATACCCCACTCTGTCCCACCCTCCCCATTTCAGTGGATTTGTTCTATCTTACCCCTAGTTACATGCGGCACTCTGTCCCACCCTCCCCATTTCAGGGGATTTGTTCTATCTTACCCCTAGTTACATGTGACCCCCCCCCCACCCTCCCCATTTCAGGGGATTTGTTCTATCTTACCCCTAGTTACATGTGCCCCCCCCCCCATCCTCCCCATTTCAGTGGATTTGTTCTATCTTACCCCTAGTTACATGTGCCCCCCCCCACCCTCCCCATTTCAGGGGATTTATTCTATCTAAACCATTACTAAAGGTTATTCTCCCCCCACCCCCGCCACTTCGGAACCCAAGCATTGTTTACTTAAAAAGTGTACTGCAGTTTCTGAGAGGATTGCATATAAACTCAATGCTTTTTATGTCGGGCTTTGTTTATATTTATTCCAGAAACTGCATCTTTTAAACAATGGTTGGAGGATTCCTAATAAATATTCCTTGATCATGAACGTCTGTAATCCCTGTTCTACTTCTAGGTGTTGGTTTAGTGATTGGGGAAACCAGCCTAGACTTTCAAGATTCAGCATACTTTTGGATCATTATAGGTGGTTATTATTGTATTATTATTATTATTCTTATTATTATTATCTTTGTCCTTGTTCTTGTCCTTGTCGTTAGCGTTGTCCTTTTCATTAGCGTTGTCCTTGTCCTTGTCCTTGTCCTCCTTGTTATTGTTTTTGTTTTGTAGCGTTATTGTTATTGTTGTCCTTGTTGTTGTCGATGTTGTTGTCCGTGTTTGTGTCAGTGTCGTTGTCGTTATCGTTGACGTTATACTTGTACAAGTCGTTATTGTTATCGTTGTTGTTATCATTGTTGTTAACATATTGTGGTTGTTGTTGTTGTTGTCGTTGTCGTTACTGTTGTCGTGAGCGTTGTCGTTTAGCGTAAGCGTTAGCGTTAGCGTTAGCGTTAGCGTTAGCGTTAGCGTTAGCGTTAGCGTTAGCGTTAGCTTGATAAGAATGCTGGAATATATTCCAGGAATAGCCTGTTCAGTCGCCTCCACACTTCACTCAAGGATTGCAGATGCAAGGTAAGATTAAGGCCTTGCTTCATTCTTTATTTAGTAAATTCATCTTGAGATTGAATCATGGATATGATTTGATTTGGGATTACAGCAACAGTGGACAACTGGATCCACAACATTTAGCTCCTGGAATCTGGATCCGGATAATTTATTATCATGGATCTATCTTCGATCTGGATCCAAATGGCAAAATTTCAATTATCTAGATTCAGCTGATGAAACCGTTTTTACTACTCTACTTTATTAGATTCACCTCCTGGGACCGTCTTTACTACTCTACTATTTTAGATGCATTTCCTTTGACCATCTTTACTACTCTATTAAATTAGATTCACCTCATGGGACCGTCATTACTACTCTACTATATTAGATTTACCTCCTCTGACCGTCTTTACCACTCTACTATATTATTTTCACCTCCTGGGACCGTCTTTACTACTCTACTATATTAGATTCCCCTCCTGGGACCGTCTTTACTACTCTACTATATTAGATTCACCTCATGTTACCATCTTTACTACTTTATATTAGATTCACCTCGCATGACCATCTTTACTACTCTACTACATTAGATTCACCTCCTGGGACCATCTTTTACCACTCTACTATATTAGATTCACCTCCTTGGGCCGTCTTTACTACTCTACTATATTATATTCAGTATTTACCTCCTTGGGCCATCTTTTCTACTCGACTATATTAGATTCACCTCCCCTCGAACCATCTTTACTACTTTACTATATTAGATTTACCTCTTGGGGCCGTCTATGCTACTCTACTATATTAGATTTACCTCCTGGGTCTATCTTTCTACTTTAATAAATTAGATTCAGCTTCTAGGACCGTCTTTAATACTCTACTATATTAGATTCACCTCCTGGGACCGTCATTACTACTCTACTATATTAGATTTACCTCCTCTGCCCATTTCTACTACTCTACTATATTATTTTCACCTCCTGAGATCGTCTATACTACTCTACTATATTAGATTCACCTCCCAGGACCTTCTTTACTACTCTACTATATTCATTTCCGAGGACCGTCTTTACTACTCTGCTATATTAGATTTAACTCTTTCATACTCTACTATATTAAATGCACCTCCTAGAACCGTCTTTTCTACTATACTATATTATGTACACCTCTTGGGACCGTCTTTACTACTCTACTATATTAGATTCACCACATTGGACCATTTTTACTACTTTACAATATTAGAGTCACCTCCTTGGACCGTCTAAACCATACTACTAAATTAGATTCAGCTCCTGTGACCAAAAATACTACTCTACGATATTAGAACCACCTCCTGTGGCCGTCTTTACTACTCTACTATATTAGATTCACCTCATGGGACCGTCTATACTACTCTACTATATTAGATTCACCTCATTGGACCATTTATACTACTTCACAATATTAGAGTCACCTCCTGGGACCATAAATACTACTCTGCGATATTAGATTCACCTCCTGTGGCAGTCTTTACTAATTTACTATATTAGATTCACCTCATGGGACCGGCTTTACTACTCTTCAGTTTTCTCTGTAATTATTCTTGCTCCTGCTAGTCTGTATCTGGAAGAGGCATTTCTTGCTCTTAACTTCAGACATGATAAGCAGGTACTATTCACTATGTTTTGTCGGAATAATCTTTTTTATCTTTGAGGAAAATTTTTTTTATCTTTTTAGTTAAAGATATATGTTTGATAAAAGTAAAATTAAAAAGGCCATCCCCAATCCCCAAGGTATAATTGTTTTAAAAAAAAAAAAATACTTTTTTCCTCATATTCTCGTCTTATTTATGAAATTTTTTTTTTACATATTTTTCCTCTAAGATTATCAATTAGTATATTCATTAAAAACCGTTTTCCTCGGAATAATTACTATTTGTTTTGTAGGGTCTTTTCCTGACTGGTTGCTTGTTTTCTGCTCTTTTCACAGCTTCCTTCAACATATATACTGTCAGATTGAAGGAAGACGAGTACTTTGGACTTCTTCTCAATATGGCAAGGTTGGTTTTATGATTTATTAGATAAAAGAGATGTCATGGCCATAAACAGGGGGGGGTATTTGGCACCCCATACAGTTGTTTTTGCTTTAGCACTCTCATTTTTACTTTTATCTTGAATTTTCTTGACTTTTATGAAATAATAATTTAAAGGATTATTTGCAAAAAAAAATGATAATGTTCGGGACTGTCAATTGTAAATTTTAGTAAAATGATAACTGTACAATTGATAATTAATAATAGTTCATAATAAGAAATTAATTGATAGCAAATACTAGATTTTAAATTTAGCGCTGGAACAGCTGTCCTCTCCATCTTTCTATTCTCAGCTGATTTAAAATGGTGGCAATGGACACTGGTAAGTAAAAAGATTGATAGTTTGTTTGTTTTTTAGTATCCAACAAACGTTAAAACGGCTGAACCGATCGGGCCCAAATTGTGTGTGGGACCTCACACATGACCCTAGGGATGATCTAAAATTTAAAAATTAGTGTCAAACTAAATTCTATTGTCATACAATTTTGAAAATCCACGAAATATTTTTATAAAATCCGCGAACAATATAAACAAAGAGAAAATGTTCACAATTTAAAAAAAGGACATACAAGCAATTTACTTTGTTTTATGGTTTTAAGTGACAAGATAAAAATTGGATTAAGTTTTTTTTTCTGAGACAGCTATAGGTGCTAGAGTGTACTTCTTGGCTTCAATAAGTTTTACGTCAGAGTAAAAAATCTTGATTTATGATTTGATTTGATTCGATTTGATTAGGATTGTGTCAAAATGGTGAAGTAAATGATTTTTTAGATCGGAGTCAACCTGGTGACCACTGTTCCCCTACCTGCCCATCAAGGTAGAGATGATGATCTTCAACCTGTAGGAGTTCTTCAGGGGGCAGCTTATAAACCTCTGTCACAACAAGAAGGAGTGATACTTCAATAGAACTTCTAAAAGTTTCACAAGGGGAGGTACCCTCTCCTTGCAGATAGAAATGATACTTAAATCATAGAACTTTTAGGAGTACCACAAGGGGAGTTTTCTATCCTATCCCTTTCTAGTAGTAATTGATATTTAAATCATATACATATATCATAAGGGGAGGTTTCAACTCACCCTCTTAGCAGATAGAAATGATACTTAAATTATAAAACTTTAAGGGGAGGTATTTGTAGTAGTGAATGATACTTAAATCATATAACACAGAAGTGACGTAAAAGTGAAGTAAAGTGACGTTTTTTACCCCTTATTTTAGCAGAAAGGTGTGACCCTTCTATTTTAGACAGGGTATGTATCCTCTAATCTTTAGCAGAATAAGCAAAACTTCAAAAGAACTTTTAGATTGAAGTTGATACCCAAGAATGTTAGCAGGATCTAGATTGAGGTTGATACCCCTGAATGTTAGCAGGATCTAGATTGAGGTTGATACCCCTGAATGTTAGTGCCTGCTCATTGTTAGATGTTTAAGAACTAATTTTGTATTCCTGCTCATTGTTAGTTGTTTAAGNGGTATTTGTTTGTTCATATAGATAAGCCTTCAGACTCAAAATTTCTAAAATTCTAATTTTACTTTTATAAACAAGAAACATTTTGTTCAGTGTAAAGATGGGTATCGTTAGTATCCGGTTTTTAAATAATTTTACAGATTTTTTTACATAATTATAATTTTTCTATCAGTTTTCTTTTATAAAATTATGTAAAATTTTGACTCTGAATCGTTCAGTCTACCAGAGTAAATGCAAACTATTAGCTAGAGAATACTATTATAAAATATGTTAATCTTCAAAGAGTCTTATGAACGCCTAAAAATCTTGAAATTTTAGAAACGGAAAATATTGATGCCCAGCTTTAGTTAGTCATGATGCTGGTTTTTATTCTATTTTATTTTGTTGGTTTTACATAATCGTCTCAAGTATCTGAAACGAGTCACAATATATTTGTAATGAAGGAAAACTGGAAAAAAATTGTTTATCAGTGAAAAAATTGCTTTTATTGTTAACACTTATTTTTATTGGAATATCCAACCTATTCATTCTTACTTTGGACTGTACCGTCAATTTACAATTACTAAAGCGGCAGAGGAGTGTGACAGTAGTCAGCCATATAAATACCATTTGAGTACCTGCAATAACGCAATGGTAAATACACTGACCAAGGAGTATGGATTAGAAGGGCGTAAACTGACGCGGCCCAGCCTACCATATGATTATACATGCTTTGTATACATTTGTATAAGAAATATTCAGAATAGGTTATTGTATACGCAGTAAATGTACATCAGACAAATATTTCTTATTCAAATGAAGTACTGTCTGCAAAGCATGTATAGTAATATGGTAGGGTGGGCCACGTCAGATATATCTCCCTTCTATTTCATACTCCTTGACACTGACCATTCTTTATTATGTTATCCATCGATATCATTAGTTTCTCTACATATTTATAATTTGTAATCCACCCTGCTTAATTCCTAATATTGCTTATCAAACAAAAAATTGTGATAAATTAGTTTTTAACAGAAATATTTATTTATTTTAAATAAAATTTTATTTTTAGTCTTATTAATTTAGCTGGTGTTCTTCACATAAATAGTTGTGAGTGAATCGTAGCATAACACAAGTCACATATCGTTGTTACATGATACAGACAGAAATCACGTGACCAGTATACTGCACTGCCATTGGCTGACATTCTGGTGACGTAATACGGACTATATGTAATTTTATTATCAATTATATCTATTCAAAATGCAAAATAAAAAAAAAATAATAATTGGAGCAAACCTGAGATTCTCAAGCTTCTGCATATGGGATATCGTTGTTTTCAGATTGGTATCGTATTTGTTGAATATGATCTGTTTAATTGCCGTAATGGGTAAATTATTGTTCTGTGACTGCTGCTTCAAACTCATACTGTAATTTAATAAATATTTTTATTGGCGTAGTTCCCCTGCACTCAAGGAAAAGCTAACAATTCTTCACAACTATGTTGCTCTCATAGCATCACGAAAGGATCAGCCCAAAAAAAATATTTTATCAATGGGCTAACTCAAATAGTCTCTAGACTCTGTTTGTCCTCAAACTAGAGAAAGACTGTACATATTTATGCACATAAATACTGTAGCAGATTTTAATTTTTCGACAACTTATATTTATATATACATTGACCATAAAATGTTTTGTAACAATCAATCTAGTTTGAAATAAATTTATTATTATTATTTTATTATTAATAATACTACAAATTAATACAAAATTGCAAACATATAAATGTTCCTATAAATTTGACAGGTTTTTATTGATTTCTCGAGACAGGAATATCAGATAGATATGTATCGTTTAACGACCGAGATTCTCAGGTTTCATTCTATACCCCCTTTCATTTTTCCTTTACAGTCCCTATTAGCTAAAATGTTTGACATGTTCATTCGATTTTTTGCGTGTCCCAAAATTACAAGGTTTTCATGTGTCCCTGAATAAGGAGAAAGTCCAACCTTGTCAGATAGAATTTATACTTAGCTCAGGAGGTTGCAAGGATATGATCTGAGAATTGCATGCACTTTGGGAAGATTGCAACTTTAATATTAATTTATTGATTATTTTCTTTTGAACAGCGAAAATAATTTATTCGGAAATTTTTTTTGATAGATATGTAATTGTTATTTCTTTGATTTTAGAAATTATTTTGTATTTTATTATCCTATCATAGTGGCCACTTCCTATATTGAATTAAGATAGATATGGTTTAATGTATAATTCAACCTGTAAGGGTTGACGTCAAATATACATATTTTACGTACAATAGCACTCATAAAACTCTGGAATAGGAAGACGACCGAATTTTTACTGAAGTTATGTTACTAGGTAGATACGGTGCTCTAATAGGAAGTTGTATTCTTTTAGTTTTGGTAAATATTTTATGGGTACCACTATATTACTGTAGGATTAAAGGGAGAGACCGGCTATATTTGACCTGAGAATGCAGTATTGTAGTGAAAAACTTAAGAATTCATTTGGTAAAGGGGTGCGGCTAGGAAGCGCTACGGTTGAGCGTGTTGCCACAACTCTATGTGTGTGAGTAAATTGCGGGATGATGGAGACTATTCGGGTGCGGCTTACCTTCCCCCGGAAGTCGGAGTTTCGACTCTCAAAGTTTGTGTCGGATTTGTCAGCTATTTAAATGTATCTTGTCGGTGTATGATATTGAAATAGGACCTCTGAACCCTATCCCGATTGGGCTATTTTTGTCTTATATAGATGGGGCGGGATGGGGTCAATATTAGTAAACAGTTGTAAGTGTTACAGTACAGTTAACTGAGCAGACAGGTAGAGAACTATCACCCCCCCCTGGTAAACTACCATCATACGGTAATTATAGTGGCAAAACATTCTGCAAATACAAAATTTTAGAAAATTATTCCTCAAAACATATAAAGTTAAAAAAAAACTTTTTAAGGGAATTTGCCGGAAATGTAGTTTGCACTAGTAGCCTGTATAGAACATTAAGGAAATGTAGTTTGCACTAGTAGCCTGTATAGAACATTAAGGAAATGTAGTTTGCACTAGTAGCCTGTATAGAACATTAAGTTAATAAGTTATGCAATTGCAATAAACATATTTTTAAGGTTTCCAACGCAAGTGGATTTTACTTGCGCGCAATTGCGATCCCTGTAAACACCGTGCAATTTCGCGCGATTCCACATAATTCTGAGCATTTCAAGAACAGTTGCGCGCAATTTCGATTGTAAACCCTAATATTTTTAGATAAAAGATGGAGGAGATTAATGAAAACAAAACAATGGATCTTCTCAGAGAGTCCCTGGGAGAAGAAAAGGAAAAAATAAGATTATTTTATTTTTAAAATCTAATTCCTTTCTTTCCTTGGGACTATCAAGTAAAAGTCTCCCTGCGAAGTTTTCGTCAAAAAGTAGCGCATTTTCATCCCTACAGACGATAAAATTGTGTACAAGAAGCTGAAGCTATTACTTAAGCATAAGCTCCCTGGATCAGTCAGCGCGTAGCGAGGGATGTTTTGCAGACAACATTGGTCTTGGAAAATCTTGGCAAAGTACAATTATATTAATTTTCCTGTAAAGTAAAGATGTAGACAATAATTATTGAGGAAACCCTGCATAAAAATTAAGTTTCCTAACTTTTCCTGTATTCAAGTTTTTATTAAAAGAAAACTTTAAAAAGCGTGAACAGTACTTTAGCAGTGGCACAGCCCCGAACCTTTTTTACCCCCCCCCCCCTCCCCCCTCTACAGAAACTGTTCATAATGTGTTACTTACAACCTGTCGCCATGCAAAGGTTTACACCATCTGGTTGCGAAGATATACTAAACCCACTAATGATGGAATGATGCGAATATTTAGTTTTCTAATTAAATAATTATATTGACCTCTTGAAACTGTTCCCGCACTTCATGGCTATTTATTTATTTTTACAATTACTGAGATTTAGCCGACATTTTATAGGTTCTTTCAATATCTCCGAAGTTCTGTGTTAAACTGTAGAGATTAGAAAAATTAAGTTCCTTTTATGTTAAATGTGGTTTGATTTTATGTAAAGATTACATTAAATTACAAAACAAAGAAAGAACCTTATTTTACTCTGTTCGGGAAAAAATGCTTTTAACGGTTTTTTTATCAACTTAAATTATGGAAAATTATTTTGTTTCCCAGTATATAAAGTTGGCTGGGCAGGCAGCAGATATTAAACAAAAATTTCAACTTCGAAGAAAGAAATGGAGAGATAAACTTCTCCAGCCACCTACTCCAACCTCAGGTAACTTCTCCAGCCACCTACTCCAACCTCAGGTAACTTCTCCAACCACCTACTCCAACCTCAGGTAACTTCTCCAACCTTCTACTCCAATCTCAGTGAACAAAAAATCGAATTAAATCTTCGGATTATCATATTTAGAGAATTTCTCATTGTTATTAGAGGGACTGGCAATACCTGATTTACAACGGTGAATTCATCAATTACGAATTAGATAAGAACATTTAAAAATTTTAAAAAAATGATAATTTTCCAATTTATGGTTTTTTTTTACAAAGGTGAAAACTGCAGAATAACATATACAAAGTTTATTCCACAATATTGATCAGAAAACTGCAGAATAACGTATACAAAGTTTATTCCACAATATTGATCAGAAAACTGCAGAATAATATATAGAAAGTTTATTCCACAATATTGATCAGAAAACTGCAGAATAACATATACAAAGTTTATTCCACAATATTGATCAGAAAACTGCAGAATAACATATACAAAGTTTATTCCACAATATTGATCAGAAAACTGCAGAATAACATATACAAAGTTTATTCCACAATATTGATCAGAAAAATGTTTCAAGGGCATTTTTGCATTTTTGTAAATCGGGCATTGCAATCTTTGAATGGAGGGCCATTTAAAATCTCATCGTTCATGATTAACCTTATAGATCTTATTTGCATGTATAAAACCGGTTTTATGTTTTTAATATCAATGCTGAGGAAACACAATATCCTGGCTCATCATAATCATAATATTTAGATCAGTTATCTGAATTATTCTGAACGTTATATTCTTAATTGAACACTTCAACAGAAATTTTCTTTATTTTTATTCTTTTTTAACGAAGGCTCGATGAAAGAACTTTCAGTTTTAGAAAAGTAATGAGGAGCATGATTAAAATAAATGAAAATTATTAATTATGAATACAGGGGTCCTACTGAATAAAACAGTTGGTAAATAGTTTTGAATGTATTTTACGTTATATAGTATGTAAAGTCTGTTTGCAGTTTATTAAGATAAAATAATCTTCTCCTCAAACATATTTTACTATGAAATCAATTTTACCATAATATATGACTCCCTTAACATATTTTTATTATTTTCTTTCGTATCAAACGACTTAAAAATTTTGAAAGAAGACATTATAAAATATTCATGTCTGTCATGTTTCGCGGGACACCCTGTAGATGATAGAGTATTTTTTTTCAAATCATTTTAATAATTTAAAAAATTAAAAATATCATTAAATCTGAACCAATCAGGTCCAAATTGTTTGCTGTGCCTTATCCATAATAAAATATAGTATTCCACATCACATGACCCTAAGGAATGTTTATGGCCAGTCAAAATCGACATGCTTGGGGGGTAAAAATGAGTTTACACCATAACCTCTTAGTAACCTCTTATTTAATCCAAAACAGGCTTCACCGCTTTAGACATTTTTTTGAGATAAGTGTCAAAGTCGTAATGTTGCGATGAAGTAATAAAATCCTACGAAAAACGTATCATTTTATGCACAAAACAGAGACAAAACAAATTCTCAGGCGCGCTGCCGACCCCCTTAAATACCCCACTGTGCCCCCTCTCCACACTTTGAACTAGCCATGGAAGAAGAAGGTCTTTGATATTACTGGGGATAATGTTTGCCCGCTTAGCTTCTCTATAGTGTTGATTCTTTGCAAAAGTCATAAAAAAAGCTAATTTATCTCAGCTGAAAACGTTAGAATGAGATATCCTTAATCTCGATTACTTAATCTGAGTATCCAATGGAACCACTTTTTATTTTCTTCTTAACCCGTTCTTTCTTAGATATGGAAGAGAAAAATCAAAAATCGTTTTTTAAAATTAGAGAGTCCCTTCAATTTCTGTTACAACGCAACTCCGCAACGCAACTCCGATTGGTTGAATTTTATACACTTTTCAGGATACAAGATCAGATGAGTCTCGATATTAAGAAAAAGAAAGCATCAAGCATTAATCTCGATATCCACCATTCTAAAGTTTTCAGCTCTGTTAACATTTTTCAGAAGTTCAATACATGTTTGTTCTTCTCAAAAGCTCTTTATTACGAGAAGTTATTTTTGAAAACATATAAGATTTCTTATACGTGCTTGTCTTTGTTTTCTAACAAAATCTAATAACGTAAAATATTATTGCTATTACCTGAATTATATTATTTAGCTAGAACAATGATATTTAGAAAATGAATATTTAAACACCCACGAGAGCTTTACTTTGCAAAGATAAAAATTATTTAAATATTTAAATAAGTGTTGATTAAACAGGGTTGATTAGAGCTGAGTTGTGAAAATTGATGTGAAAGAGAGAAATGCCTGATTCACAACGATACCTTAATATGATCAATAATGTGGAAGATATAGTAGTTTTTCCAGCTTGAAAATTTGTCTTCAGCAAGAAATGCACAATTGTCACTTTTTGTATAAAGACCACAAATGAAAATAATCAGTTTATTAAAAAAAAAAATATGGATTTCTAATTCAAATTAGATGAGACAATGCTTTTGAGGTTTTGAATCGGATTTGCCACTCTATTAATGCCATTAATGTCCAATGTACCCTAATTATATAGAAAACTGATAATTTTCGTTAAACGGTGGATAATTAATCGTTAACGTTTTAGATCGTTAATAATAGTTAACGATGTCTAATTTTTTATGATGTCAATTGATAAAATTGTCAATTTGGGTGAAATTTGATTCAAAAATGATTTAAATGTCTGTTATGTAACAGAATGAATTGGACTTTCTTATACTTGTTCGAAAAACAAGAACTAGAGGAGCTACGAGGTCATAAAGTCGGACCAGATATGGGGGAGAGGGAGAAAATTTCAATTAAAGAAACTGAGCTCTTGCAACAAACTCAAATTTTCTAATCCATTTATCTTTGCAAACCATGATGTTGATTTTTCAAACTTTGATTATTTAATCTAACAAAATGCATATTTTAAAATATTAAAAATCAATAACATTGGGTTGAAAAGGATTTTAGAAAGTAGAATTTGTAGCAAAACTCAGTTCCTTTAAACTCGTACTCGACATGCAATTTATATCCAACCCTAATACTTTGTGTTTTTTAAAACGCGTTCCTGATTTTAATAGTTAACGATTCCAGATTGTTTTTTTTTCAACATATTATATACTATTAATCGTTCCACTTTTGTTAATTATAGATCGTTCCAATATTTTTAAGAACGCTTTTCAAGGTTTCGTATTTTTTTGGAACAATGGCATCGTTGATTTTGGGAATTCCGTTCGTTCCTGAGAAAGAACTACCAATCCTCGTTAACATGCGCTCATGGCCCTACTCCCAGCTCTTTAATCCGTGTAAACTAATTTTCAGGTGAACTGAAAAGATTAGATGAAGAAGTGAAGGAAAATTTATCAACAAAACTTCTAATCCAGGTACGTTTCATCATTATTGCGTTATCAATTTTATAAAGGTTTTAAAAGTCTGTAAAGAGAGTGTTCGTGAAAAGTTAATGGGGATATAACCATATAACCTATAGGCTGATTCGATTGATAATAATGTTACTTCTGTCTATGCGTCTACAGAGGGGAAATAGTTGAAAACGCCTAATATTAAAAACAAAATTAACGTCCAACTAAACTTACGGATTTAATAAAAATATGATGCGCTCATCAAATAAAATGTTGAACTAAACGAACAAAGTTCACAAAACAGACTATACCTTCTAGTACACATTCTAAAGTTGATTTACTTTACAGTCACAAAGACATCAAAAGAATTGTCTTTAAATCTAATTGTAAATTGTCCAAACGGCAAAAAAAGGTTTTACTCTCACAGGTAGAAAAACTGGGGTTTAAATCTAATGTTTGTTAAACGTGGCAGTATTGGTTTTATAAACTTGGTGAGAAACTCACGTATAAAGAACTCAATAAAGGAAACTTTACAAAGAGAAACTCAATATAACAAGCCAGATGGAATCGATTATAGCACTAACTTTGCACAGACATTTATTTTACATTATTATTAAAATACAAACTGAGGATCAACCAAAGTTAATCTGGAATCATAGATGAAGATATTTCTCCTCCTGGAGCTACTAGAGATTTTATCGACCTTCCTCCTCTGATCCTTCATCAAGACTGAGTCTTACTCTCCCGGGGCATAACAAAATGGCTGTGTTTGCTTTCTCTGCCGTCGAAAGTTCCGTTGTATAACCTCCCTAGATACGGGTTCAAAAGGGTTCGAATCTGATCTTCTACATGGAAATTTCCCTGTCCCGTTAGATGCAGATGCCAAGTAACGGGTTAGTTTAAAAACATGAAGTGATGTTCACCTAATAATAGTCATATTACCCTTATTTTTGGAATAAAATCACAACTCTTCTTCTTTTGAAAAATGTCCCTAAATAAATAACACAATTGAACTAATCACCCTAAATTTTACTAGATAGGGTTATAAATTTTTAATTCTGTTTTGCCCAATTTAGTCTGTAAATTGTATCACTATAAATTCTGTTTCATCTCAAGTACCGGGCCGAGTTTTCACCGGCTGTACAGTACAATTAAATACTACGTCAGGCAAACTGAGATAGTACGCCAAGCGAATGATCTTTATCTAGGGCAAGATTGTAATCACAGACTACAAAGACTGCTTATCTCCTTTCACAGGGTGGGCTACGTAGGCCTAAGTTGACCTGGCACGACATGATACGTTTTTACGATAGGTTTTTAGAGTGCCATCTCACGGCCACTTGATGAACATAATACCCATTCAAGGTTTAAGTTTTACAACTTTTAAAGAAATACTCCATTTTGAAACATGAAACATAACATTTATAAATTCAGTCTTTTTTTAAAAGATTTTGTGTTTTGTATACAAAGGATCCTTAAATATCCCTGAATACAGATGTTTTCTGATTGGTCTTGTATACAGTACTTGTACACAATAGAACATGCTGTGCAAAATATCGCATATTTACGCTGATAATCGATCTCTGTAACTCTCTTATCTCTGGTTATAATGCAAGGAAAGTTAATTGCAGTTGCGTATACTCTGCGTACATATGGAAACCAGTTCTCTCTGGGCGGAATTGTAAACAATTTATATTATCCGAGGAGGTTAAACGCATAACATTTTGATAATTCACAAAATAGTTTCCGATGGCCAGAATATTTCATTGATTTTTTATGTGAAAGATGGATCCCATGTCAAGCTTCGACATCCGTCTTGTGTTTACATTACCGCCCAGAGACAGTACACTGCAGTACAAAAGATGCATACAACTCTGAAATAACGTTCCTTGCATTATAACCTTGATCTAGGGAAATTTATGTGGTATACAGCTGAGATAAACCGGAGTTTATTGTGATAATTTAACCCAGTCCCTTCCAAGGTGGTTTTCCTAGGATGATTTTACCGAAGCTGATCCTCTTCAAGATTTGACAGGGTGGGAGAAAATACTGAAAACTATTCTACCAAATAGTTTTCACCCACAGGTCATACACAGTTACCCAAAAAATATGAGACTTCAATGAGGTCTCATTTTTGTGGGAAACCCGGTACTTTTCATAATGCCAATAGCTCTGACAGGGGTCGTCAACAAACAATGGAATATAAAAACTATTTGCTAAAGTGGAATAGGTATGCTACATGCTTTGACAAATTTTATTCATGATAATTATAATGATAATTATAAATTCAAACTGGTATACAAAATTACTTTAAAGAAATAAAAACATTTTTTATGTTTAAATAATGATATAATTGTTCACCTAATTAAAGAAAATATTATAGGGATTGTTCACCTAATTAAAGAAGATATTAAAGGGATTGTTCACCTAATTATGGAAGATATTAAAAGGATTGTTCAACTAATTAAAGAAAATATTAAAGGGATTGTTCACCTAATTGAATAAAATATTAAAGGGATTGTTCACCTAATTAAAGAAATATTAAAGGGATTGTTCATCTAATTAAAGAAATATTAAAGGGATTGTTCACCTAATGGAAGAAATATTAAAGGGATTGTTCACCTAATTGAAGAAACATTAAAGGGATTTTTCACCTAATTAAAGAAATATTAAAGGGATTGTTCACCTAATTAAAGAAATATTAAAGGGATTGTTCACCTAATTAAATAAATATTAAAGGGATTGTTCACCTAATTGAAGAAACATTAAAGGAATTGTTTAACTAATTGAAGAAACATTAAAGGGATTGTTCACCTAATTCCCAGATGATTACTGTACAGTTTACTGCAAGTTGTGTATGTTTTGTGCCAGACGATTATTGTACAGTGTACTGCAAGTTGTTTTAATTTTTTCCCAGATGATCACTGGATAGTGTACTGCAAGGAGAATTGAATAGAAGGAGGGGGCGATAGGGATTCCTTACACTTTGCTGCGACGTTTTTGGACTGCTGAAGAACTAGTTTTTGCGTAACAACAATAACAAAGGCAGCCGATCTAATGTAAACAAACATGAGTTAGTATACGGTGAATCTTCACTTACGCGCAGAGATGCCAGATGTCTGTTTATCATTTGTGTTATTATTTACAATCTTTATTATTGTTGTTACGCAAACACTAGTTCTTCAGCAGTCCAAAAACGTCACAGCAAAGTGTACGGAAACCCTATCGCCCCCTCCTTCTATTCAATTCTCCTTGGTGTACTGCAAGTTATTTATGTTTAGTCCCAGTTGATGAATGTACAGATTATTATTGTACAGTGTACTGCAAGTTGTTTATGTTTACTTCCAGATGATTACTGTACAGTGTACTGCAAGTTATTTATTTTTAGTTCCAGATGATTACTGTACAGTATACTGCAAGTTGTATATGTTTAGTTCCAGATGATTACTGTACAGTGTACTGCAAGTTATTTATGTTTAGTCCCAGATGATTACAGTACAGTTTACTGCAAGTTTTTTATGTTTAGTCCCAGATGATTACAGTACAGTGTACTACAGGTTGTTTATGTTTAGTCCCAGATGATCACTGTACAGTGTACTGCAAGTTGTTTATGTTTTTTAGTCCCAGATGATTACTGCACAGTGTACTGCAGGTTCTTTATGTTTAGTCCCAGATAATTACTTTACAGTGTACTGCAGGTTGTTTATGTTTATTCCCAGATGATTACTGTACAGTGTGTTGCAAGCTGTTTATGTTTAGTCCCAGATGATTACTGTACAGTGTACTGCAAGTTGTTTATGTTTAGTCCCAGATGATTTTTTGTACAGTTTACTGCAAGTTGTTTATGTTTAGTCCCAGATGATCACTGTACAGTGTACTGCAAGTTATTTATGTTTAGTCCCAGATGATTACTGTATGGTGTACTGCACGTTGTTTATGTTTAGTCCCAGATGATTACTGTAGAGTGTACTGCAAGTTGTGTATGTTTAGTCCCAGATGGTCACTGTACAGTGTACTGCAAGTTGTGTATGTTTAGTCCCAGATGATCACTGTACAGTGTACTGCAAGTTGTTTATGTTTAGTCCCAGATTTACTGCAAGTTGTATAAGTTTAGTCCCAGATGATCACTGTACAGTGTACTGCAACTTGTTTATGTTTAGATCCAAGTGATAACTGTACAGTGTACTGCAAGTTGTTTATGTTTAGTCCCAGATGATTACTGTATGGTGTACTGCACGTTGTTTATGTTTAGTCCCAGATGATAACTGTACAGTGTACTACAAGTTGTTTATGTTTAGTCCCAGATGATTACTGTATGGTATTGCATATTGATGATGGCCCTTCTATACAACGCCTGGACTATCCCACTCAGAACAAGGCTCAATTAATTAAATTATATAGATTACTTTTAGTTATAAGCAAACCAAACAACAAATCAATCAATCAATTAACGTTTAGAAAAGATTAAATTTTTTTCTTTTTATTTCTTTTTATAGACCTTTCAGCTTTTATCAAAAAATGTAATCAACGCATGTGGAAAGGGAAGAGGGATAATCCAGCTTATTCCAGTTTATCTTATTAAAAAATCTAGCTATTGAGCCCTGGTTATAAATTATAATGAAGAAGAAAAATGAATAAAGAACCTGATAAAATATTACATTTCCACCCCTGGTTAATATAGGATCAGAGACGCACACGGGATATTTGATAGGTTGATATTTGATTGGTTGATATTTGATTGATTAATATTTGATTGGTTGATATTTGATTGGTTGATATTTGATTGGTTGATATTTGATTGATTGATATTTGATTGATTGATATTTGATTGGTTGATAATTGATTGATTGATATTTGTTTGAATGATATATTGATTGATTGATATTTGATTGGTTGATATTTGATTGGTTGATATTTGATTGATTGATATTTGATTGGACGATATTTGATTGGTTGATATTTGATTGGTTGATATTTGTTTGAATGATATATGATTGGTCGATATTTGATTGGAGGTATTTGATTGGTTGATATTTGATTGATTGATATTTGATTGGACGATATTTGAGTGGTTGATATTTGATTGATTAATATTTGATTGATTGATATATGATTGGTCGAAATTTGATTGGTTGATATTTGATTGGTTGATATTTGATTGATTGATATTTGATTGGTTGATATTTGATTGATTGATATTTGATCGATTAATATTTGATTGGACGATATTTGATTGGTTGATATCTGTTTGAATGATATATGATTGGTCGATATTTGATTGGAGGTATTTGATTGGTTGATATTTGATTGATTGATATTTGATTGGACGATATTTGATTGGTTGATATTTGATTGATTGATATTTGATTGATTGATATATGATTGGTTGATATTTGATTGGTTGATATTTATTTGGTTGATATTTGATTGGTTGATATTTGATTGATTGATATTTGATTGGTTGATATTTGATTGTTGATATTTGATTGGTTGATATTTGATTGGTTGATATTTATTTGGTTGATATTTGATTGGTTGATATTTGATTGATTGATATTTGATTGGTTGATATTGATTGGTTGATATTTGATTGGCTGATATTTGATTGGTTGATATTTGATTGGTTGATATTTGATTGGTTGATATTAATTTAATTGATTATAGTTTTACTCTATATCAGACTCCTGAGAACACAATATACTGGATGATAGGTAGATAGTTGAATATTCAGAAATATAATTTTAGAATTAATAAAAATTCATGTTTTTATCATAGAATGACTTTTTATTAATGTGTTTCATGAGAATATACAGTGTGCCTCAAGAAACTAAAATTGTAAGCCTTCGATCTACAAAATCAAATCTTAAGTCTTGGGATTACCGAAATGTGAATTGCCAATTTGCACCTTCAGAATTATCTTAAAGATCGAAATGCAATAAAATAAATCAAATTTTCTTAATATCTAATAATTATTCATTGAATTTTTAATATACAAGAAGAAAATTCACACGAAGGAAAACTTTAAAATAGAAAAACTTTTTTTTAAATTCTGATCTTACGACCAACTCAAATTTTCTGCAACCTATTGGTATCTTAGATAAATTGATTTATCTGAGTTCATAGTTGGAAATATCAAAGGTCTATGATATTGGGTGGCAAAAAAGTTTCTTTTAATAACAGAAACCAAAGACGATTTTCAATTTGATTCCAGGTTTATTGTTACACCCTGGGCTTTGATCTGTTTTTTGTATTAATAGACTGGATCATTCCTTTTTTTTACTTATTTTATATTTTCCGAAATGTTCTTCACGAATGGTATCGAAGAAACCTTAATAATTCAAGAAATTTTTAAAAATCGATTTCAATAAAATATTCGAAAATTTCTTAATTCATGGTAAATTTATAACTTTAATCCTCATTTATCTTTCAACTTAAAAAATATGTCTTATTCTCAATATGATATCTCACAAAAGGACTGTAAGCGTTAATTCAAGTAACCCTCCTAGCAAAGATGGCAATGCCCGATTCACAACGGTACCCTTAAAACCTTTATCTGATCAACACTGTCAGGGATATTCTCGTTTTTCTAGGTTAAATTCTGATAATTTCTATATGTTTTTCTGCAGAAGCAATGCACAAGTCACTTTTCTAGCGAAACCACAATCCGAAATAAACAGTTTTCAAAATTATAAACATTGATATCTAATTCATACAAAGCTTTTAACGTAAACCGTTGTGTATCGGGTATTGCTGAATCTTTGCATGGAGGGTCACTTGAGCTTACGCATACAGTCCTTTAAGATGGTAAATATATTTCACTTTGTGTTCAGGGGATTATATAAGTGATTTCTTCTATTGGTCAGATATTCTACTAATCAAGGTAAAAAATCTAGGATTGGAAAAATTCCGAAAAAATCGGACAAAACAAAATCGTAAGATTTAAAATATAAACGGATACTTTACACTTTACAGACAATGGATGATTTCGAACAGGAAAATTCATAAATTTCATTTTATTCAACCTTTAAAACTGACGGTTATTTAAAGGGTCTGTTAACCCTATTCAGACAGATGTCTTGTTTCCGCATAAAGTCGGGGGGGGGGGCCCCCCTGTATATTTCCTGATTGTTATACAAGTTTATAACATTTGATACACTTTTGGACAGCCCTTTTGGGCTCTAATACTTTAATAATCTGCAAAAGATTGCAAATTTGAAAATTTTTAAACATTTATTGCATTATCAAGTTATTAAACAAAAAATGCGCCAAATATGATAAATTATACAATTTTAAAATGCCCTTAAACCACGGCAAATCCAAATATGCAAAAATATTTGCAAAACTTTCAAAAACTAAATTTGTATTTAAGGAAAACTGGAAATGTGCAAAATTTTTCCAAAGACGTATGCAAAGTCTAAATCCAATGACCGGTGTCATGCATGGAGCGGACTCTTGCATGGGTTGGACTCCCCCTAAAATTTTAACCATTTCAACACAATATTGAACATAAAAAGCATTTTGAGATATTTATTAATGTATTTTTATTTGAAAAACACATTAAAAATTATATCTATGTCTTCAGTAAAAAAATTGTTTGATGACTCGAAAGGAAGACGACATGTAAGTGGAAATAACCTTTTGACTTTACCCACTTTAAAAAACATTTAAGAACAAAATGCGTATTTAATATATGTCAACTATTAATTGTTAATGTTTTAACAATGCTTTTTAAGTCTAACATTGTGTTAAAATGGTCAAAACTTTAGGGGTCGAGTCCGCCCCATGCAAGAGTCCGCTCCATGCAAGAGTCCGCCCCATGAAAGAGAGTCCGCTCCATGCAGGACACCTGTCGGAAATCTGAATTTAGATTTAGTCGGATAGAGGAAAATAAGATAAAAAGTCTAAAGTTAGTTAGAAAATTCAAAAATTTGATACTTTTTGAATCAAGGGTGGTCCCAGAAGAGTTTATACCTCTTTTTTTAAATAAAGATAAAAGTTAAAAAATAATCTGGAAAACGCTCCGGCGTAAGATAATCTGTAGGCTGTACAATTCATAAAAACTTCAACACAGTTCGAACATTTAAAAAAATGTATCTGTTTAAGCCTCGTATGATGTATCTGAATGAACATGGAATTTACGAATCTCAGCGAAGAAATATGTTTATCAATTATATCAAGGTATTTATTATTAAATTATATTAGCATTTCTGTAAAATGTTGTTCATTCCATTGAAATAAAAAGCGCTTTGTAGTTCTAAAATTTACATGTCTAGGGCTACAAAAAGTATTTGTGATTTTGAGAAGTAAATCTGAAGCCAAGGCGTTGCAACACTTCAAAGTCAATCCAGTCTTGAAAATTGATGCAACTTTCCACAGCTGTATGGCCCTATTTGGCCCTGTATGGTCCTATTTGGCCCTGTATGGTCCTATTTGGCCTAGATAACCCATTTTTTCTAGCAGTAATATTTGACCAAGACATACCGTGTGACCCACAAAAGATAAGACTATAAAGACGACTGCACATAATTTAAAATTTTCGTTCTATTCGCATATTTCTATGCTTGTTTCTTCCTTTGCCAGATCATTAAATATGCTGCATTTAAAAACAATATTCACTGAAGAAGACTTTATTTAAACTTGTAATGTTATGCAACATTCTTCATTTAGTATTTTAAATCAGAGATCCTTACAAAGAAGTTTACTTTTGACGGGCGGAAAGACAGTGTGCTAGTCGTCTTTACAGTCTCACCCCATGCGGGTAACCCTGAATCACATTGGAAATTTGATCTTCTCTAGTCTGGTTCAGCGTGCGCTTCATCCCGGAAGGATCGAACCGATAAATTCGCATGCTATATTATATTTATTATTTCTTTAGACAGATTTTTCGTGCTTTTATGATTTTAATAATTCAATTTTTGGAATCCTTACTCTTACTTTCAGAAGGGAGATTTTAAAACTGATTTAGCTTCATCACTTCCCTTTGATGTTTTCTATATATTCACAGGAGTCAGGGATCTATCTTCTTCAAAAAATCTAAACGTAAAATTAAAACAATGTTATCTAAAAAAAAGGAAATTGAATGTAATTGGATGTAAATAATATTGTTATCATAAGTATCAAGTGTTATTCAAAACAATTTTCAACAAAATTAAACTATTTATAAATAGCAAAAAATTATGAATAAAAATGGATAAAACTGATTGATAAAGAGGAACCACGTCACTTCTCAGGCTGAATAGAATTTTGAAAAATTATACTTTTACCCGAGCATTTGATAGGTAATATTTAGTGTAGAATATTTATAAATATAAAAACAATTATTATCATCTAAATATTATGTTCAAAAATCAATATTTGGCGATGCATTTCACAGCTTTTTTATCTTACATTAATTTTGTAATGTTCTTTCGAAAATTCTTTAATACCATTACCCTCACCTACTGTAAATATTGATATCAATATCAATATCAGAAACTTATTTGCGGATTTCTGTCGGTGAAACAGAAAAGAAAATCAACAGAATAGATAATTATATGCAATTACGTCTATTCAATCTCTCTAAAAAGAGATAATAAAACTCATATAAAATTAAAATTATTACTTAGTTTAATCGATAAAAAATGCAAAAATGTCAAACAAATCATAAAAATCAATAATTTTTAAGTAATATGTGATTTTTTATGTATAAACAATGTAACTACTACTTCATACATTTGTTACTATAGCTCATTTTACAAAACATGTTTTAAAAATAATTTTCCTTTTTTCAAAATCAGATTGGACGCCGCCAGCCCTCATCCAACAGTAGTTCGGCTTGTCAGGTATTCTATTTTAACCAATGAAAATATATCAGGTATCTTTAACAATTATTTCAAATGATTAAGTGTTTTATATTGACGATGCTAAGTTTTCATTTATTCAATGAATTTACGTTTGTGTTAAAACATTAAATTGATGATAACAAGATTTTTTTTAAAAATACATAGTTATAAAGATGATTTTAATTTTTCATATTACAATAGAAATGTAAAATCATGAAAAGCAATTCACTTCTCTACGGCGCTACACTTAATTTTGTATATTAGTAGAAGAAATCCTAACATTTCGACAGTGAATTATTAACGTTTTTTCGAACATTTCGAAATGATTTATTGTTACTCTCGCCGTTTATCCTAGCTTAGTATTAAACCATGATCTTATCCAATAACAAAAGTTAATATTTTTTTCGAAAATGAATAAAAGAACCATATCTCCATAGTATTTATTTCTTTTAAAGATTAGAAATTGGAGATTTTTTACCTCAATCAAAAAAAACAAAATACTTATTTGAGGGGTGTCATACTATAAAGAGACACCAGGCCCTTTTGGTTGGCTAACTCTTTAAAACCATGAGAATACTTGGTTTGAAAAATTATTTAAATCTCCAATCAAAGCTGGGTTCCCAAGCTTGTAATTGATAAAAATTCATGTGTTTAAGAACTGTGAATATTATGCTGTATTTAATTCATCTGAACGCATGCGCATTCTACGCATTCTCAGCCTGGGAAGGACTAGGCAGCAATAAGTTTGTTTATAGTGGGGTCGGTAGTGCATACATCAGGTAGAAAAAATAACTTTAATCAGAGAAAATAAATGATTTTACTCATTCTTCTATTTCTTTAAAATTCTTTAACACTTTTTTGTTACATATTTCTATTAAAAGGATCAATTTTATTTTCTTGTAACATTAATAGGTTTATACGATTATAATTTTTAATCTATTTAAAGATTAATAATTATTTGTTAATCTAATATTTCGAACTCTTACGCAGATTTATAATAATTTTACAGAAAAAAATAATTTTAAATAAATAATTTTACCGAAAATGTCGAATCCTTTTTGCTTCAGCAAAAAGTTTTACAGTAGCAAATTAGAATCATCATTTTTAAAAGAAAAAAAATTAAACAAATCAAAATTCATTCAGTAATTAACGATTTAAAAAAACAGAAAATCGGGAAGGTTTTTTTTCAAAAGATGATGATATGGGTATAAAAAAATGTGCGTCTTGAATTGTTGAATAACACCCATATTAGTTTGTTTAATACAAATAATTTTCAAAACACCAATTTTTTTCTTATAATTAGCTTAATTTTTAACAGATTTTTACGAATTTAACGCTTCTAAATTCAGTGTTTCAAGACAGATATTTTGATACCCATAAATCTCAAAAAAAAAATTTAGATGTATCAAAGAAAACTTTAGAAATGGTGTTTCACCATAACATAAAATCTTATTACTGTTAACAAATAAATTCGAATGTTTTGTACTTTACTATATTTTAGATGTTTCTATTTTGCTGTAAAAACTGCAATGTCTATTGGGAAGAACCCTAAGCCCCTGGTGGACAACCCTTACGAGATCTTGTTCATGGCGGTCAGCTGGCTCATGGGCATATTCGTCTTCGCTGTCCTCATTGGTAACGTCAAGGCAGGATATTGTCAAACACAAGGAATCATGATAAACCAGAGAGCCCGCAATTTAAAAACTTTGACTTGAGCCGTAATTCCTTAAACCCGACTTTACGACCCAATCTTCGACCCAACTCTGACAACAGCGTGTGTCACGCGATTGACAGCTGCAATTTCTTTGGCTCGACTTAAGGAGTAAGGACCTTGGTGGGTTTTAGGGGAGAATAAGGCTCAATGTTGAGTCTTGTTCTCATAAAAACCCGGAATGCGCCAATTCCTTCCATGAAAATACCTCAAATAGAATATTAAACTCAACTGTGTAGAAAATAACATGCAGCTTGAATCCGAAAGCTCAAACTGTAAATAAGGCCCAAGAAGAGGTTTCCAATTATATCTTTTATAAATGAAACAGAAACACGATCTTTTCCTTCTCATTTAACCCTGTATAACAATCAGACTAAGAATGAAAAATTTTTGTTCAAAATAAGATTATTAGAGATGGTAATTTATGAATGATAGAGGTAGTTGAACCAGTCGTATCTAGAACTCTCTCTATTTAGAAATTACCAACTAAAATTTATCAAATCTATGATTTTTTTTTTTAATGAAAATTATATACAGGGTGTCCCAAAAAACATGGGAATTCAGTGACGAATTCGATATCGTCTTTTCAAATAATTCTTTGATTTAGTAAAGTGATACCTACTGAGAAAGCTGTAATCTGTAAGAGTTTCGTCTGCTATGTTTACATTTTTTTTTTATGTTTTGACTGCAACCGGTTGTACTTAGTAAAACAAGAAAATTACAGTATACAAACAGAGTAAACTTGTCCGTATTCACTGTTCATCTTGCGGAGACATTATAGACACATCTTTGCAGTCTTTTACCCTTTTCATTAAATAAATTTAGCAGACATAATAACATTATGGGTTTTGAAATTAGGTATTACAATGCTAATTCATAACAAAGACGATATCCAATTCATCACTGAATTCCCATGTTTTTTGGGACACCCTGTAGTTTCATCAAATAAGTTTGACTTTATCTTCATTTGTTTAAGGACATAATTGCCCAATCTACAAGGTTAAATTCTAGATTTTTTCACATTTTCATAACAGGCTGATGATTTATAATGGAACAAGGACCAGATTTAATGAATATTTGAACCACTTCTCTACAGCTTAAAGAAGTGGTTCAACTTAGTTCAAGCATTTCATTTTTGGCCAAGAAAAGGTTAATTTAAAAAAGTTTAAAAAGTTTTTTTTTATCTGAAAAATCTGAATTGTTAGAAATCAAGATGAATATATGAAGATATTTGATGCTATAAGTCAGTATATGTTTAGGATGCACTTGCCAGAGGTATTAGTTTTATATACTTAAAACTTCTTTAAAGGAACTGTAAGCTAAATTTTATGTTTTTAAGTAAGATTTTGATATTAGATTAAACTGAGAATTTTCAATTGTGAATTCTTTGCAAAATTGTCTTGCGTATTTCTACTGCAAAAAAAAATTTTAGGAATTATCTGAATTAAACATTTTTAAACTTAGGAAAAAGACAATAAATTATTTCATAATCAATAATCTATATTATTGATTGGATATAAGCTTTACCGTTGTGTATCTTTTGAAATTTTCAATATATCCCTATCATCCTTTAATTCGTTAGTTCTCACAGCTACTTACCTCTTTTGGAACAAAAAAACTCCTAAATAATTAGTTGTGGGGCTCATTTTGAATACAGGGGCACATAACATTTTCTTCCCAATCTTTATTTTGAAAATTTTTGTAAATGTAAAATATCATTATATTAAATTAAACTTAAATATATCTGATTATATTAAGGAAACAATGAACCGTGTAAAGACTTGGTGCCAGTTTACGTGGAACTCACAGAAAAGTTTTGATGAGCGCGCCATTCTGCAATATTTACCCGGGAAAATGATGACCGGTAATGCCGCGGTACTGAATACTCCTTATGGAAGTCGTCTTCGTTGTTAGATTTAAAGTAGTGAACAATCCCTTAGAGTACAACCCCCTGAATTCAAAAGTTGTTTTGTAGGTATTGAGTTTATCAATTGTTACTTAGTGCTATAATCAACCAAAAGATCCTGCCTCTTTTTTTTATCTGATTGTACAAATCACATATCTTTTGATTTTTGGCCTTAAATAGTTGTTAAAAACAATTTCAAGATGATAAATTAAACACTTTCATTTCTTAAGAGTTATCTTTAACATTAAATTGGGACTGTGAGCTTAATGTCAATTGAACCTCCATTCAACGAGGGCAATGCTCGATTCACAACGGTATCCTGAAGACCTTTAACTATCCATCGAATACAGAGATCTGTCTGTTTTGACATATCTAAAACCGCTTGAATTCCTCTAAAACGCGACTGTACACAAGTTCTGAACTCAAACAGCTTATCTTGCGTAACTCCTCTTTACTCTTTATCAGCTTAAATACGCTGTTTCAATCTATCACAAACTCTATCCTCTCTACCTATCCAGGTATATACTATCTGTAAATAACAAGAGTCTGTGTTGAACTGTCTATATTTAGATATAAAAAGGTACAGCCTACAGGTTAATAAGTTGACCTCAACTAGGGTCAATGAATTATATTAACGGGTTACAAAGATATAAATGAAATAGTGTATACAATATAACTTGCAAACTTCAGTGGATTAATAGGGATATGTCCGACATCCTTGATCAGTCAAAGGTTTGAATGGTATCGTTGTGAATCTGAAATTCTCCTCTTTAAATGAAAGGTCGCTTGAAATCACGCTTACAGCCCCTTTAACCATATTTCTACTTTTTTACATTTACTTTTATTATTTTTAGATGTTGCGTTGAACATTCATTTTAAAACAATTAGCGGTGTGAAACTGTTCCATGGTTGTAACCCTGGTCTGCTTAAGATGATAGGAAATATTAGAATATTAAATCTGGGAAGTTCAGATTAAGAATTTTCTATTTTGTAATATTTAATTTTCCAAAAGTATAATCCAAAAGATTATCCTAATCAACAGATTGTAAATGTAAACCCGGATTTACAGAGAGCTCCAAAAAAAATTGGAATTTAAGAACTACTTTAAAATCAGATTTAAGGGACTTAATTTCCAAAGATGTTTTACTATGAAGAAAAAAGTTCTATGGTCATAAAGTCTATATAAGAACTTCCTTGAATGACGATGACCTTCGAACATACTTGTGTGAATCTATGTAAGAAACTTATTTCCAGAAACTCTTTTCCTGTAAAAGAGTTTCTGGAAATAAAAACGTTGGGAAAAAAGTCCCAATTTTCTGAAGTCCTAGGACAAAATGTCACTGGAAAAAAGTTCTGAGTTTTAGAGTTCTGGGACTTTTTTTCCTAAAATATTATTGTATTGGGGCTGCCAATAGTGTCTCAGGAAATAAGATCACAGGAATTAAAATCCTGAAGAGAAAAGTCCTAAGTCTTGGGAAAATGAGGTCAAGTCTTAAACGTTTTCATAAAAAGGACTTTTTTTCTATGCATCTGCATATTAAATATAAGCAGGGGTGATTTAAGCCCATTTTTTCCATGTTTGTGAACATTACTTGTAAATATGCATTTTCCACTAAGAGGGCTTTTTTTAGGAGACTTTTTTGTATTAAATCATACTGGAACCAGAAAAAAAGTCCTTGAAAATAAAGTCTCAAAATGGTATCTAGGACTTTATTTCCAGAGAATTTTTTATGACTTTTTTCCAAAGGACGTTTTTAGTGCCAAAATAAATTTCCGAAATCCTTTGTTGAGGTTAACTTGTGGTTTCGGCATGATTTTAGCCTTTACATTTATGATTTGTGATGTAAATAATGCCAACATAGCTAAAATTTATTTATGGCAATTAAAAACGCTTAAAAATGGAATTGGTTAATATACAATATTCTGTCTCAGTGTGTCGTCTGAAACCTATAATATTTCTACCCGGGGATTATATTTGTAGAAAAGGAGATGTTGGGATGGAAATGTTCATAGTTTCTAGCGGTGCAGTACAGGTACATACAGTGAAACCCTTAATAACGAATACATCGAAAGAATTCATCAAATGTCGTATTCTTCACTTTCTGATAATGGAATGTTCCAGATATTTAGTTTTTTAATTAAATGATTATATGGACCAATTTAAAACTGTTCCCGCATATTCATGGCTATTTATTTATTTTCGTAAATACCGAAATTTACGTAATATAGTATAAAACTCATTGAAAAATTGTCAAGACGACATTTGATAAATTCTTCCGATGTATTCGTTATTAAGGGTTTTACTGTACACAAACATTGTACTACATTAACAATTTTAGTACTGCATAAACAAACAGTGTACTGCATTAACAAGTATGGTACTGCATTAACAAATTAACAAATATGGTACTGCATTCACAAACAGTGTACTACTTAAACAAACAGTGTACTGCATTAACAAACTGTGTATTAAATAAACAAACAATGTAGTGTATAAACAAACAATTTACTACATAATCAAACAGTGTACTGCATAAACAAACAGTGTGCTGCATAAAAAAACTGTGTATTTTATAAACAAACAATGTACTGCATTAACAAACAGTGTACTGCATATACAAGCAGTGTACTGCATAAACAAACTGTAAATTAAATAAACAAACAATGTACGGTATAAAAAAATAGTGTACTACATAAACAAACTGTAAATTAAATAAACAAACAATGTACTGTATAAACAAACAGTGTACTACATAAACAAACCGTGTACTACATAAACAAACAGTGTGCTGCATAAAAAAACTGTGTATTCCATAAACAAACAGTGTACTGCATTAACAAACAGTGTACTACATAAACAAACAGTGTACTGCATAAACAAACAGTATACTGCATGAACAACGGTGTACTGTATAAACAAACAGTGTACTGCATAAACAATCAGTGTATAACATAAACACACAGTGTACCGCATAAAAACAGTGTACTGCATAAACAAACAGTTTACTGCATAAATAAACAGTTTACTGCATAAACAAACAGTGTACTTCATAAACAAACAGTGTACTGCATGAACAAACAGTGCAGTGCATAAAAAATAGTGGACTGCATAAGAAACGATGTATTGTATTAACAGTGTTCTCCATGAAAAACGGTGTACTGTATAAACAAACAGTGTATAACACAAACAAATAGTGTACTGCATAAACAATCAGTGTACCGCATAAAAAACAGTGTTCTGCATAAACAAACAGTTTACTGCAGAAACAAACAGTGTACTGCATAAATAAACAGTGTACTGCATGAACAAACAGTGCAGTGCATAAAAAATAGTGTATTGCATAAAAAACAGTGTACTGCATAAGAAACGATGTATTGTATTAACAAACAATGTACTGCATAAGCAAACAGTGCACTGCATAAACAAACAGTCTACTGCATAAAATACGGTGTACTGTATAAACAAACAGTGTACTGCATAAACAACCAATGTACTGCAAAAACTGTGTACACTTTTAAACTGTACAGACTTAAAGTGTGAAAATTCTTTTTACTAAACATTTTATTTTGCCAAGGTGGTTGGAGGTCCTAATGATAGTATTGTATTTGTGACCCTGGGGCCTGGAGTTTGTTTTGGAGAAATAGCTTTGCTTGGATCAGGAGGCATGAATAGACGGACTGCTAGTATTAGGGTAATTTAATAGCTTTGCTTGGATCAGGAGGCATGAATAGAAGAACTGCTAGTATTAGGGTAATTTAATAGCTTTTTCTTTTTTTACATGTTTCTTTTCTCAGGATCAACATTTGGCATAGTTTGATAAAATCAAAATTTGAAAACTTGTCTGATTTTTATGGAACCTCTTTAAAGTTAAAAAAATGTGCAATTTGAAGAAACACTAAAATTTGTTGTGTAGAAAATTAAGCACATAAAAATTCATGAATTATCCTAAATATTCTGTTTAGAATTTCGAAGAAAATATTAAAAAAAATCTGGTATAATCGATATTACCAACAAAATGTTACTTTTGCTGTTGCTACTTCAGCAATGTTATGAATTGACATACACACATTTTAACCCGAAAATTTTGAAGGATTATAACAAATACTTGTAACAACTTTTTTGTTAAATGGAACCTGGTGTCGAAATTTTTTTTCGCTATAATTGATAAAATAAAAAGATAAAAAATAAATTTTGATTTAACCCAAAGCTAAGATGTATTTTTAGTTTTAGACCCATGTCCGAATTTAATGAATTTGAGTCGCGTCTAAAATCCGTCAAAAACTGGTTTCAATTGACCGCCGCCGGCTTAAATCTTGAAATAATGAATACGATTTTAAGTGGAATCAACCATATTTGAGCCGCGGATTAATTTTATGCCACGGCTCAAATTCTTTAAATTCGGCCTCCGAATATTTAACCAAAAGGTCTCCTACAGAAATAAAAAACCTATTTAATTATATATTTCCCATGGCTGAAACGTTATATATCCTTTTATACAATGAGATATCGTAGCTTTTTTATCTGGATAATTTTTAAATTCTGACAATTTTCTTCCTTATCTCCGCTTAATAAATCTCCAAGTTACTTTTATGGAAAACCAGAATTGGAATTTTCAATTTTTAGAAACAAAAACAAGGACATATGAATCTTTTTTGCTCAAACGAAAGATTGAAGGACACAGTTGAAATGATGTGGACAGTCTCTTTTTAAAATAAAAAATAACTAAATTATAAAATTTATTTTCCCTATTTATTTAGGCTCATGGATTCACAACCCTCTTTGTTCTGTTTAAATGGGATTTACAATCAGCGATGAAGGTTTGTTTAGGATTTTACACATTATACCAGAATATGTTTAGGATTACGCATAATACCAGAATATGTTTAGGCTTACACATTATACCAGAAAATGTTTAGGATTTTACACATTATACCAGAATATGTTTAGGATTTTACACATAATACAAGAATATGTTTAGGATTACACATAACACCAGAATATGTTTAGGATTACACATTAAACCAGAAAATGTTAAGAATTACACATTATACCAGGATATGTTTAGGATTACACATTATACCAGAATATGCTTAGAATTACACATTATACCAGAATATGTTTAGGATTTTACACATTATACCAGAATATGCTTAGAATTACACATTATACCAGAATATGTTTAGGATTACCCAATTCCAGAATATGTATAGGATTTCACATTATACCAGAATATGCTTAGAATTACACATTATACCAGAATATGTATATGATTACCCAATATACCAAATATTTATAGGATTACCCAATACCAGAATATGTTTAGGATTACCCAGAAGATCAGAATTTGTTGGCCAGAAAAGCTGCCCAAGCTAAAAAGGAAGCAGATGCTAAACAAGCTGCTTCTAAACCTAAAATTTCGCAATCTGAAGAGGTAGCAATCTGAAGAGGTAACAATCTGAAGAGGTAACAATCTGAAGAGGTAACAATCTGAAGAGGTAACAATCTGAAGAGGTAACAATCTGAAGAGGTAACAATCTGAAGAGGTAACAATCTGAAGAGGTAACAATCTGAAGAGGTAACAATCTGAAGAGGTAACAATCTGAAGAGGTAACAATCTGAAGAGGTAACAATCTGAAGAGGTAACAATCTGAAGAGGTAACAATCTGAAGAGGTAACAATCTGAAGAGGTAACAATCTGAAGAGGTAACAATCTGAAGAGGTAACAATCTGAAGAGGTAACAATCTGAAGAGGTAACAATCTGAAGAGGTAACAATCTGAAGAGGTAACAATCTGAAGAGGTAACAATCTGAAGAGGTAACAATCTGAAGAGGTAACAATCTGAAGAGGTAACAATCTGAAGAGGTAACAATCTGAAGAGGTAACAATCTGAAGAGGTAACAATCTGAAGAGGTAACAATCTGAAGAGGTAACAATCTGAAGAGGTAACAATATGAAGAGGTAGCAATCTGAAGAAGTAACAATATGAAGAGGAATCAATCTGAAGAGGTAACAATCTGAAGAGGTAACAATATGAAGAGGTAACAATATGAAGAGGAATACAATCTGAAGAGGTAACAATATGAAGAGGTAACAATCTGAAGAGGTGACAATCTGAAGAGGTAACAATCTGAAGAAGTAACAATATGAAGAGGTATCAATCTGAAGAGGTGACAATCTGAAGAGGTAACAATCTGAAGAGGTAACAATCTGAAGAGGTGACAATCTGAAGAGGTAACAATCTGAAGAGGTAACAATCTGAAGAGGTAACAATCTGAAGAGGTAACAATATTGAGAGGTAACAATAAGAAGAGGTAAAAATCTGAAGAGGTAACAATATGAAGAGGTAATAATCTGGAGAGGTAACAATCTGAAGAGGTAGCTATCTGAAGAGGTAAACAATCACAATCACTAAAGTAATGGTGTATAATATATTTTGAAAATGATAGTACCGTATATCAGTTGAAATATTTTTTTTTAAAAAACCTAAAACCTTTTATTATTTAGATTGTATTTCCTACAAGGAGAGAGCCTCAGCTGATTAAAACTGTTATTCAACTTCTTCCAGAATCCCACCCTCTAGCAGACAAGAATAGAGGTAGGTATTTATATACAGGGTGTCCCAAATAGGTTGACACTTATGACGTTTAATCAGCTGTAATGAAAGTGTACGCATTCTGTGTTGCCATCTATTGTACTTGACAACCTATTTGGGGTGTCCCAGGAAACATGACAGTTTGTGAATAGTTTTGAATGCCTTCTTCCATATACTGCATTAGATTTTATAGACTTCTTGCAGTTTATTTAGTTTAAAAAATCTTTTACTCAAATATATTTTACTTTGAAATCAATTTTACTATAATATGGCTGGCATGAAAATTTTTATATTATTCTTTTGGGGTTCAAACGACTTAACAAACTATGGAAGAAGACATTTTAAACTTTTCACCAACTGTCATGTTTCGTGGGACACCTTGTATATATATAATCATAGGGCTAACCACGATGGATAAGACTTAAATGAAGACCTAAAGGCCTTAAGTTTAACGATTTACAAAATTATTTTGGCAAAAAGAGAAGAAACCAGTAATATGACCCCCCTGTCGTGTTTTTGCGATAACTCAAAAAGTATTTGAGCTCTGAAGATCAAATTTTCTTGCTTTTCTAACTAACACATGCCCATCACTTAAGGATATCAGTTGGGCCTTAAAACTTACAGCCTAAGCCCTCAGACATACTTCCTGAATGCCTTGTTTTACCTCTACCAGACTAAATCTATAATTAGACCTACTTTAAGTCATTGGTTTTTAGCATTTTATAGCTCTTTGGAAAGCCTATAACAAACAAAAGCAGATTGCACAATTTTTGTTTGGAGGCTAGATCTATACATTTATTAATTTATGTTCATATATATGTTTGGTGGCTAGATCTATACATTTATTAATTTATGTTTATATATATGTTTGGCGGCTAGACCACCCCCCCTCCCGTCTATTTTGGGTAAACCAGACGTCAGTCGGAATAGGGTTATTTATAGATTAATAAATGTATCGATCTGACTGAGAAAAGGACAAACGAACATAACTCAATTATGTTTGAAAATCCAGCTTTCTACAAGTCATTGGCAAATCAACGCTTCATGCGATTAACAAAATATCTAGCCACCAAACAAATATGAGTTAATCATAAATTTATAAATATTAAGATCTAGCCACCAAACATATAGATGAACACAAATTAATAAATACACAGATCTAGCAAAGAAACACGTAGATATAAATAGATTAATGGATTAACAGATCTATTTAGAAAAATATTATAGATAAACATGTTTAAGGAAATCAAGACGCAACTGATGACACTAAGAATAAAGAAGAAGGAAGAGAAATTATCCAAGTTGAAACAATCACTACTTCATTGAATTTTTAATTCAGATTTTTTTTTCAAATTTTTTTTTGTGTGTGAAATGATTGAATTATTAATATCTACTATAATCCTAATAATTTATTTGTATTTTCCTGTTTACATGAATATTTAATAATCTTACTTTATCATGCAATAAGTGTGTTTATGGTAACAAAGAGACTAGAGAGAGGTTCTTAATTCAACAATTTAGAGATAAAGAGCATTTTACATCATACAAATATTTAGGTTTTAAAGGGATTGTTGTCGTAGTTTTACGTGACCCATAAAATGTAATAATGGAAATTCTTAAACGAGATGAAATAATCTTGATGTATTCTTTAACGAAGGCCGCACCATGCAAAGAGGGACATGTCCAATTCACAACGGTATCATTGAATTCACAACGGTATCATTGAATTCTCAACGGTATCATTGAATTCACAACGGTACCATTGAATTCACAACGGTACCATTGAATTCACCATGATACCATTGAATTCACAACGGTATCATTGAATTCACAACGGTGCCATTGAATTTACAACGGTACCATTGAATTCACCATGGTACCATTGAATTCACAACCTTATCATTGAATTCACAACGGTACCATTGAATTCACCACGGTACCATTGAATTCACAACGGTACCATTGAATTCACAACCGTATCATTGAATTCACAACGGTACCATTGAATTCACAACGGTGCAGTTGAATTCACAACGGTACCATTGAATTCACAACGGTACCATTGAATTCACAAAAGTATCATTGAATTCACAACGGTACCACTGAATTCACAACGGTATTATTGAATTCACAACGGTATTATTGAATTCACAATGGTATTATTGAATTCACAACGGTATCATTAAATTCACAACGGTATTATTGAATTCACAACGGTAGCATTGAATTCACAACAGTATTATTGAATTCACAACGGTATTATTGAATTCACAAGGTACCATTGAATTCACAACGGTATTATTGAATTCACAACGGTATCATTGAATTCACAACGGTATTATTGAATTCACAACGGTATTATTGAATTCACAACGGTATCATTGAATTCACAACGGTACCATTGAATTCACAACGGTATTATTGAATTCACAACGGTACCATTGAATTCACCACGGTACCATTGAATTCACAACGGTATCATTGAAACATTAATCTGATTAATTTTGTGGAAGATTTTTTAGGCTTGAAAAGTGTTTAATTATAATAATTTTTCCATCGTTTCTAAAGCAAGAAATATGTAAGTGAAAAATGAAAATAAACTGTTTCTAAAAAACAAAAACTTAAATATATAATTAATTCTTTTTTAGCTTTTTTAGGGTGCCTTTGTAAATCAGACATGGTTTTTTTAAATATAAAGCTAAATTTGTGATTTTTCAAGAATTTTTTTTTAACTTGCGTATTTTACAGATTTTTTGTGATTTGTTTCCAAACAGAAAAAGTTTAAGTCGTTTAAGCTATATATACTATATACTATATACTATATACTCTTTGTGAAATTATAATTTTCTCAAGATACTGTAATAAACTGTAGATATATACAATGGTTCAAATGTTTCCTATTTCCAAAGTAAATTTGATTAAGATTTGCCTTCTTTTAGATCATGTGTAAGTACTCTAGGTGAATCCACGTGAGAAGATATCTTATTTTTTTAATTTGGCTTAATATATTAAAGATAAGATAAGTTGCAAAGTGTCCAATTAAACTTAGATTTTTCATAAATATTCTAAAATTTTCAACTCATTTTTGTCCTATTAGGTTTAGTCTATATTCTCTTTTACGAACACCCTTATTAAAGGGACTGTATAGACGTAACTTCAATTAACCCTCCATTAATTGTGGGCCATGTCTTTTTTACCTTTAACTGCTCAAAAATGATGAAGATATCATCGTTTTTCTTGCTACAAAATGGTTAAATTATCTCCAATATTTTTGGAAGCAATAAATCTGCAAATCAGTTTTACAGACATCCATAATTGAACATAAGAAATATTTTGAAAGAAATCAAGAATTATTTAATCTTGATTAGACCCTTCAAGTTTAAAGTCTTTTTTTAAGATGCTTAGAAAGAAAACGGATATTTCACGTTTTATTTCATATTTTTATTCAACTACAAAGCACGAGATAATACAAATTAAAAATCACAATTTACTGTGTAGTTTGAACCTGCTTCATTAGAGTAGGTTATTTTGATTGGTTGGCCCATTATAAGCGAATGAGAATTGTAAATATATATATGGTTGTACGCTGTACAGTGAACATTCTAAACATAATAATGATAGAAAAAATGTCAGGAAGTGGTGAGGAAGTATAAGGGAAAGGGAGGGTACTCAGGGGAAGGGTTGGTTGGAACAGAGGGTAACATCATATTTTTGAACTACATGATGAAGAAGATAGTAAAGACTAAGTTTATCCACATGATACACAGTTTTTTTTACACCTTTAACTTGCATAACTATAACTTTAAAAATTAATTTCCTTTTTGTCCGTCTCCAAAGTTCAATAATTCCACAATACATGGACACTCTTTCTGACGTGTTAAAGTTGAATTAACGGTAAGAAAACAAAATACAAAGATAAACTGTTATCAGTTGGATTTCTTCCTCTGCTGAATAATGAAGGCTCTTCTAATTCTTAGTCTTTTTGTTGTAGCAACATTAGGATTCTACAGGTATATTCAGGGGCGTATGCAGGAAATCATGGGGGGGACACAATGTTGCCAATGGGGGGGAACCCCAAATTTTTTTTGCGCGCGTCCCCGTCCCTAAACAAATGCCCTCGTACACCTCTAGTTTTGGTCATCTATGAATTCTTTTATTCCGCCGCAACAGTGAACTATGGTGGAAAGGATC